TCATCGCTTGCTATTACAAATTGACAGCACAAATGGACCTACAGCAACAGCTTTGTCTACAGCCAAGTTCATTATCAGTTATGACCAATCCGCTGCTGGATGACGGTTTCACAGGTTAAAAGCTGTCATAATTATCTCTCTCTCGAGTGAAGGTTGTTGAAACCCACTGTACGAGATGAATAGAGGGGCAGTGGTGGGGGGGGGGGGATTTGGTGTGAGTGGACTCGATGGGCCTGGCCTCCCGCCCTCCCTCCGCACCTGAAAATGATACCCCCAGTGCGGGCACCCATCCCTGCTAAGGCCGACCGACCCCATGCAATCGCATCCAAGACCACTCACTCACTCACCGGCACCACCCCGCCACACACACACGCACGCACACGAGCGCGGGTGCACAACGGCGCGCTTTATTGTACCACTCTGTGATCATCACGAACACTCACGTTGCATTTACATCGAACGGTCATTATCAATATCATATGGGACTGTTAGCAGTGACGCGTCAAGCACACAACTATGAACCAAGCTCACTGTATTTACCAACAACACTATCTTTTGTCAATCCACTGCTGGCTGAGGGCCTCCCCACACCGTGCCTGCAGTGGTGCATCATACGAACATACCGCACTGCAGTGGTCAGCGTGGGCTTAAGGTGGTGTGCATAGACATTGTAGTATAGTACAGTACAACCCAATTTGACTGCACTGTCCCTCTGCTGATAAACGTAGTCTCCCGCAACTTGTCTCTCAACTGGGTTATGCAAGGTGGTCTCCCAAGCCAAGCACTGTCCAGGCTCAATTTGACAAGAATGGGGGGTTATTCCGGGGTGAATTGGTCATGGGAATTACTCGCCTTGAAACAGCACAAAAAAAATAAGCGTCGAGTATTTCAGGAAAGCACCAGAATTCGGAGAAGTTGCTGATGACGACAACGGCAAGAATTTTAGATTTTTTTTGTTATACGCAAGTATGTTACCACTCGCCAACGCATTCCATTGAGATCGCACTGCGATAGAGATGACAAATTGTAAAGATGAACTTCGGCCTAGCTGCATGCAAGTGCTGGCTGGACACGAAGTTTTAGGTGGAGCGTCGTGTGCAGTGGCAGACAGAGAGGTCGTCCCCTTCTCCTCTTCTAGAGCCCAACACCATTCAACAACCCGAGGGGAGCCGTGGTGGCGATCTGTTAACTCCCTCCCCTGGTATACAGGAAGTCCTGGGTTCTATCCTGACCCTGACACCTGCTGTATATTTGGAGTTGGCGTGTCTCTCTCGCTCTCATCATCATCACGGTGGCTAGGAGATGTTAACTCCCTCCCCTGGTATACAGGAAGTCCTGGGTTCTATCCTGACCCTGACACCTGCTGTATATTTGGAGTTGGCGTGTCTCTCTCGCTCTCATCATCATCACGGTGGCTAGGAGATGTTAACTCCCTCCCCTGGTATACAGGAGGTCGTGGGTTCTATCCTGACCCTGACACCTGCTTTATATTTGGAGTTTGCGTGTCTCTCTCTCTCATCATCATCACGGTGGCGAGGAGATGTTAACTCCCTCCCCTGGTATACAGGAGGTCGTGGGTTCTATCCTGACCCTGACACCTGCTGTATATTTGGAGTTTGCCTGTCTCTCTCTCATCATCATCACGGTGGCGAGGAGATGTTAACTCCCTCGTCTGGTATACAGGAGGTCGTGGGTTCTATCCTGACCCTGACACCTGCTGCATATTTGGAGTTGGCGTGTCTCTCTCGCTCTCATCATCATCACGGTGGCGAGACGATGTTAACTCCCTCCCCTGGTATACAGGAGGTCGTGGGTTCTATCCTGACCCTGACACCTGCTGTATATTTGGAGTTTGCGTGTCTCTCTCTCTCATCATCACGGTGGCGGAGATGTTAACTCCCTCATCTGGTATACAAGAGGTCGTGGGTTCTATCCTGACCCTGACACCTGCTGTATATTTGGAGTTGGCGTGTCTCTCTCGCTCTCTCATCATCATCACGGTGGCGAGGAGATGTTAACTCCCTCATCTGGTATACAGGAGATCGTGGGTTCTATCCTGACCCTGACACCTGCTGTATATTTGGAGTTGGCGTGTCTCTCTCTCATCATCATCACGGTGGCTAGGAGATGTTAACTCCCTCCCCTGGTATACAGGAGGTCGTGGGTTCTATCCTGACCCTGACACCTGCTGTATATTTGGAGTTTGCGTGTCTCTCTCTCTCATCATCATCACGGTGGCTAGGAGATGTTAACTCCCTCCCCTGGTATACAGGAGGTCGTGGGTTCTATCCTGACCCTGACACCTGCTGCTGTATATTTGGAGCTTGCGTGTCTCTCTCGCTCTCATCATCATCACAGTGGCGAGGAGACGTTAACTCCCTCGTCTGGTATACAGGAGGTCGTGGGTTCTATCCTGACCCTGACACCTGCTGTATATTTGGAGTTTGCCTGTCTCTCTCGCTCTCATCATCATCACGGTGGCGAGGAGATGTTAACTCCCTCGTCTGGTATACAGGAGGTCGTGGGTTCTATCCTGACCCTGACACCTGCTGCTGTATATTTGGAGCTTGCGTGTCTCTCTCTCTCTCATCATCATCACGGTGGCGAGGAGATGTTAACTCCCTCGTCTGGTATACAGGAGGTCGTGGGTTCTATCCTGACCCTGGCACCTGCTGTATATTTGGAGCTTGTACATTCTCGCGTGGCTTTTTCTCCGGGGGTCTCGGGATTTTCTCCCCCATGTTTAGAAACATGCGTTGAGAGTAATTTCGCTGCCATAAATTTCCAAACGATGATAAGCCACTTCGTTGAGGCATAATTTGTGACGGGCAGGTCGCTTCTGAAAAAAATTGCTCCATAGCTCAGTGGAGCCTTGCCTGGTAAAATATAAAACAAAAATTGTTTATCTTTAGTTGAAAAGCTGCCTCAATCCCTGTTCAATTCCAGATGTAAGACTTCCCGCATCTTCTCTACATATGGCAGAAAGTGTCTCTGTTCTCCAAAAAACCTTCCTCGTTCTGGATTTCCACTTTGCGTTTAGGCATGACACCCATCCTCTTCCCCGCAACCTCATCTAAGCAGCCGAGACATTTAAATTCTTTTGTTTTACATATCCTGTACAGCGAGCGGATGTTCAATACAAACGTCTTATAACGCATAGTGTGGCCAGCTACACAGACGACTGACGTGAATGGGGCATATACGAACACGTTTATTTGAATCAGAATCTCTATATGGACTAGAGGAATCCGATGAGCTATGAATCTTTTTTACACTGTTGTCCAGCATGTTGGAAGCAAGGTAATTAACATCCAGCAGTGGAATTGATTATGGCTGATGATGATGACAGTAACGTAGTGGCTGGATGCCGGTGGTTAGCACGCTACGGACAACGGATAAATAACGATTCTCTGCCACGGTTAACATCAGTAGCGAGCCATTACCCTAACTGGTCCTGGGCTCCCCTTTTCTTCACAACGCACCGACCCAACGTGGAGAAGTATGGTCAAACACCCCCCCCCTCCCAACCCCGAACCGACCAACACGGCGTGGTGTGGCCACACATTCAGCAGTGGACAGATAAAAGTGGTTGTACGTTGTATATTACTATGAGCTTAGAATGTCTGTGTGTAACGCGCGTGACGTCACTCCACATGCCACACCCCCCCGTCATTAATATTCATGAACAGGTGAATTTTTTTTCACTCGAGCGGAAAACAAAAATTTATCCCAAATTCGCTTTAAGTTTGACGTTTCTTTATTGAAAGATAGCCGAATAAGTAATTATATGCAGCAAGAAAGTGTATTTGGTGTCTTTATTTATATCTTCAGCACTTGAGACAAATGGTAAGCATAATTTATGCTTCTACATTATGGTAAAATAGACATTTCTCGGTGATTTTCCAGATATTGTATAAAATTCCAATTTATTTCAACCCCAGCGACCGAAAGCAAAAGAGAATAAAGCATCAGAGCAGTGAATTTGAACAAAATGATGGTCAGTTATATCCAGTGACATTAAGACATTACACACTTTTGTGCAAGATGACATACTTTTGTGCAAGAATCACTGCCATTAATACACTGCTGCTACAGTGAACTGCAGTGAAGTGTTTGACGGCTTCGTTTCGTGCCAGATTAACTGCCGTTAAATTTACACAAGATACAATTATACTCTTGCTAAAATTTGTTTCGTAAATAACACAGCTTCCGTCCTCGGACGGGTAAACAAGGTACTGTAGTAGTTGTATATAATAGTACAAGGCTTTGAGGAAGAGAAGTTCAGTCCTATAATACGGTGGTTTAACATGGCATGTAATCCAGTACAGTGTACAACTATAAACATGCAAAAGTGTCTATGTTGTTAAGTACGAATATTATAAACGCACGCACACACACACACACGGGGTATACACATGCAGCTTCCTTGTGTTAATCCACTGCTGCACGTTCTCACCCAAGCAGTGCGGGCAATGGGGGTCATTTTGACCATACTTCGCCACGCTGGGGCGGTGTGGCTTAATAAAGAACGCACACAACAGAGCGCGTACAGACACGTCGGCCGATGTCGTTAGCGAGCGCCTATTAAAGGCACACCAAGAGGGTTATAGCTGGAGCTCGGTGTTCGTGCGTACGATGCACCGGGACGGCGAGTCCAAGTTCAAACTCCGCTCGGCACCGATGTCATCAGCCGTCGTTACCGGGTGAAATAACTCAAAAGGCAGCCGCCGTGGCGTGCGTGTGCACCAAACCACCGCTCCATCGCTGACCGTGTCCACACGCTAGCGACGCAGCCACCCCCCCCCGCCCCCCAATTCACCGTGGAATCTGACAGTGCCAACAGCGGCCTAACGCCACACGAGGATGACACTCAGACCACGGGCTCGCCTAGCCAGTGCTACCGGCCTAGTGCGCTCGGCGCCGGTAGGACGGGTGTGGGTGGGTGGGTGGGCGTGGTGGTGGATGCTCTGCAGAGGCCGGCGCGGTGCCTCTCAACTCACAGTCGAGGTGCTTCTTCTTGGGGCCCATGACTTCGTGCGTGGTCGCCTTGCACACCGCCTTGGCCACGGCCGAGCCCGTGACGCTGTGCTGCGCCGCCGCTATGCGGTCCGTGATACTTTGGCCTGACATCGTTGCACCGTCCCCGTTCCTTGCTATGACTACGACTACTACTACGGGGGGGGGGGGTCGGCGGCGGCGGGGGGGGGTGGAGGGGGTGGGGGGGGATCCGCACACACACACAGGGGGGGTTCGCTGCCGCTGCCGCTCACGGACGCATACGGGGAGCTGAGCGCGAACTCCGCGCCTCTGCTCGGGGGACTGAAATGGCCGCCGCTGCCGCCTCCACCGCCTCCACCTCCTCCCAGCTGCCCGCGCACGTGACCCGTGACGTCACTCCAATACCAACCCCCCCCACACCAACCCCCCCCCACACCAACCCCCCCACACACCAACCCCCCCACACACCAACCCCCCCACACACCAACCCCCCCACACACCAACCCCCCCACACACCAACCCCCACACACCAACCCCCCCCACACCAACCCCCCCACACCAACCCCCCCACACACCAACTCCCCCACACCAACCCCCCCCCACACCAACCCCCCACACCAACCCCCCCACACCAACCCCCCCCACACCAACCCCCCCACACCAACCCCCCCACACACCAACCCCCCCACACACCAACCCCCCCCACACACCAACCCCCCCCCACACACCAACCTCCCCCCACACCAACCCCCCCCACACCAACCCCCCCACACCAACCCCCCCACACACCAACCCCCCCCACACACCAACCCCCCCCACACACCAACCCCCCCCCCACCTACCCCCCCCCCACACCCCCGCGTCGTCATCGTCGTCAAAGTTCCCCCGTATCATATTCTTGCTTCTTTCGGTAAAGTCACCACGTAGAAGGGGGAAACAATAAAATAATAAAAAAAACATTAAACAATAAAATCCTCACGACGTTTCGACTGCAACACAAGAAGCAATCATCATCAGGTGTGAAACCCACGGCAAGAATTGTTTTTAAAAAGTGGCGGTTATTTGTTAACGTCAGCACCACGGAGAGCGATTTGACAGTTTGTTCAGATGGACGAGTCCATCTATGTTCGGAAAAGAGTAGGGGGGGAGAGGAAAAATTAATGGATGTGGTCTGAAAGCCACCGTAAGCGTGAGCAATCAATTAAGACCCCGAAATGGTTTATCAAATCCTTCCAATGATTGCTAAGCCAGAATCCATCTTCTCGGTTGAAATTGTCTCTGTGTTTGTACACGTGGATAGCCTCGTGAACGAATCTCTCATGGTAGCCAGATGGCTTGCAGAGAACCTCTGTCTTGGAGAAGTCAATGTCATGTGAGCCTACTGAATTATAACAGTGATCTGCCACGGCCGAGGTGTTGGTCCTACCGTGTTTTATGTCTGCTTTGTGTTCACGAATGCGGTCCGAGACATGTTTGGTTTCTCCGATGTAACTACAACAACAAAATTATTGCTGTGGTTTTCCCACCTGATGATGATTGCTTGTGTTGCAATCGAAACGTCTTGATTTGTTTTATTTCAATTAATTTTAATCTACCTACGTGACTTTACCGAAAGAACCAAAGAGTATTGATTCGGTGGGTTGGGGGTGACGAGCACCCACGTCCCGGCCGTCTTTGTCTCCCCAGTGGTGATGTGTTAATCGCGGGGATGAGTGTCATATGCGTTTCCATAGAAACGAGTTTTTTTCCTCTTGTAGATTTGGTGAGGGGGAGCGCGTCGCTCGGTGAGTTCGCACCGTGCCGAGGTGGAGAAGCGGCGGCGATAATGATAAATAAAACCTCTGCGATTCGTTTCGCCTTCAAGAGGCACATTGGGAACAGCACAAAGAGCTGCGTAGCGTTGAGGGGGTCCTTGTCCGTAGAGTGGCCATCTTACGTAGGGAAGTTGTCTCGGGTGTTCACTTACGTGGAGTGGGATAGCCATCTTACGTAGGGAAGTTGTCTCGGTGTTCACGTCCGTGGAGTGACATGGCCATCTTGCGTAGGGACGTCTTGACGTTCACGTCCGTGGATTGACGGCCATCTTATGCAGGGAAGTTGTCTCGGCATTTTCAATCGGGGAGCTCTGACAACCCCCACCCAATATGGCGTCGCGATTGTCTCGACCCCACCCCCCAAGAGATATTCAAACTCGGCGAGACTGTCCACTGGAATGTGGAATTTCCACCGCTGCCAAAAAAAATGCAATTGAACGGAGGGAGGGTGTGCACTGACTGTGCTGTGTCAGCCACTATTTTAGTCGATGACATTTCAAAACAGTCACAGTGTTTAAGTGTAAAGGTCTACTTAACAAACAAAAACTCTTAAATCGCATTCCTCCATGCCCACGTACAGCCCTTTTAGTCGAATCCACTGCTGGATGAGGACCTCGCCACGCCGTGCGGGTCTTGGTGGTTGTTTGACCATACCTCACCACGCTGGTCAACGCAGATTACTAAAGATTGGGAGCAACAAGTGAAGTAGAACGACTGATTCATTCTTTGTTTTTTTTTAGGTAAAGTCACGTAGAAATAAGAAATAATAAAATTACATAATAGCGTACGACGTTTCGATTGCAACACAAGCAATCATCATCAGGTACAGAAGAGCTAAATTTACGAAAGAGAGGAGACACAAAACCGCAGAGATATATACAGACACAGATACAACAGGGGATACAGAGAGAAACGTGGGAGCACACTAAATCAAACAAGGTTTAGCAAAATTTGGAAACCATATAACGCAACACAGACGGTCGGTCAAAACACAATTGACGCATGGTCTGTGTTTTGACCGACCGTCTGTGTTGCGTTATATGGTTTCCAAATTTTGCTAAACCTTGTTTGATTTAGTGTGCTCCCACGTTTCTCTCTGTATCCCCTGTTGTATCTGTGTCTGTATATATATCTTCGGTTTTGTGTCTATATAGACAACATATAGACACGTTCTACTTAATTAAATAGAGTTTTTAATCAATGTTTTCTCCTACAACATCAGAGTGCAGCGCCACATTAAATACGCACAATGAGTTTATTTTTGTGACGTCATATTTGAGGGTGGGGGGGGGCAAAATACGTCCAAAATCGCGGGACGTCATTTATGGACGGCCCTTTACCCATAAGAGATTTTGGGGTTAGATTATGTGATCTAACCCAACAATTACTCAAGCTCCGTTGTCCTATTCTGGGATGTTTGGCCAACTCCATCAATAAGTCCGTAATACAGGTTTTTTGGGTCAGACCCAAAAAAAACCTGCATTATGGTTGCCAAAGCCGACGTGTTAAACAATACTTACGTTTGAATGTGTTCGGTAACTCAGTAATGCACAAGAAAACCTTTCAAGATTCTCGTCAATAAGCTATCCATTGAATGTGACGTTTCGGTCAATGACCTTTCTTCTCGGCACAAATGTGTGCCCATAACTTTTAGTGCGAGGCCAGAGTACCCGTCAACCCATATGGTTTACCTGTTTTCTTGAACAGGCAAATTGAGGCATACAGCCGTTTCAATATGGGCAAATGTTTTTATTTTTTTCTCTCTATTTGCTTGTGTTTCTCCCTTGTGACGGGGCTTTATAAGATGAACGTTGAGATTTATAAAAGCACGGGGTGAGCAATAAGGTCTGAATTGGTTCTGTACTAATGTAGGCACTGATAAGGGGTTGACAGGTGTCAATATACAAGCTAGTGCGCACACTATTACGTTTAAAATTTCACATAGAACTCAAACTGGCTCATCTGCCCATTGAATGTTTTTGATCCAGGTCTGCCTTCAATAATTGCTCGCGGTATTAGACCCTTTTTATGTTTACCAATTGTTTCCATTTGGGTCACGCTGGTCAGTGCAGGTTGGCGGAGGGAGGGGAGGACCCCGGTTAGGTTCATAAATCACTCGCCACTGCGGCTGGCCGTAGCCAGGAATCAAACTCGCGTCACCGGATTCATAATGCGGTGCGCTAACCCACTCCACCCTGACTCTTGTGACAATTATCCTAAAATAAACACACGGCAAAATGCGCACATCCGCCCACTCACTATAAATATTTATTCGCAACGACTGGCAAACAAGTCCCCGGGTCGCGCCCGCGTGCCTTGCGCTCCTCAGCTTCCAACTTTGAAGAGGGCGGCGAATTTAAAATGCTGTGCCACTGACGTCCGTGGGCACAGTTCGGCACCGGCGTCGGGTTTCATCCAGTCACGGCTCGAACCGTTTCTCCCCCTCCACGTGGTGCAGCAGAGCGTTCCCGCGCTTGCACTTCTGTGCCTGTGGCTTTGCAGCGCTGAGGAATACAACAAGAACATGCGGGATCCATGTAACGTGTGAATTCTGCCGTGACGTAATGGTTAGCACAATGGACTTGCAGTTGCCGGTTCGATTCTATTTTCCAGCGTGGCTGTTGAACCGATGGGGAACGTTTCCTAAATCTCCCCCCCATCTCTGTCCAACAGTATAAATGGGTACACCAGTTCACCGATTGGCAGGCCATATTTGGTGTGGTTAAAGTGTGGTTACATTATGTCTGGCCAATGTAAAAGAGTAGGCCGATATACCCTCTAGATATGCTCTCCAGAACAGAATCAAAGACATTTTATCTTATGGATATTGTAGCTAGGCTGTGGGTCTTGGCCAGTTCTGACTCCAATCCAAAGCGTCGTTGGTGATTAAAAAAATACTTGAAATTACATTCAAGTGCGTCATTGTGGCACTCTAGCGACAACACTATGACGCCAAATCGGAGGAATGGCGTCAGTCACTGACGGAGAACCAAACCTTGATTTTAAAGTATTTTTTTCTCATTAAACAAGCTTCAACTGGCGTGTTTCAGTCCAGATCAGGCCCGTAATGATTAACCTATTAACATCGATTGTTATGCCGTGAATGATTTATAATTTTAGCAAATTATGAAATGCCGAGGCTGCAATAATGCTATTGGAGGGATCAAAACTAGACGAAATAAGAACATGAGAAAATATACCGATGAAAAAAATGCAAAAAGGGTTATTGAGTTCATAAACCAAAGACAACTCCAAAATGCGATGATTCATTGCATTGCCGTTGCCAGGTAGTCTGTGCGGAATCGTTGCGTGCCTCCAGGACAAAGTCTGGGCACATTTTTCCACCGAGGGGTGGGGGAACCTCCATCACACGGGCCAGACACGACCAAAGATTTAATTTAATTTTTTTTTACCAGGTGAGACCCACTGAGCTACGTGGCCTCTTTTTCAGAAGTGACCCGGCCACAAATGATAGCTCGACCAAGCGGCTTATCACGTGGAAATGTATAGCTGACAAATATACTCTAAACGCACGTTGTTTATAAGTGTGGAGGAGGGGGGAAAACCGGAGGACCCGGAGAAAAATCCACACGAGCCACGGGAGCGAGAACATGCAAACGCCAAATATACAGGCGTCAGGGACGGGAGTGAACCCACGACCCTGCTGTATTCCAGGCGAAATAGTTAACATCTCTCCACGAGGACATGCACTTAGAAAAAGCTCGCAAACGATAATTATTCGTCACTGCGGGCACCCTCGTCGCACTAATTGGACTATTTCTGACCTGGAAACAATGCCGTCTTTTGTGTCTGTCTGTATCTTATGTTGTGCGCACGTGTGCGCTGTCCTCCCAGGCAACGCATAAGTGAGGTAAAGGCAATCTCAAATGATATTGCTGTATTAATATTGGATGCGATTTTACGCACGGAACTCACGAAAATCCTAAATTTGAACAGTCAGTGATTTATTGGGAATTGCCAGAGGAATATGTCTCTTGTCACGAACCTCATAATCCGGGAAACGCAGCAGGGGATGACACCGCCTTCATCTGAACCTGATCTGGGCCTCCCTTAGGTCGACTCAGCCTCAAATGAGCACCTGGTGTGGTGTGAAAAATCATTGCCACTGGGGAGACAAAGGCGGTCGGGCGTGGTGCTGGCCACCCACCCCCTCGTGTGCCATGCGACTATGTCAGATGCTCGCTAACAGCACTTGCCTCAAGTCTGTTAAGGCTACACGGGGGATCTTTGTCTGTTCTGCTGGTAAATTCATCGGTGCTGCTCGCTAATAGCACTTGCCACAAGAGTCTGTTAATGCTATACGGGGGATCTTTGTCTCGCCAAAGGTATTTGAAAGCCCTATTCGGAACCTCGGCGAAGTAAAAGGGTTCCCCACCGCTGCTGGAAGACGTTCCGTGCGGTTGACGTACGTAGGTATGTTGAACTTCTTTCGCACCGTCACTTGCCGCCACCGCCATGAGGGAAGGGGGCATCATCCGGCGTGGCGTGGAATTCCCGCAGCGTGGTGCGGTGAAGCGCCGTGCCCCTCAGGCTCTGCGAGCTCGACGATGTAATCTGCAAGAGACAGGAAAAGCCGCTGCGTCCGTGCCCTTCCCTCGTCACGCACGCTGCCAGGCTGCGCCCCATCCCCCCCACCGCCGTTCCGTCACGCTCACTGTCACGCGCGCCTGCAATGCAGCGCTGTGGAGGGCGGCGACGTTTGCTGGATTCACGCAAGTTCGTGAAACTCCCTCCCCCATACCCATGGCCGCCGAGGTTGCCATCCACTGGCAGTGCAGCAAGCGGGGGTTCGTTAACATTTGCACGGCGACCGAGTGTTAGCCTGACCCCCCTCGCACTCGTGGGTTTTCTCCAGTTACCCCGGTTTCCTCCCGCACGTACAAACACTAATTGATGGGTGTTGGACAAACATCCCAGTATAGGACCACAGAGCTTGGGCAATTTGTTGCCACTGGTGCTAGCTGCCTTCCCACTTGTCTTGTGGTTTCCCGTACTGCTGAGTTATTCCCTTCTAGCCGAGAGTCAACGAAAAACTGCTCATTAATATTCTTTTTTTATTACAGCCCCTATAGTCAATCCACTGCTGGATGAGGGCCTACCCATGCCTGTATGGGTCGTGGGGGTTATATGACCATATTTGAGGCACTCCTGATACTGGCTTCCTAAAGTTTGAGCCCTAGGAATTCCATGGTCAAGGTACCTTATTGTGGCCCAGTCAATGTTTGGAAATGACAATGTGTTTAGTTTGTTAATTGTGTCTGCCGAACGTCTTCCGTGGGATATTCCCCCAGGCCACGCTTTGTCCCCCCCCCCCTTAGGTATCGATATCCGCACCTCCGATTAGCACGCTTGGCTACGTACGGTGCGAAAGAAGTTCAACATACATGCATACAATGAAGCCTAGGAATCCTAAAGTTATCTGAGTTTGCCTCTGTGCATTCTTGTGTTAATTATTACCTACCCACATAAGTTGGTCATTGCGAGTGACTGGGGGAATAACTCATCTAAATATTCTAATAATGTCCTCGAAAGGTTAAGAGCTCCAATTTAGTGCAAACACAGCCGGGTCTGTGTTGACAACTAGAAAAATCAGAAAACCACTTTTTTTACATTTTATACCTCCCCCTATCCCTATTCCGGTATACCAGCTTTGGGACACTTGCTCAGTAAATCTAAATAAGAAGAGAACCTTCTGCGGTCGGTGGCATCCATGAAATAAAACTAAAATAAATCGGGTTCTGTAACTTGTTAAAAAAAAAGACTTGTCTCCCGAATGAATGTCGCCATTCACCGGAGTACATGCGCATCCATCCCGGCAGTGGGCATTATTATTGGATAACACCAAAGGTGTGTGTGTTCATGTGTGCTTGCCCGCCAACTGTGGAGCACGGTAGTGCAGCGGTTAGCGCTCTGCGCTACGACCCCGGCGACCCGAGTTCGATTCCTGTTTGGTATTGTACTCTTTCGTATTGTGTGTGTATGTGTGGCGATTTATTTTTGTTAACTTCTTGCCAGGTTCCCCTCGCAAAAGTTTTTTTTTACTTCAAGGGTTTTTGTTACCTGGTGAAATAAAGGTGAAATAAATAAAATCTGAATCGGTCCTAGGCCTCCCCTAGGTTGACTCAGCCTCAAATAAGTACCTGGTGTAGTGTGTAAAAATATCACCAATGGGGAAACAAAGGCGGTCGGGCGTGGTTCTGGCCACGCACCCCGTCGTGTCATGTGCCGGCGGCCTTCATAGGTGCTCGCTAAGTGCACTTGTCCCTACAGCCTGTTAAGGCTATATGGGGGACCTGTGTCTTGCCCGCCAAAGATATTTCAAAGTCCTATTTGGAAACCTATGGGAAATTCTGCACTGTATCTTCTTCTGCGTGGCAATCTTTTTTTTTAACCTGGGTATTAGCGCACAATTTGGCGCATGCACATGTATAGAATGTGCAGTGACTTCTCGTGCCCGCGGACATGTGTACAGATAAAATCCAAGTATAAAACATAATGCAAATGAAGAGGGTGGAGTGGTGATGCAATGCATCTGAAACCCAACAACCCGAGTGTTTATTACTGGCCAGGGCTAACACGTCAGTGGGCGAGGGGTATCCGAGCCGATCCTGGGCACACCCTTTACTTGACCAGCCCGCCCTGACCAGCGTGGTCAAACAATCACGAAAGCCAATCCACAGTAGGGATGTCGTCGTCCGGCAGTGGATTGGCGAAAAGCGACAAATGACCACTTATACAAATGGCAGAGGCAGACCTAGGGAGAGAGGCGGATCAGAGTGGTGAAACAGGATGTGAAGGACTTAATTTGAATCAGAATTTTTTTTTTATGGAGGAATCTGATGAGCCATGAAGCTCTCTGGGATGCAGCCACAGGACAGGGCGGCAGTGGAGCACCCCTTTAACCCGGAAACGTGGAGGCAACGGTTGGCGGATTACACGTATGTTGCAAAACTCCCTTCCCACGAGCGCTGGTGTGCCGCACCCTGGCTTGCCAGGAGAAGGCGGTGCACGGCAAGTGTGGACTCCATCTGTCCCTTCTGCGTGAGACGGTTTTCCCCTTTCGCATGCGTGGGTTTTCTCAGGGTGCTCCGGTTTGCTCACATGTATAAGCGCTCATTAATCGGCCGCTAATGCTTTAATATGTAGAGGACTGCAGAGCTTCGGGGGGAATTTGACACCGGCTCCTCACCGCTGCTAACACCTTAATATGTAGAGGATTGCAGAGCTTTGGCGGGAATTTGACACCGGCTCACCGCGTGGCTACGACCTTTCTCTCCCGCTCATCTGCGATTCCTCCTTGCGCCCCGGTCATTCTCTTTCTTTCTCTCTCTCGCTCTCTGACAGCGATGGGCGAATACGGTGCGGCTGCGGCGGTGGGGCAGTGTTTACGAGTAGCCAGCATCGTAACAGGAACGGGTTGAGAAACGGCGACCAGCGAGGCGCATTGCAACATGGGTGGGAACATTGCCAGGAAGGAGCAAAACGCAAATGTGAATCCACGATAATAACGCTTCGCACGATGACAGCACCTTCCACCCGGAAGTCAGAGAGTGCTGTACATGTATGGGCAAGAACAGAAATAAAATGCATGAGGAAAAAAAAAAAGCAATAGGGACGTAATAAAAGCACACAGGCGAGTGATAAAAACACCCCACAAAATAAAATGTAATCTCCCGAGGGTAAATACAAATATTGAGGAAAAGACCTTAAAGGATATATTTTGTGTGTGTTTTAAAGCGGGCTCCGAGTAAAGCCGAGAAAACTCGTCAAACCGAACATCTGGTGGAAGCCACCAGAATGATATCTGCGGGCGACGCTGCGGCACCACACCAGACGCGACATCGCAATCGCCCACGGAGCTTCGACGCTCTGGAAACACGCGCTGCCAAATTAATCACGTGCGCGCACACCACACGCCCGTCCGGTGCTCGCTGAGCTGCATTGGCCTCGGGTCGCCGAACGAATACGTCGCAGGGGTCGCGCTCATTGCGCCACAATGCCTCGCTGATGTCGTCACAAGGAGTTGTGAACCATCACCATCACACCAACTCCGGTTATCCTCGCAGCAGCAGCAGCAGCAGCGGCTTTTGTCTCAGCCATCGAACGAAGGCGGTGGTCACCGCATCGCACGGCGCTTTCCGATGCGCCGCTTCTGCGGCTATGACGCTCTTCCCTTCCGATATGCGGAAGTCACTGGAGCTGCACACTCTGAAATCTGGATTGAAAACTCATTTCTTTAGGACCTGACTTTTGTGTTTAGTTTGTGGTCCTTCGCCCGCACTGTCCATTAGCGCAGTTGGCTACGTACGCGGCGTGAACGAAGTTCAACATTCGTACGTACGTACGCATGTACGTACACAACGCTGTTTTGTTAGTCGCCGGAAATCGGCGGGTGGACAAGATCACTTTTTATCGCCGTCGACCATTGTTCGCGACAGCCTGCCATTATTCTTTTGCCGCGAGCATTTCTTTGTTGGGTTAAACAATGCGTTTGCCGGCGGGGAGTCGGAGCCAGCGGCGGGACTGCGAGACCCTCCCGTAGTCAGCGATTCTGCTTCGCTGACTACGGCCCGGGGGGGTAAAGGGGAGGGGGGGGGAGAGGAAAGAGAGAGAGCAGCGGAGAGGGGAAGAGACCCCTGCAGGTGACTGGAACAGCTAAGCGATGACGTCGCCCCGGCTGCCCGCGGGAAACTTGTAGCGTAACACCGCAAACCAGTCTAAACACGACCCTGCAGCCAAACGCACCGTAATCCTGACGGTATTTATTTAATTCTAGATTTGAAGCTTTCGTGACCGCAAGGATTCATACTCTTTGGGTTTTTTTTCGGTAAAGTCACGTAGGTAAAATAAAATAAATGAAAACAACTAAATTAAATCACGACGTTTCGGAGGCAACACAAGCTTCCGTCTTCAGGTGGAACAGTCACAGCAAAAAAGCTGTATCAAGTGAAGAGCTCTGAGACACCCGAGATTATATATACAGGTTAAGGGGGGGGGGGGAGGAGCCAGGCAGGGACGTGGGTGGGGGGGGGGAGGGCTAAGTTAAGCCGCCTTTTGTTATGCTGCAGGGGGTTCGGGGGATGCGGAGGTTCACTGCGCGAGCTAAATGGAAAGGCTGTACCATTATAAGGCAGCTAAAGTTTGACTTGGTTTATGACATCTTTCCAATGGTTGCTCAATTTAAAACCATCTTCCCGGTTGCAGTTGTGTCTATGTTTGTATATCTGGATGGCTTCATGGACAAATCTTTGGTAATAACCGGGAGGTTTGCATAGTACTTTGGTATCGGAGAAACAATGATCAGCCACGGCCGAAGAATTCGTTCTGCCGTGTTTCAAATCTGATTTGTGCTCACGAATTAGGTCAGAAATATGTCGTTTCGGCTCCCCTATATAGCGGTCACTGCAGGTACAACTCAATTTGTAAACACCGTGGTACTGTAAGTCAGGAATGACATCTTTTACGGATTGACATGTGCAGCAAACCCACACTTGCCAGAGGCACTGTGACCGCAAGCACAGTCACTGATGAAGCAGGCTGAACTTTCAAAAAGCAAATTAACTTCAGTTAGGGGTTGGCGGGACAAGTTTAAGCGGGTAAAGTAAGCTCCTTGCTTCGATTAATCATGCATAGGTTGCAGGGAATTCTGGGAAGCTGCCCACAATGCTTTGCGCGCCTCGCCAGTGGCCCAACTTCTTGTATGTATAACACGTCGGCTTTCGCGACCATTTTTGGGTTAGATCGCGTAAATATATAAATGTGTCATTAAACCCGCCACCACCTGACACAGCCAACTAGTAAGGGTTGTCACGTAAATAGAACTTGCCAATTCGTCACTAGTACAGCACTACACCGGTGTGTTGGAGAGCCAATCCACAACATTTACAATCTGAGTACGACGTTTCGCCAGTAATTACAACTTGCTCTGACAGCCAGATTTGTGGAGAAGTCCACCTGTTTCGTTCCTTATATATCCTTGTATGTATGTACATTGAACTTCTTTCCCACCGTACGTAGCCAACCGTGTCAACCGGAGGTGCGAGCGGGAAGGAAAAAAAACTAAAACACAAAAAGCAGTTCATCTGGTCGAGCACCAATTGGGTCGAGGCTCAAAACAAAGCCGTCCCTTGGTGTGGACCAATCAGTTTCAAGGACAATGCATATATCATCATAGTATGTTTTTTGTTTGCATTTTCACTGCAGGTATTGTGGTTAATGCAGGCATGAATCCTTGTAAAAAGGTTTCAGTTTTGTTGCCATAAAAAAAGGGGAAAAACCCTATTATTACATTTTGGTACTGGCAAAGGAGATCTAATGATGTAGATGCTCACCCCGAGCCCTCATTACTTTGATAGTGCATTGTCTTTGAGCTGTACGCCTTCTGGCGTCATCTGGTCGAGCACCAATTGGGTCGAGGCTCAAAAGAAAGCCGTCCCTTGGTGTGGACCAATCAGTTTCAAGGGCAATGCATATATCATCATAGTATGTTTTTTGTTTGCATTTTGACTGCAGGTATTGTGGTTAATGCAGGAATGAATCCTCGTAAAAAGGTTTCAGTTTTGTTGCCAGAAAAAAGGGGAAAAACCCTATTATTACAAAAAGCAGTTCTGAAGAAACGAGTTTTCTTGTTACGTATGAATTAAAAACGGGGCGAGAAAATAATCACTGCCGTGCTCTGGTGAGCGCCGACACCACAAGAGTGCCGAACACTAAACCCCTAGACAGCAGGGGTGGTGAATCTATTCCTCACTTAGAGGCAAATATAATTATATATCGATATGAATAAAAGATTTTGCCGTGGGGGCCACCCGCATTAATGACACACGACCCGGGTCACTACCGTGACATCAAGTGGCCCACGCAGTGACATAAGTGACTGAGCGCGGGGCTACATTTAGAAAAGGCAGTGTTGTTGTCAGGTCGAAGATAATACCCCCCCCCCCCCTGCCGCCCCCCTCTAGTACCCGATTAGCGAGCCTAAGATGCTTGCAGTGGGGGCATGTGGAATGAAGTCACGGGCCAGGCCGTAGGCTCCCCACACCTACCCTAAAAAAACACTTGTCAAGAGGAGTGTAGGAGAGAGGAGCGTAGGGAAGGGTAGGTGGAGAGTGTAGAGGAGAGAGTAGTGGAGATGGTGGGTGTAGAGTGCAGGAGAGTGTAGAGAGGAGAGGGTAGAGAGTGGACGGTAGCAGAGGGTTGACGAGTGTAGCGGGAAAGTGCAGGAGAGGGTCGGAGAGTGCAGATGAGAGAGGACTAGGGGGGACGGTAGCAGAGAGGGTAGACGTAACGGCTCCCACCTTCACGGCGACGTAGTCTCCGCGCCGCGCGGATGCGAGAGCCGGGGAACCGGCGCCGTCGGGCAGCAGCACGTCAGGGAACACCACGCGAGCGTTCCCGTCCGTCCGCCCGGACAGCTCGAGCTGGGACCGCCGGCTCGCCTGTCGGGGGTCACGCGCCGTCATCAGCTACGGGTTCGACTCCCGCTCGCTCCAAGGAGCCACTCCGCGGGGGGGGGAACGTTGTATCGATGACCACGGTCGCAGACTCCTAGAAAGTTTTCAATTTTCCACTTGTGCATAAGCTATCCGCACCTGCCATGGTTTGCCAAGCGGAAACGCTCTGCATGTATGTTTGAACTTCTTTCGCGCCGTGCATGGCCGGCCGGCCGACCGCGCTAATCGGGAGTTTCCATTCGGAGGTGGACTGGACATCTGTGAAAAATAACTTTGCAGCTCATCAGATTCCTCCAGTGTTAATGAAATATTCTGATTCTGACCTTCAACCGGTACCTGTCGGCAAGGCCACAGGTTTCACTTTCCTACCCGCCCCCCGTCACAGAGTAATCTTTCTCGCATGACAGTAAAAAAAAATCTACAGTCAGAGATGGAACCCAGCCAACATGTACGACAGGGTAGCAGGGTGGCGCAGAGGTCAGAGCGCAGATCCGGCACCGCTGAGATCCTGGGTTAGAACCCAGATTTCCACCATCTGTGGTTAAAACCGGGCTTTCAAGTGTGGCGAGTTGATGGTCTCAGCCCGCTCACCCATGACTGCACAAAAGCAAATTTGTTTGCATGTTCATTTGCATGTTCGTTTGCATGTTTTACCACCAGCGTGTGCGGTTAATGCAGACTTGATGCCTTGCAATAGGTGTTTATTTGGTGTTTGAACATCTTAACACGCCTGTTTTATTGCCGGGGAAGGGTATATAGCCGATTATTTTTTCATGATCTGACCCTCGGTAATCACACGGTCTTACAGCACCGAGCCAAAGGAATAAAACTAAAAAAAACTATAAACTACATTTTATTTCACAAGGTAAGGTCCACTGAGTAATGCAGCTCTTTTTCAGAAGCGACCTGGCCACAAATGATTGCTCAACGAAGTGGCGTATATCGTATTGCTTGTGTTGCAGTCGAAACGTCGTGAGAATTGTATTGTTTTATATTTTTATTATTTTATTGTTTTCCCTTCTACGTGACTTTACCGACAGAACCAAGAATACGAATCCCTGCAGTCACGAAAGCTTTAAATCAACATTTGGAGTATATCGTGTTGAATTTTAAAGCAGTCAAATACTCCCTCCTCGCATGACGATTCTAAATATAGGAGACAACAGATGCATTAAACTGTAATAACCCCTACGCCAGACACGGGCAAAGTACGGCCCCCGGGCCGTATACGGCCCGTTGGGCTTTTTAATCCGACCTGCCGAACTTGTCCAAATATTCATATTCTTAGCTCTTTTGATAAAGTCGCGTTGAAGGGAAACAATAAAATAATAAAATATATATAAAACAATAAAAATTCTCACGACGTTTCGACCATAACACAAACGTCGTCACGTCGACGCTCAAAACGACCGTTTGTGTTATGGTCGAAACGTCGTGAGAATTTTTATTGTTTTATATATATTATATTATTATATTGTTTCCCTTCAACGTGACTTTACCGAAAGAGCTGAGAATATGAATTACTGCAGTCAGGAAAGCATTAAATGAAAATTTGTCCAAATATTATTAAATTAAATTTTCCCCTTCTCCTGTAATGCCCCCATTTCCCCATTAGATGGCGCACTTTGACCGGGAGTTACAATATGTTTTTGTATTGTTCATGTTCGTGCAATTTGTTAAATTGCCTTGCAAATAAATGCTTTGCTACCTGTTAAAGGCCAAATCCTTTCATATAATTATTTTTACATGTCATTTATATTAGTTCACACAAACACTCCATGCATCTGTTCCTGGCCCGGCCCCTCTGTCAAATTTTAGAGCCCACTGTGGCCCGCGAGTCAAAAAAATTTGCCCACCCCTGCCCTACGCCAAAGTGGGCAGCACATAGTAAAAAAAAATAAAAGGGAACGTCACACACACACACACAGTTATGAGAGAACAAGTACTGTAGAATTGTGGCACCCAATCCCAGCCGATCAATGATCGCTCCGCATCATTTGCTCTTTTCTGTTTCAGTCCCTGTACAGTCCATTACACGGCAGTTGCGCGATCGCTGAGCTGCACTTGCGTCGCTTCGACGCGGCCCATTGCCGGCGGGCGACATTCCAGATCCCTCGCAGACGTCACGTCAAATCTTACTCTCGAGAATCTATTAACTCGAAGCACCGTCGTCACGTCGACGCTCAAGACGTAAAATTAGAAAGATTGTCAACAATGAGAAAATAACCTATGTACATGTTTTAAAAACCATCTACAGCTGTTTCAAGTGTAGACAGAACAACTCAAGAAAGTTGTGGTTGCGAGTTAGTTGCTGTGTGCAAATGCACCTGCGACGAGGCGTGGTTGGCTACGTATGGCGCGAAAGAAGTTCAACATGCTCGTACGTTGTCGAGTTGTGACGACATGATTCCAGGGACGGAGCCGAGTGTGCGGATTGCTTCGGGGGGTGGGGGAGGTTGTTCAAGAGGTGTGGCGCTGGTAATATGCTAGCAGTGTCAATCACCCAAAAAAACACGTGTTTGCTTTTTAAAAGAAAAACAACCAACCATGACATTTTGGTTTTGGACACGGAGAGAGGGGGGGGGGGGGGTGCAGTGATTAGCGCGCTGCACTAGCAGCCCGGTAACCCGAGTTCGATTGCCCAACTCTGGTTGTCGAGCGATACGTTGACCGGCCCCTGACTCACCCCCTCAACGAGCACAAGCTGGGTGGAGCCGACCCTGGCAGCGTTGAGGTCGGAGGCCGACTCTCGGAAGGCGGCGATGAGCTCGGAGAGGCGCCGCTGCTTCACGGAGGGCGGAACGTCGTCCCGCAGGCGGTGGGACGCACGCGTCTTCTGTTCCACGCACGCACGTGTTGCACGGGGACAACAAAGAAAACAAAAGATCGCCCATATAGCCTTAACAGACTGTAGGGGCAAGTGCTGTTAGCGAGCACCTATGAAGGCCGACACGGCACACGAGGGGGTGGGTGGCCAGCACCACGCCCGACCGCCTTTGTCTCCCTAGTGGCAATGCTTACACACCGCACCAGGTACTCATTTGAGGCTGAGTCGACCTAGGGGAGGCCCGGGACCGGTTCAGATAATCGTCACTGGTGTTGGCCGTGAGCGGGAATCGAACCCGGGTGGCCAGGTGCATAGCGCAGCGCGCTAACCGCTACACTATCGCACACACGCCCATGGCCAGTGCATCGACTCGGATTCATTACAAACGAGGAGGCGCGTGTCTCCGTGGGGTGTGCGGGCGCGGGCAGGGGGGGGGGGGTGCAGGGGCGTGTAGGCGGGGTGGGGGGGGGTGCAGGGGGGTTGAGGAGGGGGGTGGGCAGGGGGGCGCCGGGTGGTTGGGCGAGCGGACCTTGCGCATGCTGTACGCGAACAGGAAGGCGGTGTCGTAGCCCACGGCGCGGATGAGCGACAGCGAGTCCTCGTGATCGCTCTCCGTCTCGTCGCAGAAGCCCGCGATGAAGTCGCTGCTCAGACTCACGCCTGCCGGGGAGACGCGACGGCACGCGCTGAGTGAGCGCCTCCCCCCCCCACCCCCCCCCCACCTTATACCACCACGTGCCGTTGGATGGGAGGTGATGGGCGGGGCTCGGTGATGTCATTGGAGTCATCAGCCTTGTCACGATGGGCATGGCTTGTGGAGGGTTTCCAGCCTTCGGGAGGCGGGATATGTGCGGGGGGCCATCGCCATTTTCCAAGGCGTCAAGAGTATTTCATGTTGAGTGACTTGCTTACCCCTTTCCAACACTTTACACACCTACTGTTTGTTGGTGTAACTTTCTGACCCGCCCCGACTGGACATCTGTGAAAAAGAGCTTCATAGCTCGTCGGATTCCTCCTCCAGTCTAAATAAATATTCTGATCCTGAGTCACGGACAACAGAAATGTAGTCGATTAATACCCACCAATTGGTCAGCGCAGCTGACAAGACTTCTATCGGTCAATACTAAAGGCCCAGTTACGATGTCACTCCAGCATTGGTCAAAATCTCGGACACAGTCAATGCTCTAAGCTCCGATTGGCCGATGACAGAGGGACCAATGACAACTCAATCCTCTCCATTGGTTAACTCTGAGAGGCAAGATTTATATCTTGCGATTGGTCAAGGGCGCACCTGGGATCATGTCTCGGATGTGATGCACCAACTCCATGTAGGCCTCTCGCGTGTGCCTATGGGACTCGCACGCACAAAGACAAAGACCCCCCGTATAACCTCGTCAAATCTCTCTAAATAGAAAACGAATTTCTTAACTGATTTTGTGTGTAAGTTTTCTTTTGCCCATACAGTATACATGCATCATAACCCTCCACTAACCGACACGGCCAATCAGCAAAAAAAGTGTCACGTTGACAAAAGACAAATAATTCACTACTTTAGCCCACCGGTGTGTTGAAGAGTGAATCCACAACACACCGGTGGGCTAAAGTAGTGAATTATTTGTCTTTTGTCAACGTGACACTTTTTTTGCTGATTGGCCGTGTCGGGTGGTGGAGGGTTACGACACATTTATAAATAACGCGATCTAACCCAAAAACCTTTATTATTAATAATATTGGTCGCGAAAGCCTACGTGTTAAACAGTATACATGCAATCAGACTGTTGGGGCAAGTTCTGTTAACGAGTAGCACCTATGCAGGCCGGGATGGCACACAAGGGAGTGGGTGGCCAACACCACGCCCGGCCGCCTTTTTCTCCTCGGTGGCGATGTTTACACACTGCACCAGGTACTGATTTGAGGCTGAGTCAACCTAGGGGAGGCCCAGGACCAATTCAGATAATCGTCACTGGTGTTGACCGTGAGCGGGTCACCGAGTTCGTAGCACAGCGTGTTAACCACTGGACTACCGCTCCCCACACACGCACACACACACACATATGCACCGAAAAGGGTCTCTATCCTGCGCACTGATATAAAAAATCGTAGCTATTTATTTAGAATCCTTAATTACTAAGTTTATTTCCTAAATATTTTGACGAGATATATTTTCCAGACAAAATATGAGCCAATGATAATCACGAAGACGACACTTTGCCCAACGGACGGAACAATGAATGTGGACCTTATATCGTACGACGTACAGCGGTACCGCCCGTGACCTCACGGCCCGTGACCTCTCGGCCCGTGACCTCCCGGCCCGTGACCTCCCGGCCCAGACCCCAACCTTACCCTCGGCCCATGCGGGCCAGCACGCTGGAGCTGCCGCTCTGAGCCGGCAGGTGGATCTGCTTGCAGATGTTTGGTCTCTCCCTGATCACCTGTAGCACCTGCGCGCGCACAAAAAAAATACACAGATCGCCCCCGACCACCCCATAGCCTTTAAAAGACCGTTGGGGAAAGTGCTGTCAGCAAGCACCTATTAAGACCGGCACTGCAAACAAGGGGATGAATGGTTAGCACCACACCCGGGCTGCTTCGTCTACCCAGTGCTGTTTACACACCGTGCCAGTTACTCATTTAAGACAGATTGACCTCAGGGAGGCCCATGACAGATTCAGTTACTCCTTTGCCTATGCTGACTGTGAGAGGGAATTGAAGTCAGGTCGCCGGGTTCGTAGTGCAGTACGCTACCCGCTACACTAGACATCACAAAGGGGAAGATCCCTCCTATAGCCTTAACAGATTGTTGGAGCAAGTGCAGTCAGCGAGCACCTATGAAAGCCGGCACGGCACACGACGGGGTTGGGTGGCCAGCACCACGCACGGCCGCCCTTGTCTCTCTAGTGGTCATATTTACACACTGCACCAGGTACTCATTTGAGGCCGAGTCAACTTAGGGAAGGCCCAGGACTGGTTCAGATAATCGTCACTGGTGTTGGCCGGGAGCGGGAATCTAACTCGGGTCGCCGGGTTCGTAGCGCAGTGCGCTAACCGCGATACTACAATACGCACGCGCACCTAGACACACTCAACTAGACACGCTCACCTAGACACGCTCACCTAGACACGCTCAACTAGACACGCTCACCAACACACACTCTCACTATACACACTCAAACCCACACACACACACAAGAACCTACAAACACTCGCACCCACACACACGCATCCACACACGCGGACCTACACACACTCGTACTATACACACTCAAACCCACACGCACTCACACACACACGCACGCACCTCGTCGGGGAAGTCCTTGGGGTGCGGCGACGTGAAGCGCACCCTCATCTCGGGGTCGAGCTCCGAGACCGCGGCCAGCAGCTCGGCAAACCGCACCTCCCTCCGGTCCGGCGCGGGGGTGAGGCGGCGGCACACGGAGCCAAATCCCCGGCTCAGCGCCGAGGGCCCGCCGTCGGGGGGGCCCTCCGGGGGGGTGCCCGCGGCCGGCTGGGAGGTGTCGCAGTAGCTGTTGACGTTCTGACCCAGGAGAACGACCTCCTTGACGCCCTGTGAGGGGGTGGCGAAGGACGGACCTCGGGTAAAACTTGCGGCCGCGCTGCGTTGTAGCTCGCCAAAAGCGTTTCCTGGTTTGGACGGCGCGCCGTGCAGGACAATGTCCGTCGTTACGAGCCACGTGCCAGCAAATGATTTCAGTTCTTTTTATTTTTTCAATTCCTAAAAAAAGCTCCCGGCATGCGAAGCGAAATGATGGCCATCGCGCCGAACCACAACCAGAAAATACGTAAGAGAGCAATACCCTTTCTAAACGTTTTGAAATTGAAATAACGATCTCTACTCCCATTTATCATATAGCAGTGGTGCTGTCAGTGCATATTACCTGCCATTGATAGGACATGTGGATCAGACACATGGACATCTAAAAAGTGTACAAAGAATCACGCAGGGACTAGGGAACGCACGCAAGTGAGAAACATCGTGTTGACCATCCATAAAAGTGCCGCATGGACAGGACGCGTCGCTACAAGGGCCGATGGTTGGTGGTCAAGACTAATGATGGGAGTGGCAGCCAAAGGCTGGAATACAACTTAGAGGACTGGGCCGTCATCTGTGGCTCCCACCAGGACCCACCTGCTGGAGAAGCACCCCAACCTCGGCCAGCACGGACGCCAGGGGGCGGCTCCGCTCCCGTCCGCGGGTGAACGGGACGATGCAGTAGGTGCACATGTTGTTACAGCCACGCATCACCGAGCTAGGGGCGGGGGCATGGGGAGTGGTGAAAGGGGCAGCAGTGTGTTATAGATGAGCACGGAAGAATTCACCAATGTCCTTCTGAAGTGGTCTACCATGTGCAGCGTGTCCTCTAAATTCCGTGACGCGCAGGACTGGGCAGACGTGGCACAACGGCGGGTACACTGTGCTCTACGCCCCATTCATCCTCATCACCATCACCGGCCATGATCAATCCACCGCTGGATGGATGAAGGCCTCTCCAAGCCGTCGCGAACGATCCAATCGAGCAACTGCACGGGAGCTGATTTCATCGCTCCAGGGATCTATTTTGGCGGCAGCGGAGGCTTACACGAAGGCGGAAGGTGCGCTGGGGTCGGCGCGGAGGGGTACGACGTCGGCGTACGTCTCGTCGACCGACAGCGCCACGTCGATGGCCTCCTGGTGGGAGCGGGCACGTGCCAGCAGGTGAGGCAGGCCGCGGTAGGCATCGGGCCCGGCCACGACGTCAACCGCCCGCTCGCGATCCAAGATGTCGCGCTTCAGCCGCTCCGCCATGCAGCCTGCACGCCGCACGTCGTCACCGCACGGACCGATTACAAATTACATTTTTTAAAATGTTTTACACACACCAGGTAGGCCCACTGAGCTATGTAGCTCTTTTTCATAAGCTTTCTTCTTCAGGTGCGCAGCTCTTGGTCTTGATAACGTTGCGAATGGCTGACTTACGGTTCTCCTACCCAGCAAAGATGCCACGCAATACAATGATGTCATGCTGTAATGCAATGATGTCATGCTGTAATGCAATGACATAATTCCTACGTCATGAGGCTTCCTTAACACCGTGCTTAGTCATAGATACTCAAATTTACTGGCCGCGGTTTGTAAATTGTAGGTTTTCACAGCAAAATATTGATTCATTACAGATGTTTGGGTTTGGCCATGCACACAAGCGCTTAACGTGGCAATTATTCCTGATGTTTCCCTTGAAAGTGCATTAAGCAGCTTCAGGAAAATCGACAAAAAATTCAGTTTGTCATTTTGCTTTACTTGAGATTAGGTTTAACATGTCTTAATCTGAATTGTATTGAATGCGGCCTGTACCCAGAATGCCGATCTGCAGGGCCGCCCCTCCGCGTTTCTGCCGCTCACGCTTGAGGTGGCGGAATCGCTCCACCCGGCGCCACACCGTCTGCTCCGCCTTGTCCCTACACGTTGGGAGCGACAAGCACTCATGTGTCAGTCCAACGATCGTGACGGTGTGGTGTTTTCCCCACCCCGCCACAAATTTTATTCCGTTTGTAATATCGGAACCTCAGCACAGAAAATGTCCCCAGCCCCTGGATTAGCAAACACGGAAAGAAGAGACGAGGCGGTGAGCGGTAGTGAAGGTCACCTGATGGCACACGTTACTGCCAAGATGACATCCGCCTGGAAGGCAACAGCAAAGAATTAACAATAGTACAACATTTCCACCACTTACCCATGACAGTCTCAATGTGTTTCAATACATTTTGCCTGGACAGCAGGAGAGCTCTGCTTTTGAGTGTCCCTGTCAACTTTGAATAGTTTTCCTTTTGTGTCAGAGGAACATGAAGTGCTCGGAGAAAACCCACACACGGACGGCTTCACCAATTAGGCAGCCTCACCAGGTAAGAGGCTTCAGCAGTGTCACATAAACATAATCAGTGTCGTCTAACCATTCATTAATATTTGCAGTACGCACGCCAGTGTCGTTTTCAAAATGTTGCTTAAAAGCCATACGACAAAAGGGCTAAACTTATGAAAATGCGAGGGTGCAGGATGTGCGCTGTGCAGCGGATGGGGCAGCAGCAATGGTCCCTGATATTTTAAGGCTCGTGTGGTGTGTGTGATCCGGCATTGTGTGGCATGATGGAACGGTAGGAGGAGGAGGGCTTCTGCCATCTGAATATCTGGCGATAGCCGGCAAATAAAATATACTTCAACCTATGGATTATGCGATGCAATTTTTTCCCCTATAGTTTAAATAAAAAGTTGGGGATGGAGTCTTAAAATCTGACAGGCATGTGTGACCAATTTAGTCAAACATTATTGACACCGGGCAAGAGTTTGGGGCGCGTCTTACTTTCCGGAGCATCTTATAATCCGGAAAATATGGCAAAAAATTACAATAATTTACATCTTCTGTGAATCCAGTCTTTGACAAAACGCCTCCCTACACCGTGCCGTTCACGGGGTTCAGCGACCATACTTCCTCCATGCTGGTCAGTGTAGCTTTGTGAAGGTGCTGCAGCACTGTGACCGGTTCGGATGGCGGCCGTGGCCAGGGATCAGACTCCAGTACCGTACTCTGGTTCAAAGCGCAGTCCACTAGTTGCTGCCGAAGACAAGCTTTCACCTTCTTCAGACTTTCCAATAATCATGGGCACGCAGTTCCGCAAACCAGGCAATCTCGCAGTGCTGTGCATGCGGTGGTGGGCAGTGTGTGTGCTGTGCGGATAGCTAGCTGTGCCTCTGCCAGGTTGTCTGTTCGGAAGTAGCCTTGCTTCTGCAGGATGGCCCACGCGATCTCAGTGTCGCTCGTGTTCATCTGGCATCCGTACGTCTCGAAGTAAACTTCGCACGGAGACAACACAGAGGCACACAAAGAAAGAAAGAGGCAAAGATGCCCTGTGTGAACTCGCACGGGCTGTTGGGGCATGTTCTGTTAAGGAGCACCTATGAAGGTTGCGACAACGCACGATGGGGTGGAACGGCCTGTACCATATCTTGTGGCCTTTGTCTTCCCTGTGCTGAAATTTATACACTGCAACAGGTACTCATTTAAGGCCCAGGTCGGTTCGGATATTCACTACTAATCCAAAATTAAACGAAACTTTTTTATTTTACCTGGTAAGTCCCACCGAGCTCTCTAGCTCTTTTTAAGAAGCAACCTGGCCACAAAAGATAGCTCAACGAAGTGGCTTACCGTGTAAAAATTGATAGCAGCCAAATACTCCAATTGCATGCGGAATGTTAAATGTGGAGGGAAAAACCGGAGGACCCGGAGAAAAATCCACAGGACCACGGGGAGAGACACAAACTCCAGATATACAGCAGGCGTCTAGGTCTGGATCGAACCCACGACCTCCTGTGTACCAGGCGAGGTAGTTAACAACTCCTAGCCACCGTGGAGCCCAATTTTGCGGCACAAGGCTTGACAATCAAACAATCTGGAATACGCCCCACATCATAAGATCGTGGAGGCTCAACAGGTTTGGGCTTGGATAAATGTTTATAAGAGTGACTACCAAAATGCACGCCAGATGCAGAGCTGTGCTGCGTTGTGGTCAGCAAAGGGTGTCGCGAAACATCACGTTTTCCTGTACCGTACTTCTATGCTCCCACTAAATTAGAAACGCTGAGTTGTGAGATTACACGAAGCATCCCTCCCGCCCTCTAGTGCGCGTTTAGTGCGTCAACATTACTCGCAGCGACGGATAAAGATTGAAGTGGTTAAGCCTCATGGGTTCGCACGAATTTATAATTTCTTCTGCTATAAATATCCAAATGATTGGGGCCACTTTGCTGAGTTATCATTTGTGGCCAGGTCGCTTCTGAAAAATAAATTACTACCGCAGCGGGCATTACCTGGTAGGATGGGGATGGTTTAGTTTTATTTTAGTATGCGTTTGGGTGATTTGTTCACCTTCCGTGTACTTTGCACTCCTATCATGCCTTTGTATTGTTTGTTGTAAAGTTCTTACCCGACCCAACTGGACATGTGAAAAAAGAGCTTTACAGCTCATCGGATTCCTCCACTGTAAAAACAACAGCTTTCAGATTGTGAAACAGCTGACGTCTTTCTCCCAGCTCACCCTTGCGACCGTGTCCCCACAGAGCGTCGGGTCTCAGGTAAGGCGGCGTGAGGTCCTCATCCTCCTCGTCCACCTCGTCTGCCCCACCGCCCTCTACGGACGCCTGTACAAAGTCCCGCAGCGAAGGACCCTCGCCTAGCCGCCGTGCCGGCTTCCCCGCACCGTCTCGGGCAGAGACACCAGGCCGCGCGTGGTCGTGGTGGTCGTGGTGGTGCTCGTGCGGCGTCGCGGCAGTGCACAACTCCGGGCCGCGTGGGCGGGCAGCGTGGGCCCGCGCGAGGAGGGCCCGCACGGAGCGGCACAGGTTGGCCATGGGGCCCGGAGGCGGACGGTGCGGTGGGTGACAGCAGCGACCTCGCCCCCGTCGCCCTCCAAAAGCCCGCACGTGGAGCGAGACCGGTCAGGGGGTGGAGGGATATGGAGGGGGGGGGGCGGGGATATGGAGGGGGGGCGGGGATATGGAGGGGGCGGGGATATGGAGGGGGGCGGGGATATAGAGGGGGGGGCGGGGATATGGAGAGAGAGGGGCGGGGATATGGAGGGGGGCGGGGATATGGAGAGAGAGGGGGCGGGGATATGGAGGGGGGGCGGGGATATGGAGGGGGGGGCGGGGATATGGAGGGGGGATATGAAGGGGGGGGCGGGGATATGGAGGGGGGGCGGGGATATGGAGGGGGGGCGGGGATATGGAGGGGGGGCGGGGATATGGAGGGGGGCGGGGATATGGAGGGGGGCGGGGATATGGAGGGATGGAGGGGAGGATGAAGGGGTCGATCGAGGGGGGGATGGAGGGGGGAGGGATGGAGGGGGCTGCAGACGTCATCGAATTTCAAAGTCGGCCATATTGGTACGGGACGCATCTGTCTTGAAATTCAGAATATTGATTTAATTATTGTTGTAGGAATCCGATGAGCTGAAAAGCTCTTTTTTTTCACTGATGTCCAGTTGGAGCGGGTGAAGAACGTTACAACAACAAAGTACACGGAATGTAAACAAATCACCCAAACACATACAAATAGAACTAAACCATCCCCATCCTGCCAGGCAAAGCCCCCTGATAAATTAACTTATTTTTCTGAACATCGCCACTGGGGAAACAAAGGCGGTCGGGCGTGGTGCTGGCCATCCACCACCTTCGTATTCCGTGTCGACCTTCATGGGTGCTGCTGCTCGCGAACAGCACAATCGATTGTTTTTGGGTTAAATCGCGTAAATATCAATGTGTCTCATATTCTTGGTTCTTTCGGTAAAGTCACGTAGAAGGGAAACAATAAAATAATTTTAAAATATATTGTTTTATATATTTTTTATTGTTTCCCTTCTACGTGACTTTACCGAAAGAACCAATAATATGAATCCCTGCAGTCACGAAAGCTTTAAATAAAAAAAATATAAATGTGTCGTTAAACCCGCCACTGCCCGACAGCCAATTAGTTCGGTTTATCACGTAAACAAAACATGCCATAATAAAGGTTTTTGGGGTTAGATCGCGTTATTTATAAATGTGTCGTAACCCTCCACCATCCGACACGGCCAAACAGTAAATATATGTGTCACGTTTTACAAAAGACAAATAGTTCACTACTTTAGCCTACCGGTGTGTTGAAGAGTGAAACAACATCATTTACCAAAAAACTATTTTGAGTACGACGTTTCGCTGGTAATTACATCCAGCATCATCGGGCAATTTGCCAGAATGGTGAAGCCCTCCACTTGCTCCCGGTCTTAAATAGAGGAGCAGCAGGGTGACGTCATCATTTAATCCATTTCGGTGCAGTGTTTTGAGGCTTAGAGGGGGGATGGTATTGTAATTATATAACAAAACATTCCAATTCGTTACTAGTAAAGCACACCGGTGTGTTGGAGAGCAAACCCACAGCAACATTTACAATTCGAGTAGGACGTTTACGACGTTTCGCCAGTAACAACAACCAGCATCATCATGCAACTCTGGCTGTTGCCTGATGATGCTGATTGTTGTTATTGTTGTAATTACTGGCGAAACGTTACGGTACCCGAATTGTAAAGGTTGCTCTGGGTTTACTCTCCAATAGACCAGCGGTGTGCTGAACCAGTAACGAATTGCCCCACGTTTTGTTCACGTGACAAACCTTACGAATTTGCCCGTGCCGGGGCGGTGGCGGAGTTTAATGACGCATTTATAATCACGTGATCTAACACCCAAAGGGGCCGTCCATAAATGACGTCACGCACCTAGGGGGGGGGGGGGGGGTCAGACATTTGTGACGATGTGTGACGAGGGGGGGAGGGGGTTTGAGAAATGTGACATCACATTAAAATGCTCAAGTTTAAATAAATATAGACAACACGTTCTACTTAATTAAATAGACTTTTTAATAAATGTTTTCTCCTACGACATCAGAGTGCAGCGCCACATTAAATACGCACTACGATGACAATAGTTTAAAGCGATTTGAAGCATGTTTTTTTTGGGGGGGGGGGCAAGGCACTGTGATGTCATATTTTAGGGGGGGGTTCTGACTTTTTGTGACGCCGTGTGACGAAGGGGGGGAGAGGGTCAAAAATCGTCCAAAATCGCGTGACGTCATTTATGGACGGCCCCAAAGACAATCTATCGTGGATAACATTGCTCACTGAACCCTGCCTTATACTACTACTATTATACTACCACGTGTTAAACTCGCGAACGAGCATTTGCCACGTGCAGCCTGCGAAGGCTGCACGTGGTATAAGGGGAAGAGGGGGCGGGGTCTGAGTCTCCGTTGTGACGTCATCGGCCGCCCGACGTCATCGATGGTCGGCTTCCGGGGTCGCGTCGATCCGTTTGTAAAGGACCGCGACGCGTGGGTTCGTCGCGTAAACAAACAAACAAACAAAGGGTCGAACAAACAAACATTAAAATCAACAAAGGGGAACGATTCCACGCCGCCTATCGAAGCGCAGCGCTGAGGCCCGAGGCGTCAAGTGTATGGGGGTGGTGGAAACCTAAGAAACGCGGCAAGTGATTGTCGATTCGCGAACAGGATCGATACGGAGCTTCTACAAAAATCGAATCTCGCTCATCGACAACACGGCGTTGGTCAGTCCGATTGGAGTGCTGCCCGTTCGAAACGCTGCGTTCGTGGTAAATTAGCGACCGGGAGGGTACAGTTCTATACTTTGACAACAACAAAGGGGGGGGGGGTGGTGGTGGAGGGAATCGGTTAGTGGAATCGAATTACGCGTGGCAAGATTCGGAATCGATTCGTGTGGTATCCGTGTCCACGTCTGCCTTACCAGCGTTGGCCATTGTGAGCCAGCCTCCCTCTAATCTCTCTCCTCTCTCTCTCCTATCTCTCTCTCTCTCCTATCTCTCGCCGAACGCTCTCGCAGAGCACCGCGAGAGTTGTCCTGCAGGCTGCGTGTAGAGGCTGCCGCGGTGCGTATGTACCCGAGACGTGCGAGTCTTTGCGCTTGAGCCGATGAATGAATGAATTGGACCTAGCCGAGTCGCTGAGAACGCACCACGCGCACACACGCGCGGCGTGATGCGCCGAGGTCGAGCGGGTTGGATGTCAACATGGAATAGACTCCTCCCCGCCGCAAGATTCGCCCCGCCATAGGAACGTGGAATTTCCACCACTCGCATTGCGCAAGGGGGCTTTAAACGGAATGTGTGCCTCGCCTTGAATGTGCGGCTCATTCGAGTTAAGCGCGTTGCTTTTTGTTTGACTAGCGGTGTTTGATGGGTGGGTAGGGGGACGGTGCGCTTGCAAATCCCACTGCTGGTCGTTGTTGACGGGAATGGTTAAGTTTAACACGTAGCAGGCTTTTCGCGACCCAGTATTATTAATAATAAACGTTTTTTTGGGTTAGATCGCGTTATTTATAAATGTGTCGTAAACCCTCCACCACCCTGACACGGCCAGTCGGTGAACAAAAAGTTGTCACGTTGACAAAAAGACAAAATAAATTTCGATTTAAAGCTTTCGTGACTGCAAGGATTAATCTTCTTTGGCCGAAACGTCGTGAGAATTTTATTCTGTTATTTTATTTTATCAATTTTATTATTTTATTCTCATTCTACGACGTGACTTTACCGAAAGAACCAAAGAAAAAGACAAAATAGTTCACTACTTTAGCCCCACCCGGTGTGTTGACTGGAATGATTGTGGATGGCGACAGACCCACCGGAGTGACCGGACCCACCATCGTTCTTAAAGTTTAAATCCTCCCGTCTCTTTGCGTTATTATTGAGTGGCGTCTCTGCATTAATGATTTAAATTTCGGGGTATTGGGGGGGGGAGCGGGGTGGTTTGTTCGTCACATAGAGTATATTAGCTCGAGGAACAAAAGCTCTGCATTTTTACACGTTTTTATATTTAACTCACTCCGTCTGTTTTTGTTGTATTCTCAAATATTGTAACTCAATTTTAACCCACTTTCCAATGTGGTATCGACTGCAAACTTGGTATAGGTATGTCATGCTGATGACAATACTGTATTCTATCATAAAAAAATCCAAAGCATATTTTTTAACATTTTACACGTTTTTATTTAACTCACTCCGTCTGTTGTTGTATCCTCAAATATTGTAACTCAATTTTAACCCACTTTCCAATGTGGTATCGACTGCAAACTTGGTATAGGTATGTCATGCTGATGACAATACTATATTCTACCATTACAAATTAAAAATATATATTTTAAACGATCCTTTTTACGGGTCTTATTGTCCACGCTCAACTCACGTTGGCTGTAAATCACCACGGTCCCCTTACGTTATGGCAAGCTTCGGGGCCACTTCCTGGAGTCGTGGAGTTGTGCCATTACTAGCACGGTACATTTCATTAAAGCGTGTTTTAAAAAAAGTATTTTTAAATATATATTTTTACACGCTTTCATTTAACTCACTCTGTTGTTGTATCCTCAAATCTTGTAATTCAATTGTAACCCACTTCCCAATGTGGTATCAACTGCAAACTTGGTATACTTATGTCTTACTGATTACAATATTATGTTCTATCATACATCTATATTTTTAAACATTTTTTATGTTATGTTTCGGCTTGGGTCTAATTGTCCACGGTCCCTGCCATTACTAGTACGGTACATTTAATAAAAGCGTGTTTTAAAAAACTTTTTTTTTAATATTACTTATTCACATTCACACCGGGTGGATTTATTGCCGCGTCAAATGTCGTCTATAAATACACTTTCGTAATTTCACCTCGTTTGCCATTATCCGCGCCCTATTTTAAAACGTAAAAATGCGCAAAGTAGTTGCTGGCCAGTTGCATTAATCCACCGCCAAATGAGAAACTGTCCACGTATTTTGTCTTCTTGGGTTAATTCGGTTGGAACGCAATGTGTGTAATGGTTCTTGTGTGTGTGTGTGCGTCTGCTCGTCTCGTTCCGTGTCTTTCTGTCTCTCTCGCTCTCACTTTTGTCTGGCTCTTCAGAATTGTGTTCCTTTCTGCGTCTTCCTCGGTGTCTCCGTTTGTCCCGCGCTCTCCGTGGGTGTCTCTCCTTGCGTGTCTTTTAAACCGCAGATGCAGTTTGAAAAAAAAAGTGACATGTCCGTGATTCTACGAGTTTATTTGTTGGGCAAATACTTTGCAGGTCAAAGGTCAAGACCGTGTCGCTGACAAGGTTTAAATATTAAATTAAATGTGCCCACCACCTATTTGTCAATGTTCCGCTTGTTTCACCAGAAAAGCCTCGCAGAGTCTGATGGCACTTTTTGAGTAGCATCCTGCCATGTTTTCGCAGCAGGGGGGCGATAATTACTGCAAGTTACTCAATCCCAATCGAGTAATCCCAAGCGAGTAATCCGAATCGAGCAATCCCAATCGAGTAACTTACAGGTAGCGTTTCAAATTTGGACAATGACGCGGACGCCGGCACAGAATGGCTGCCTCCTCTTGCAATAGGGGGCCACGCCATATTCGGTGATGTCCTTTCACTCGGCCCAAATGCCAGCGAAGGGAATTCAGGTCACGTGTGTGTGTATACGTTGAACTTCTTTCGCACCGTACGTAGCCAACCGGGATAATCGGAGGTGCGGCGGCGGCGGGGTGAGGGGGGGAAGGACAACAAACTACACACAAAAAGCAGTTCTAAAGATATCACTTTTCAATCTAGACGATTTAAAAGTACATAGCCCCCCGTGGTTTCCTAACATCGGAGGGAAAGGCGTTCCAAAAAGGAGAAGCGTTTCATCGGAAGGAAGAACGTCACCCCCGCGAAGCGAGACCGGCACCGAGAATTTAAACCCCAGGATCTCGGCAGTACCAGCTCAGTGCAGGCCACCTGGCCTCCTCTGGAACCGCGTTTGTAGTTTAACACTCTCTGCGCCACTGTCACGCCCTCCACCACCTTGTAGGCCATGCCAGGCCCCAAGCAGCGTCCTTCCCGCAAGGTGGCGGCGGCGGCGGCGGCGGCAGCCGGCGGCACTCGCCCCGCCGACGACGACGATAACGGCCCGGCGACGCGACGGACGGGCGCCGTGCCTCGGCCCACGAGGAAAGGGGCCGCCCGGCGCCCGAGCTGGGACATCGGCGGCGCGCTGCTCAACGTGGCGATAGTGCTGGGCGCCGTGAGCCTCGCCTGGTTCTGCTGGGCGTCGTACGTGCGCTGGCGGCTCACGGCGCGCCTCACCACGCCGCTCCCCGCCGAGCCGGCCGTGCCGCAGGGCTCCTCCCTCCCCGCGGCGTCGCCCGACCGCTTCTGGGGCTCGTACCGGCCGGGGGTCTACTTCGGCATGAAGACGCGGAGTCCTCGCTCGCCCGTGGCCGGTAAAACTAAAAACTATTTTTTTTTTTAAATGTATTTTACCAGGTAAGGCCCACTGAGAGCTGTATGGCGCTTTTTCAGAAGCGACCTGGCTGTCACAAATGATAACCCAATGAAGTGGCTTATCTTCACGTGGAAATTTATGGCAGCCAAATACTCTTGAACGCGTGATACTGATTCTAAATGCGGAGGGAAAAACCGGAGGACGCGGAGAAAAGTCCATGCGACCACAGGGAGAACGTGCAAACTCAAAATATAGAGGCATCAGGGTCGGAATCGAACCCACAGCTTCCTGTATACCAGGCGAGGTAGTTAACATCTCTCCACCACGGTAGTGCGAACCAGGACCACGAAGTCCCTTCTACCCACGATGCTTGACTTCTCAATCCCCTGTCTTTTTTTCACGCTCACCTTTGTGAATCCACACTCACCGGTCTTAATTCACACTCGTATCTCTTTACGCTTGCCTGCCTTCACAACTCGCCTGGCTTGACACTCACCTGTCTGGGATCTCCCCCGTGGCCGCTCTCTCTCTCTCTCTCTCTCCGTGGGTCTCACGCAGGCCTCATGTGGATGGAGCAGACGGCAGGAGGTCGCGTGGGGCCCCTGCGGCACACGTGCGAGCAGGGTGACGCGCTGGCGCGCTACGGCTGGCTGACGCACGACGGACGCCACTTAGGCGTGCACGAGGCGCTGGAGCGCGACTTCTCGGTGCGCGCCGCGTTCGTGAAGCGCGCCGGCGGGGCGCACGGCGGAGACTGGAGCTGGCGCGTCACCGTCAAACCGCGGGTTCGTCCGCTAGTTTGCTCCGGTAGACGTTTTTCGCCGCGGCTCTCCACGTCACGTTACGCCGTCTCAAATTGGTCGCTTGGCAATTTGTAAAGGGGCAGATAATTATTTCTTACCCAGATGTCATCTTAGGTGAGCGAATCATTCTAATTTAGCACGTGGGCTTTCGCGACCAGTATTATTCATAATCAAGGTTTTTGGGGTTCGGTCGCGTAAGTATCAATGTGTCGTAACCCTCCACCACCCGACACAGCCAGTAAGGTTAGTCACGTAAACAACGCGCCAATTAGTTACTACTTCAGCCCACCGGTGTGTGTTGGAGAGTAAATCCACAACATTTACAATTTGAGTGCGACATTTCGCTGGTAATTACATCCAGCATCACTGGGCGATTTGCCACTATCTGTAACTAATTGGCGCGTTCTTTACGTAACAAACCTTACCGGCTGTGTCAGGTGGTGGAGGGTTACGACACATTTATACTTAGGCAATCTAACCCAATAACCTTCGTTATGAACCGTTCTACCTCGCGCTGCGTTAGCCTTCCGAGCTACAGGCAGGGACGGCCCATAGCATCTCGGCGTAAGCGGCAGCGCTCCAGCCGACGGCGGGGGGTAGGGGGGGCCCCCTGACTTTGGTTTGCGCTACCCCGCGACGTTCCCAGGCGTCGGTGGAGGCCGCTCCGCTCGTCTCGCTCCTCGTCTACGTGGCCACGGACGGCCAGGGCGTCCTGCGACCCCGCGTGGAGCAAGGGGAGCGCCTCGCGGCGGTCGACGGCTCGTCGGAGGAGCTGGGAGACTTCCGCGTCACCTTCGCCGCGCCCACCGCGCCCAAGACGAACGATGCCAAGTATGCCAGGTGCGAGCGCGCGCAGAGTGACGCCGACACCACGCAGAGTGACGCCGACACCACGCAGAGCGACGCCGACACCACGCAGAGTGACGCCGACACCACGCAGAGTGACGCCAACCCCACGCAGAGTGACGCCGACACCACGCAGAGTGACGCCGACACCACGCAGAGTGACGCCAACCCCACGCAGAGTGACGCCGACACCACGCAGAGTGACGCCGACACCACGCAGAGTGACGCCGACACCACGCAGAGTGACGCCAACCCCACGCAGAGTGACGCCGACCCCCACGCAGAGTGACGCCGACACCACGCAGAGTGACGCCGACACCACGCAGAGTGACGCCGACACCACGCAGAGTGACGCCAACCCCCACGCAGAGTGACGCCGACACCACGCAGAGTGACGCCGACACCACGCAGAGTGACGCCGACACCACGCAGAGTGACGCCGACACCACGCAGAGTGACGCCGACACCACGCAGAGTGACGCCGACACCACGCAGAGTGACGCCGACCCCACACAGAGTGACGCCGACACCACGCAGAGTGACGCCGACACCACGCAGAGTGACGCCGACACCACGCAGAGTGACGCCGACACCACGCAGAGTGACGCCGACACCACGCAGAGTGACGCCGACACCACGCAGAGTGACGCCGACACCACGCAGAGTGACGCCGACACCACGCAGAGTGACGCCGACACCACGCAGAGTGACGCCAACCCCACGCAGAGTGACGCCGACACCACGCAGAGTGACGCCGACACCACGCAGAGTGACGCCGACACCACGCAGAGTGACGCCAACCCCACGCAGAGTGACGCCGACCCCCACGCAGAGTGACGCCGACACCACGCAGAGTGACGCCGACACCACGCAGAGTGACGCCGACACCACGCAGAGTGACGCCAACCCCCACGCAGAGTGACGCCGACACCACGCAGAGTGACGCCGACACCACGCAGAGTGACGCCGACACCACGCAGAGTGACGCCAACCCCACGCAGAGTGACGCCGACACCACGCAGAGTGACGCCGACACCACGCAGAGTGACGCCGACACCACGCAGAGTGACGCCGACACCACGCAGAGTGACGCCGACACCACGCAGAGTGACGCCGACACCACGCAGAGTGACGCCGACCCCACACAGAGTGACGCCGACACCACGCAGAGTGACGCCGACACCACGCAGAGTGACGCCGACACCACGCAGAGTGACGCCGACACCACGCAGAGTGACGCCGACACCACGCAGAGTGACGCCGACACCACGCAGAGTGACGCCGACCCCCACGCAGAGTGACGCCGACCCCCACGCAGAGTGACGCCAACCCCACGCAGAGTGACGCCAACCCCACGCAGAGTGACGCCGACACCACGCAGAGTGACGCGGACACCACGCAGAGTGACGCCGACACCACGCAGAGTGACGCCGACACCACGCAGAGTGACGCCAACCCCCACGCAGAGTGACGCCGACACCACGCAGAGTGACGCCGACACCACGCAGAGTGACGCCGACACCACGCAGAGTGACGCCGACACCACGCAGAGTGACGCCGACACCACGCAGAGTGACGCCGACACCACGCAGAGTGACGCCGACCCCACACAGAGTGACGCCGACACCACGCAGAGTGACGCCGACACCACGCAGAGTGACGCCGACACCACGCAGAGTGACGCCGACACCACGCAGAGTGACGCCGACACCACGCAGAGTGACGCCGACACCACGCAGAGTGACGCCGACACCACGCAGAGTGACGCCGACACCACGCAGAGTGACGCCGACACCACGCAGAGTGACGCCAACCCCACGCAGAGTGACGCCGACACCACGCAGAGTGACGCCGACACCACGCAGAGTGACGCCGACACCACGCAGAGTGACGCCAACCCCACGCAGAGTGACGCCGACCCCCACGCAGAGTGACGCCGACACCACGCAGAGTGACGCCGACACCACGCAGAGTGACGCCGACACCACGCAGAGTGACGCCAACCCCACGCAGAGTGACGCCGACACCACGCAGAGTGACGCCGACACCACGCAGAGTGACGCCGACACCACGCAGAGTGACGCCAACCCCACGCAGAGTGACGCCGACACCACGCAGAGTGACGCCGACACCACGCAGAGTGACGCCGACACCACGCAGAGTGACGCCGACACCACGCAGAGTGACGCCGACCCCACACAGAGTGACGCCGACACCACGCAGAGTGACGCCGACACCACGCAGAGTGACGCCGACACCACGCAGAGTGACGCCGACACCACGCAGAGTGACGCCGACACCACGCAGAGTGACGCCGACACCACGCAGAGTGACGCCGACCCCCACGCAGAGTGACGCCGACCCCCACGCAGAGTGACGCCCACCCCACGCAGAGTGACGCCAACCCCCCGCAGAGTGACGCCGACACCACGCAGAGTGACGCGGACACCACGCAGAGTGACGCCGACACCACGCAGAGTGACGCCGACACCACGCAGAGTGACGCCGACCCCCACGCAGAGTGACGCCGACCCCCACGCAGAGTGACGCCAACCCCACGCAGAGTGACGCCAACCCCACGCAGAGTGACGCGGACACCACGCAGAGTGACGCGGACACCACGCAGAGTGACGCCGACACCACGCAGAGTGACGCCGACACCACGCAGAGTGACGCGGACACCACGCAGAGTGATGCGCGTTTGAAGAGTGAAGCGGCAGGTGAGGCGAGGTGACGGAGGGAGAGAGTGCGTGCCTGTGTGTTGAACTTCTTTCGCACCGTACGTGGCCAACCGTGCCAATCGGAGGTGCGGTCAGATGTTCGATTGCCGATGGTGATTGCTGATCGGCCGGGGGGGCATTGACACCGACTGCCGATTGGCCGCTGGCGACGCAGGTACAACAGCCTGCGGGCGCCACTGGGGGGGCTGGAGCGCGTGACGGAGGTGGTGCGCGCCAGCCTGAGCGGCCGCTTCGTGTTCGGCCCGGACGACGGGGAGGAGCGCCGCTACGTCGTCGCCGTGGACGGGAGGCAGCTGGGCGCGTCCGAGCCGAGCGACGGCCACGCCTCCACGCTCGTAGTGCACCAGCTCACGGCCAGGGCGCCCTTCCAGGTGCGCCACGGCGGGGGGGGGGGGTGTCCGAGCGCGTCTCCGGTAGCGGCCACGGTCTCGTCTCGCCGCGGGCCATCCTCGCTGGCGCTGGTCTTACCTCGCCGGCCATTGCGACCTTGCAGTAATCTTACATTGCATGGTCGCACCTATTGCACACGCAAGCTGCTTTACACACAACACCTTGCTGATTTAGTCAAGGATGAACAACCATCATCACGCATACTCCGGTCATCCTCGCAGCAGCGGCTTTTGGCTGGCCATCGAACAAAGATGATCACCGCATCACGTACCTTCAGATGTGCTTCTACGGCCGTCTGTAACGCTCTTCCTTCCGATATTAGGAAGCCACTGGAACTATGCACTTTTTAATAATTTAGATTGACGAGCTCATTTCTTTAGAACTGCTTTTATTGTTGTGTTTGTTGTCCTTCCCCCGCATCTCCGATTAGCACTGTCAGCTTTGTACGGTGTGAAAGAAGTTCAACATACACGTGGTGCGGTGAAAGTGTGGGTACATTACGTCTGGTCACCGTAGAAGAGTAGGCCCAGACACACTCTAGAGATGCTTTCCAGAGCATAATCAACTACATTTAATCTTATGGATGTTGTACCCATGCTGTGGGTCCTGGCGAGATGTTAACTACCCCGCCTGGTACACAGGAGGTCGTGGGTTCCATCCCGACCCTGACCGCCGGTTTTTGCAGCTTCCATGTCTCTCTCTCCCCATGGTCGCGTGGATTTTCCTCTGGGTCCTCCGGTTTTTTCCCCTCCACATTTAGAAAAAAGAGCTATATAGATCAGTGGGGCCTTTATTTAATAGTTGTAATCCAAAGCTTCATTGGTGATGACAAAAAAAACAAAAACCAATCTACAGCGCGTAATCATCTCGCGCGTACCGCCTCCAGCCGCGGGTTTTCGCGCGCGCCGCCCCCCCCACGTAATCCGTGCCCCCGTCCCACCTTGCGCCGCCGCGCAGATGGAGGTGCTCTTCGAGTCGGGCAGCGTGGAGCGGCGCGACGGGGCGCTGGCGGGCGCCGCCCTCACGCGGGAGCTCGCCGCCCGCCAGGCGGCGTTCGACGCGCGCTTCGAACGCGCCTTCGGCCTCGCGGGCGCCAAGGGCTTCCCGCCGGCGCAGGTGGCCTTCGCCAAGGCGACGCTGAGCAACGCGCTGGGCGGCGTCGGCTACTTCTACGGCCGCTCGGTGGTGCGCTCGCCGCTCGCGGACGAAGGGGCCGCGCTCTACTGGCCCGCGCCGCTGCTCACCGCCGTGCCGTCGCGCTCCTTCTTCCCGCGCGGCTTCCTGTGGGACGAGGGCTTTCACCAGCTGCTGGTGTGGCGCTGGGACGCCGAGGTGGCGCGCGACATCGTCGCCCACTGGCTCGACCTCCTCAACGCCGACGGGTGGATCCCGCGCGAGCAGATCCTGGGAGCGGAGGCGCAGAGCAAAGGTCGGGGGTCGGGGGTGGGGGGTGGGGGGGGGGGCGAACGTCCTCTTTGGGGGGAGCGCGGAGGTTCGCGTCGCTCGTCGCCGCGGCGACGGTTCGCTTTGGTTGCCGCGGTTACGGCTTTGAGAAGCGCGGGTTTTGCCCGACTCGTTTTGTAGCGTCTACACGGTGGTGTTGTGCGGGGTGTTCGTACTGTTTTGAGTCGCGCAGTTTGCCTCGTATGTACCGGTCTGGCTCATCAGATTGTCCTGTCTTGTTCTGTCTCCTCTGTACGGTCTCGTATGTATGTCTGTAACGTTGCCAGGATTTAATTTGTCCTGATGTTCTTGTTTGTACTACCTCTCTCCCTCCCCCACCCTCCCTCTCTCCCTCCCCACCCTCCCTCTCTCCCTCCCCTCCCTCCCTCCCTCTCTCCCTCCCTCCCCCTCCCTCCCCTCTCCCTCCCCTCCCTCCCCTCCCTCTCTCCCTCCCCTCCCTCCCCTCCCTCTCTCCCTCCTCTCCCTCCCCTCCCTCCCTCCCCTCCCTCTCTCCCTCCCCTCCCTCCTCTCCTCCCTCCCCTCCCTCCCCTCCCCCCCCCTCCCTCCCACCCTCCCTCCGCCGGCGTGCCGGTGCTCCCGTGGCGTAGTCCCGGCTGAGTTCGTGGTGCAGCACAGCCAGAACGCCAACCCCCCCACCTTCTTCCTGACGCTGCGCTCCTCCGTGGCGGGGCTGGGCGCCGGCTCCGTGTCGGACGAGGACTCCGCGTTCCTGCGGCGAATCTTCCCGCGCCTGCGCGCCTGGTATCGTGTGTAAACAAAAACAAAAAATCGACAGCGTCGCGGGGTTCGGGGGCGGGCGGGCGGGCGGGCGGGCGGGCGGTTCTTCCGCGGGTCGACAGACACGCGGCCGGCTCGCCGACCGGTTGCTGCGCGGGTTTGTGCGGTGGTGGCGGCGGCGGTGGCGCAGGTTCGATTGGTACAACGTGACGCAGAGCGGGCCCGTGCCGTACTCGTTCCGCTGGAGAGGACGAGACGCCGACACCAGCCTCTTCCTCAACCCCAAGACCCTCACGTCTGGCCTGGACGATTACCCACGGTGAGGCCACCCCTGCGTTTCGCCCTCCGCATTCGGCAGCGAGCACCCTCCCCGTCTCGCCGCCGCTCCTCCCTCAAGACCCCCACCTCCTTCTCCCCGGCCCACCCTCCGTCCCTCGGCACCCCCGGTACCCGCTAAGCTGCCCTCCCTATACCCCGACCCTATTGACCATATCGCTTTTAGCTACCCTAGTGGGTAGCACTCATAACCGTTGTAAAACGCCTTGGATAAAAGTGCGATGTGAATATATAAGATGAGCGAGTGGCGGCTTGCCCTCCTGCCTGCCTCGCCGCGTGTTCCTCTCTGTGTCCCGCTGTCCTCCACTGGAGAGCCGCGCTGCATGCGTTGAGGGTAGCGAAGATCTGCTGTGATTACTACGTTCGCTTAGGAATCGAGGAGTGGACTGCGCACGTGTGTTTGCGTGAGAGTCTGTGTGTGCGTGTGAGTCATTGTCTTTGTGTGTCTCCATGAGTCTGTGTGTGAGTCTGCGTGAGTCTCCGTGAGTCTGTGTGTGAATCTCTATGAGTCTGTGTGTGTGTGTCTCTATGAGCCTCTATGAGTCTGTTTATATGTGTGTGTGTGAGTCATTGTCTTTGTGTGTCTCCATGAGTCTGTGTGTGAGTCTGCGTGAGTCTCCGTGAGTCTGTGTGTGTCTCCGTGAGTCTGTGTGAATCTCTATGAGTTTGTGTGTGTGTCTCTATGAGCCTCTATGAGTCTGTTTATATGTGTGTGTTTGAGTCTCTATGGGGAGCGATAGTGTAGCGGTTAACGCTACGCTGCGTTACGAACCGGGCGGCCCGAGTTCGATTCCCGCTCACGGCCAACACCAGTGACGATTATCTGAACCGGTCCTGGGCCTCCTCCGCTAGGTCGACTCAGCCTCAAATTAGTACCTGGTGCAGTGCGTAAACATCGCCACTGGGGAGACAAAGGTAGCCGGGCGTGGTGCTGGCCACCCACCCCCTCGTGTGCCATGCCGGCCTTCATAGGTGCTCGTTAACAGCACTTGCCCCTACAGTCTGTTGAGGCTATACGGGGGAATCTTTGTCTTTGATCTCTATGAGTCTCTATGAGTCTCTATGAGCCTGTGTGTGTGCATCCCAGGGCTTCGCATCCCTCCGAGCAGGAGCGCCACGTGGACCTGCGCTGCTGGATGGCGCTGGCAGCCGGTGTCATGGCCGACATCGCTCGCACCATCGGGGAACCCCACCAAGGTGGAGTCTCACGGGGTCACAGGGAGCGGGGTCGCGGGGTCACGGGGTCACTGGATCACGGGGAGTGGGGTCACTGGGTAACAGAGAGGAGCGTTCGTACGGGGCAGTGCCATATCCGAGCTGCGATGCGCTTAGTAAACTAACACAAGAGACTATTTTTTGTATTTTACCAGGTAAGGCCCACTGAGCTTTCTAGCCCTTTTTCAGAAGCGACCTGGCCACAAATGATGAAAGCTCAACCAAAGCGGCCTATCATCGTGTGGAAATTTATATCTGCCAAATGCTTTTGAACGCCCGTTGGAGAGGTCCACGGTTCGGGCCAAGCGGCTGCCCTAGTTAATATCGTCGGAATGTTTATCTAGCCGGGCGCTGGTGGTGAACTGCCGTAATTCAGCACTGTGGAAGTTGAGGGTAAGGTGGATCACTAAAAAGTCGTGAAATTCCCCAAACTCTCTGAATCAGTAAGTCACCCACTCCTGGCTTTCCAGGATATGATGGCAGTAGAGCACGATGAGCCAGACCGTTACATACGATGAGTCAGACCACCCCACTCCACTTGAGAACTCGGCGTCAACCGCAGGGTGGTTGCGATGGACCCCAGATTTTAATCCCAGGATCTCGGTGGTGCCACCTCGGCCACCACCACCACCACCACCTCTTACACTCTGACCTCTCTGGCTGCCGTACATTTCCTCATCCACCTCCTCCTCCCCCTCCTTACTCGCTCGTCCCGTGTCACCCCCCCCCCCCGCTCCTCCTCGTACGGGCAGTGTACGCGCGAATGCACCGTGAGCTGAGCGACAACGACATTCTGGACGCGCTGCACTGGGCCGAGGAGCTGCAGGCCTACGCCGACTGGGGCAACCACACGGAGGCCGTGGCGCTGGTGCGCGAGAGGGTGCCACCCGTGCCCGGGCAGCAGCAGTCACGCGCGCCGCCGCAGATGCGACTGGTGCGTGCCGGCCGTCGCGACTCGAACCTGTGAACTAAAACTACGAAAAATGTTTTTTCCCAGATGGGGGCCCATCTTTTTCAGAAGCGACCTGGCCCCACGGGTTGACTGTTCAACGAAGTTGGCGGCTTCCCGTCGTGTGGGAATTCTAGCAGCCGTCAAATACTCAAATAAATGCGCGACGTCCATTCTGAGTGTGGACCCGCAGAGAACGCGCAAACTCGAAATAACATTGAGTTTCTAGTTCAGCTTTAGGTCTCCGCCATCGCTAAACCCCCACCTCTGTCGCGTCCTAGGTCCGCGCCGTCCGCCGCGCGCCCAGCGAGCGCTTCGTCAACGCGCTGGGCTACGTGAGCCTCTTCCCCCTGCTGCTCGGCACCGTCGAGGCCGACTCCCCGCGCCTGCCGGCGCTCCTCGACCTCCTGCGCGACGAGAGCCGCATGTGGACGCCGTTCGGCCTGCGCTCGCTGTCGCGCTCCGACCCCCTCTACCAGAAGCGCAACACGGAGCACGACCCGCCCTACTGGCGCGGCGCCGTCTGGGTGAACGTCAACTACCTGGCGGCCCGCGCGCTCCACCGCTACGCTAAACTCTCCGGGCCGCAGCAGCGGCGCGCCGGCGACATCTACAACAGCCTGCGCGAGAACGTCGTCGGCAACGTGTACCGGCAGTACGCCGCCACGGGATACGTGTGGGAGCAGTACAGCGACTCGACGGGCCGGGGCCAGGGCAGCCACCCCTTCACCGGCTGGACTTCGCTGGTGGTGCTCATGATGGCCGAGGAGTACTGATGATTGTGTACATACGAGGCGAGAGGCGCGTGGCGGAACAGCTGGGTGAGGACGGCTGGTCGTTATGGCGTCCGTCGAGCCTTGTCCGTGGTGTGGTTTGGGGCCCCTGATGAAAGGCAGATTTTTTTTAAATTAGTTTTGTCGTACGTATGTGTGTATGTTGAACTTCCTTTGCACCCTACGCAGCCAACCGTGCTAATCGGAGGTGCGGGGGAAGGACAGCAAACTAAACACGTAAATCAGTTCGACAGAAATGAGTTGTCAATCGAAATGATTTAAAAGTGCATAGCTGCAGTGGCTTCCTAATATCAGAAAGAAGAGCATTCCAGACGGCCGCAGAAGCCCATTTGAAAGCGCGCGATGCGGTGACCGTCTTTGTTTGGTGGCGAGCCAAAAGCCGCTGCTGCGAGGATGACCGGAGTTGGCATGATGATGGTTGTCGCTCCTGACGAGATCAGCGAGGTATTGTGGTTCATTTGCGGCCACCACTTTGTGTATTCGCAATCGTGTTCCAGTTGTGCCGTCGGGGACCTCGCAGTGAGCAGTGAATCTCACCCCGTGTGGCCGAGGGTGATCCGCAGAAGCGTATATCACGGGAACTGCTTCTGAAATCGCTTGAAGCAACCTTTTATTATTTTTTTTAAATACACACACTCGGGGCTACTGCTGTAGAGAAATGTTCACCGTACGACACTTGGACCCGTTGATTTTTCTTTCTTTCTTTTTATCAAACTCTAGGAGTTTTACTTTGTGTGCGCGCGCACGCACAGTTTACTGGGTGTATGGGGGTGAGACCATCAACTCCGCTACAGTTGAAAACCGGGTCTAACCAGAAGCCGGTCGATGCGAGTTTCCATGTAAGCCTCTGGGTGCCTAAGCAAGTCGCCGGGTGACCCAGCTAAGAGCGTCCAGCCGACTGCACTTGAGACCCCGGTTTTAGCCACAGGGTGGTTGCGATGGATCCCCAGATTCACGGGCGGAGCCAAGGGGGTGACAGGGTAGACAATTGTCACCCCCGAAAAAAATCGAAAAATCTGAAACATTCTGCGTATAAGTGTACGACACTCGGTCTGGCGGACTACGTGCAACTGCATCGTCAGAGTGTTGCCAACCGATGGCGTCTAGTTCAACAGCCTGACTCTCTCTTAATCATTCTTGAAATTAACATTTGTTGAATGCCACCCCGGGCTGAAAATCCTGGCTCCGCCCCTGCCCAGATTTGAACCACGGATCTCAGCGGTGCCACCTCAGCCACCATCTCTCTTACACTGTGACCTCTCTGGCTGCCGTCCATTCCCCCCCGCTCCCTCATCTGCGATGAATGGTTCCTATCGCCGTGCCGTCACTTCTCCGGCCACCAAGTCGACTGCAGAATCCCGTAGTCTTCACACTTGGTGGTTCACGTGCGATCGCCCAGAGACAACTGTGATCACGTGACCATGAGCACCTGGTGTTAAAATAGCAACTTACACGTCTTTTGCTTGCCCGTTTTTGTTTAAGTTGCTATTTCAGCATTTTGCGAATGCGCGGCCTTCACGCGGGGGCCTGGCCATGGAGCCTAAATATTTTCTCAAGCTGCGAGCGAGCCAACTGCGTGGAAACACATGCAGGCTCCTCCTCGGCGACACCACCACCCCACCCCGTGCACCCCGGGCCTCGTCCTGTTTGCCAGTCGTCGTGAATTTGTAGCCGGAGGACCACGCAGCGTCGAGGCTATGAGCGGAGGCAGCTTTCCTGTACCGGCGCACGTGACTCGCCGTGGCCTGCTAATATTACCGGCTCCACCACCACCACCACCACACCATCCACTGACCCCCCCCCCTCCCCCCAATTTCCCCCCCTCACCGCTTTCACGACCACTAAGCTGACCGTGCAGCCCAGAGCGCAATGGGCGACGGCCCCCACCACTCTCTCACACGAGTTGTCGCAAAACACTGGTCGTATCGAAATGTACTAAGCGGGGAAGAGTCAACAATGTTGATTTTGTCGTAATGTTTTAATTAATCGCCTTTTGGTTTTTTTTGTAAAACAAAATAAAACACCCAAGACACGTCACTGAAACTCAACAGGTCCAACGAATGTTTATGCCTAATCGAGATCTCCTGTTGCTCGACCGGCGCCCGTTACGGGCATCCGTGGTTTGTGTTGCTCTGGTCGGGGACGCGTCGACCCGCAGCTACTGCTGCTGTTGCTTCTTCCGATCCTCCGTCTGCTTCGTGCAGCGAAGCGTGGCAGAAGCACCACAACAGAGCCCTGCAGGATAGAGTTTAGCAGGATGGGGAGCCCTGCAGGATGGCGGCCCTGCAGGATGGCAGCTCTGTATGATGGGGGCCCTGCAGGATGGAGTTTAGCAGGATGGGGAGCCCTGCAGGATGGCGGCCCTGCAGGATGGCGGCCCTGCAGGATGGCGGCTCTGTATGATGGGGGCCCTGCAGGATGGAGCCACACTATCCGCAATGTAGTGCCGTCCATTCCAGTATTTTTTTTAAGTTGCAGCAGACGAGCGACGTGTTCGGGAATCGATGTGATGGCTTCCATGAGCTCCAGCGCAGGCCGCATCTTGCATCACCCGAGATATGCCACGATCTCTCACTCGCTCACCCGCCCACCCGCTTATCCCCCCGCCCGCTCGCTCGCTCACCCAGCCAACCACTCGTTTGCCCACCCGCTCACCCTCCCGCCCACCCACTTATTTGCCCGCTTATTTGCCCGCCCGCCCAACTCAAAGTTACGTCGATTTAATCCCTCGAGCGTCCGTTGTGACCCCCGGCGTCGAGAACGACTCGGGGAGGTCGATACTCGGGAAGTTGGAGGCCTCCTCCAGCCACTTGGCCACGCTCAGCAGGTCCCGCTCGGAGAAGGCCGGGCCGATGAGCTGCAGGCTGAGGGGGAGACCCCGCGTAGACAGGGCCACAGGGACGCTCACCGCCGGGAGGCCTGCACCCACGCACGCACGCACGCATACACAACAAAAACAAAGATCCCTCGTTTAAACTGTAAGAGACTGTTGGGGCAAGTGAAGGCCGGCACCACGCCCGACCGCCTTTGTCTTCCCAGTGTCGATGTTTACACACCACACAAGGTACTCATTCGAGGCTGAGTCAACCTTGGGGAGGCCCAAGACAGACCGGTTCAGATGATCGCCACTGGTGTTGGCCGTGAGCAGGAATCGAACTCGGGTCGACGGGTTCATAGCGCAGTGCACTAACTGCTGTACTACCGCTCCCCACACACGCATGCATGCAACACATGCAACACATGCACCGCATGCACGCAGAGACAAAGATCCCACGTCAAAAATGGTTTCCTGCTCAGAAGAGTATCAAGACATTAGCGCTCATTTCCTGTTTAGAGCCCCAAGCCCGTGGTGGAAATTCCACATTGCTATGGATGGGTAGGGCGTGTCTCTCCATAGGACACTACTGACATTCCAACTCAAACCCTCTCACACTCTCTCAAACACACACACACACACACAAACTCGTACTCTGCACAACAAGGAGAGAACACGGGATCGAACCCCACTCGCCCCCCCATACGCACCGGCCATGTTGACGGGCTGCGTGAACACGTCCTCCTGCGCGCTGCGCGTGCGGTTGTCCTCGCTGCAGAAGTCGCGGTGCGTGGGGGCGTCGCTCAGCGTGGTGGGCGTCAGCAGCACGCGCACGCCGCTGGCAAACGCCGCCTCGAAGTCGCCGGCGATGAGGCGGCGCACGCGCTGGGCCTTCACGAAGTAGCGCTCGTAGTTCCTGCGCGGTGGGGGAGGGGAGGGGAGGTTAAATTTCGATTTAAAGCTTTCGTGACTGCAAGGATCCATCTTCCTTGGTTCTTTCGGTAAAGTCACGTAGAATGAGAATAAAAGAATACATTGATAAAATAAAATAACACAATAAAATTCTCACGACGTTTCGGCCACAACACAAGCGGCCTTCATCAGGTGAAGGGACGAGACTGTCTGGAGGACAGCGCTGGAGCGAACACAGCCAAGCTCAGACCGCGACCTTTAAGCTGTGTGAGAAGAAACAGAGCGCCTTGACAAAGGAATTAGCATAGAATTTAGCATTGAAATAGCTGCGTGATTAGCTTGTGACTGGTCACAGAAATGGCTATGTTAAAGTCAAAGCATACACATCCACAGAGGCACCTAGTACAAATCAAACAGTAGAATTTAGCATTGAAATAACTGAGGGATTAGCTTGTGACTGGTCACATAGCATTGTGATATATAACGACTTATTGTTGGTAGCTTAGCTGATTGAAGAATATATAGAGTTTATTGATAACATTGAGGTAATTTATATTTTAGTTTTTTTATTGGTTTACTATATAGTATTCATTATATAGTGTAGTGTATACCCAGTTACTGTTAATAGCTCAGCTTATTGAATAATATATTGAGTACATTTATTATATTGATGTAATTTAGACTTAGGTTTTTTCACATCGGTTTACTATATGATAGTCGAGTTGTTGCAGCCCCTTTGGCGTCCATGTACTAGGTGCCTCTGTAGATGTGTAGGCTTTGACTTTAACATAGCCATTTCTGTGACCAGTCACAAGCTAATCACTCAGCTGTTTCAATGCTAAATTCTCCTGTTTGATTTATACTAGGTTCCTCTGTAGATGTGTAGGCTTTGAATTTAACATAGCTATTTCTGTGACCAGTCACAAGCTAATCCCTCAGTTATTTCAATGCTAAATTCTCCTGTTTGATTTATACTAGGTGCCTCTGTAGATGTGTAGGCTTTGACTTTAACATAGCTATTTCTATGACCAGTCACAAGCTAATCCCTCAGTTATTTCAATGCTAAATTCTCCTGTTTGATTTATACTAGGTGTCTCTGTGGATGTGTAGGCTTTGACTTTTACATAGCCATTTCTGTGACCAGTCACAAGCTAATCACTCAGCTATTTCAATGCTAAATTCTCCTGTTTGATTTGTACTAGGTGCCTCTGTAGATGTGTAGGCTTTGACTTTAACATAACTATTTATATGACCAGTCACAAGCTAATCCCTCAGTTATTTCAATGCTAAATTCTCCTGTTTGATTTGTACTAGGTGCCTCTGTGGATGTGGATGCTTTGACTTTAACATAGCCATTTCTGTGACCAGTCACAAGCTAATCACTCAGCTATTTCAATGCTAAATTCTATGCTAATTCCTTTGTCAAGGTGCTCTTTCTTCTCACATAGCTTAAAGGTCGCGATCTAAGCGTGGCTTTTTCGCTCCAGCGCTGTCCTCCAGACAGTCTCGTCCCTTCACCTGATGAAGGCCGCTTGTGTTGTGGCCGAAACGTCGTGAGAATTTTATTGTTATTTTATTTTATCAATTTATTATTTTATTCTCATTCTACGTGACTTTACCGAAAGAACCAAAGAAGAGGGGAGGGGAGGTTTTACTCCAGGTCCTCCGGTTTTTTACGCTCCGCATTTAGAATCAACGTTACGCTCAGAGTACTCGGCCGCGATGAATTTCCACACGATGAAAAAAGCCACTTTGCTGAGCTATTATTTGCGGCCAGGTCACTTCTGAAAAAAATCGCTATATAGCTCAGTGTGTCATCAATTGTCTGATAACACCTTCATATATAGAGGACTGCAGAGCTTGCGTAATCATTGGTGCCGGCTCATTGCGTCACTGCCTTCTCGCTTACGTGCCATTCCTCCTCGCACCTGCGAGTGGTTCTCTCTCAACGAGAGTGAGCGAGTCGACAACTGTTATTTCAATGATCTCCGACGCCTTGTGACAAATGACGAGCGTCGCTGCCGCCGCTTACTGCTTCAGCAGAAAGTAGTTCCCGGCGAGGATTCGGCCCCGTACTACGTCGTTGAAGCCCTCGTGACGCGTGGCCGCGTACATCGCCTCCGTGGATTCTTCCACCGCGCTCCTGAGGCCTGCGTAAAGGGACGCCGACCGCTTAAAATGCCGTCCTGGAAAAAAAATCGACAATGTCCACGTCGTTCAAGGCCCTTTCTCTATCCACTGCTGAACGAAGGCCTCCCTCCGCACCGTACCTCTGCGACGAGTGGCACCTTTGCAAACGGCGGCCATCCACCAAGGGCCTGCTTCCTGAAGGCGGGGAAACCACCGACGAGATTTGCTCAGCACGACACGCCTGATGATGATGATGATGACGACGATGACGACGATGACGACGATGACGACGATGACGACGATGACAACGACGCCGCGGTGGGTAAGTGGTAGTGCATTAGCGGTGGAGGTGCCATAGCTGCTGCCGCCACCATGGTGCCGGCGGTGGTGGAGGTAGCGGCGGAGGTGGTGACGGCGGTGGTGGTGGTGTCGGCAGTGGCGACGGCGACGGCGGTGGTGGTCGAGGCGACGGCGTCGGTGAGGGTAGTGATGTTGGGGGTAGTGACAGGGGTGCCGATGATGTCGGTGGCGGTGCAGCCGCACCGTACTGCAGGCCGTCGAAGCGCGCCATGTTGGAGGCCACCTCGGCGGTGCACAGCACGTGGTAGCACACGATGGAATGCTGCGTGTGCGGGAGGGACACGCGCTCCACGCGCGCTCCGCCCGCCTCCAGGAGCTCCGCCGCCCGGCTCCACGCGGCCAGCACGTCCGCAGAGAGACCGGGAGCGTGGTACTCCTGCACAAATGCAAAGGAACCCCACCCCCACCCCCCCCCCCCCGCGTAGTCTTTAGCAGACCGCTGGTGCAAGTGCAGTTGCGAGCGTCTGCGAAGGCTGGCACGGCACACGAGGGGGTGGGTGGTCAACACCGTGCCGGGCCGCCTTTGTCTCCCCAGGCATTCATTTGAAGCCGAGTCGACCTCGGCGGGGCCCGGTTCACGTAATCGTCACCGGTGTTGGCCGTGAGCGGAAACGGAACTCCTCTCTCCCGTGAGCACACTCTTGCGGCAAGCGCCGTCACTCACGAAGACCAAAGCGGCAGACACGAGAGGGAACCGAACTCTGGTCGCGGGTTTCACAGCGCGGCGCGCTCACCCGCTGCGAAGACTCGCCCCCAGGCACTTGCCCACACGTCTGCACGCACGCGCTCGTCCCCCAGTGGCCCAGGTGCCCCTACCTCGGGGATGCCCACGTGTAGGCCGCTGACGCGGCTCTCGCGCGGCAGGGAGAACGGACGGAACGCTTCCCTCGCCGTCGTCGAGTCCAGGGGGTCCACGCCAGCCAGCACCCCTATGGGAGGTGGGGAGGGGGGGGGGCGTTAGAGGGAGTGGGAGGGGCATTAGAGGGGGTGGGGGGGGCGATAGAGGGGGTGGGGGGGGCGTTAAAGGGGGTGGGGGGGGGCGTTATAAAGGGTGGGGGGGCGTTAGAGGAGGTGGGGGGGGCGTTAGAGGGGGTGGGGGGGGGGGGCGTTAGAGGGGGTGAGAGGGCATTAGAGGTGGTGGGGGGGCGTTATAAAGTAGCTCAAGAAGCGGCCAAATACTCTGAACATACATTGATTCTAAAGTTGGAGGGAAAACCCGGAGAAAAATCCAAGCGACCATGGAGAGAGAGACGCGCAAACTCCAAATATACAGCAGGCGTCAAGGTCGGTATCGAACCCACGATCTCCAGCGTACCTTGCGAGGCAGTAAACATTTCGCCACTCACCCAGGATGGTGGCTGCGTCATCGGCGCTCGAGGCCAGGACCCCCGGCACGTCCATGGAGTTGACGAGGGGGATGAGGCCGTGGCGCGACACGAGGCCGTACGTCGGCTTGAGGCCCACCACTCCGCAGCGTGACGCCGGGTTCCGCGTCGAGCCTCCCGTGTCCGAGCCCAGTGCGCTGCTCCCCCACAGTGGGGGGGGGGGGGGGTGAGAGTGTCAAGTGTTGGCGTTGTTAGCGGTTCGTCAGGGGTCACGCGTCAGGAGAGAGAGGACGCACGCGCCGAGGTCACCATGAGGTCGAACAAGCGTCCGCACTGCACGAGTTTGACACTTCATATTTCAAGTGGCGGTAAGAAAAACAAGACGCAGCATGGCCCAGATGTGTGTACGTACGTTGAACTTCTTTCGTACCATACGTAGCCAACCGCGCTAAGCGGAGGTGCAGTGTTGAATCTATGGGTAGTGTTGAGTCTATGGGTAGTGTTGAGTCTCTGCGTAGTGTTGAGTCTATGGGTAGTGTTGAGTCTCTGGGTAGTGTTGAGTCTATGGGTAGTGTTGTTGGTCTATGGGTAGTGTTAGTCTATGGGTAGTATTGAGTCTATGGGTAGTGTTGTTAGTCTATGGGTAGTGTTGAGTCTATGGGTAGTGTTAGTCTATGGGTAGTGTTAGTCTAGGGCAGTGTTGAGTCTATGGGTAGTGTTGAGTATATGGGTAGTGTTAGTCTATGGGTAGTGTTAGTCTATGGGCAGTATGTATGTTAAACTTCTTTTGCACGTGTGTACGTATCCGCATGCGCCTGCACTCTAGATTGAAAACTCGTTTCTTTATAACTGATTTTTGTCGTTCATTTGTTGTCCTTCCCCCCCGTACCTCCGATTATTACCACTGTTGGCTATGTAAGGTGCGAAAGAAGTTCAACAGACATACATGCGTTCCATGCTGTACTCAGTTCCTGCACCACGTGGCACCACGTGGCACCACAGTGCACCACGTGGCACCACAGGGCACCACGTGGCACCACAGGGCACCACGTAGCACCACAGTGCACCACGTGGCACCACAGGGCACCACGTGGCACCACAGGGCACCACGTGGCACCACAGGGCACCACGTGGCACCACAGGGCACCACGTGGCACCACAGGGCACCACGTGGCACCACAGTGCACCACGTGGCACCACAGGGCACCACGTGGCACTGTACCACACCACCAAAAAATACGGAGGGAAATAAGTATTTCCCCCATCCTCTAGTTTTATGCAAATTTGAAAGTGATTGGTACACGAGCACAACCAGAAACATGGCTCACGATTTGCACGTTTGTCTACGTACGGTGCGAAGGAAGTTCAACATACACACACTCACAAGAAACACGTTCCTGCCGCAACAGCAGCGGCGCTCCCACCAGAGCTCCCGCCCGTGATTAGCCACTCCCCGTCATCGCCGTGGCCGCTGTCGCCAAGATGGTGCCGCACGCGGTAGGAGCGCGAGTAGCCCCAGGGGTTCCGCACCGGCCCGAACACGCTGTCCGTGCTGCCCGAGCTGCGACGACAGGGAGAGAGAGAGAGAGAGAGGGCGACGGTGCGAGACGTAAGGGCACCGCACCGCACCAGCGAAAGCGCTGCACCACACCGCTGACTATTCGGGACTCACCCGATTAAGAGACAATCCACATTGATTACGGCATTGCCCTTAACTCTGGACACCCAAACCAGAGGAAAAAAAAACGTTCTATTTGCAAAATTGTGAAAATACATTTTACTGACAGCTACACACCGGTTTCCATGGTTTTTTTAATTTATGAAAAGGCAAAGGTGCAGCCCTGCGATTGCTCGCTTACGCGACTGCCGGCAGAAGGGCCCCCACTAGAGGGAGCGCCATAAGAGCTCCCTCTAGTGGGGGCCCTTCTGCCGGCATAAGAGCTCCATAAGAGCTCCCTCTAGTGGAGCTCTTGTGGAGCTGCTTCTAGAGCAGTGGTTCTTAACCTGGGGTGCAAGCACCCCCTGGGGGTGCGAGATGCCCTTTCTGGGGGTAGCGAGACATGACAGATATTCTTCGAAGTTAAATAATCTAAACACAAATTAAGCACGGGCACGTAAGTACAACTATTTAGTCTCGTCAAACCCTATGTATTTATTAACATCATAAATGTTTTAACGATTGGGAATCAATGGGGCGCAAGGCTGCGGTAAAGGTTACGAACCACTGCTTTAGAGGGTATTTGGCCTACTCTTTCATGCTGGCAAGACGTCTTGGAAGAGGTGGGATTGCTCACACTTCCATACTGCCAATTAAATGCTTGCAAAGACGACGTTCGTCTCCGGGGGCTTGACTCGACCGCCCTCACCCCATGCCGAACTCATCCAAGTTGGTCTTGCCAAGCAGCACCGCGCCCTGGTCCAGTAGCCGTTGCACCACCGTGGCGTTGAAGGGCGGCACGTAGCCTGGCGCGCACGGTACCCACCAAACACCAAGAGCGTCCGCAAGCCACAGGGCATCCGTGCGTGTACCGACGCACGCACACACGCACGCACACGAAAATTATTCTTGATGTTTTGAAAAGCACAGAGGACAACAATAAAATGGATTGACAGCTTGCTGCTCTTCTGACATGCCGTTGTGCAAGGGCACCGCCATCTTTTTACAGAGCGATACGTCTGAAATCTAGCGGAAAAAATACCAAAGGGTCATGTTTCATTCACTGAACAGACGTGTGTGTGTGTGACTATACAGGTGTGTTCAGCTGTGTGTGTGTGACTATACAGGTGCGTTCAGCTGTGTGTGTGTGTGACTATACAGGTGTGTTCAGCAGTGTGTGTGTGTGACTATACAGGTGTGTTCAGCTGTGTGTGTGTGACTATACAGGTGCGTTCAGCTGTGTGTGTGTGTGTGACTATACAGGTGTGTTCAGCTGTGTGTGTGTGTGTGAATGTACAGGTGTGGCTGGTACTGTGTGGCTGTGTGCAGGTGTGTCTAGTGCCGTATAGGTGCGTGCAGATGACGAGCGTGTGTTATTGTAAGAGGTGTGTCCGCATAATCGTAGCTGACACTGTGCGGCTGTGTAGAAGTGTCCCGTAGGGTACAGGTGTGTGCGGGAGATTTGTGTTTCTGCACAGGTGCGTTTGTGTGTTGGCTGTGGCTGGGGTACCCTGCAGCATGCGGGAGGCACATGTGGTCTCGATGCCCTTGGTGCTAAAGTTGTCCTTGACAGCGAAAGGAATTCCGTCCAAGGGGCCCAGAGGCTGCCCTGAGGAGGGTGAAACAGGCAGGGAGTTAACTTATAAACAAAAGGGCATCACGAAAAAACGAATGGCTCTGAACCTTGTAGCCTCAACTTCCCGATTGCGTCCCAGGCTGTCCAAACAACAGGTTTGAGGTGAGTTAAGGAAAAAATACATTAACAAAATATTGTTGGATTTTCCAGAATTATTTCCCAAGCGTACTGTCAGCATCGTGTCATGAGACGAAGTATTCCGTCGGAACTCAAACAGAGCAACCATTCGTGTTCCATTGAAGCAGATATCACGTAACTATATTCGAGATCCCTTCAAGTTGACCTCTGCTCCACATAGTAGACGGCACAGCATGTTTGTTGCACGACAACTAAAAAGACACGTCTGAAATTCTCAAGAGGTGGAATTTAGTCAAATCAAGTGCACAACCGAAATGAATGTGATCGATTTTTGAGTGCAAACCATCAACTCAATCCACTTGAGAAGCAGGATTTGATCATCGGCGACTGCCTGCATTTGAAGCCTGGATCTCCGCGGTGCCAGCTGAGCGCTCTGACCCCTGAGCCGCCCGCCCAGGGTTCAATCCCCCTCACGTGTAAACAGATGAGCGCTGGCTGGCTGGCTGGGGGGGGGGGTAGGGGGGACGGACGACGTTTATTTTGTTTGTGCAGCAGCAGCAGCAGCTTCTAACCCAAGCGGTGTCGGCGCTCAGATTCAATCGCTTGGCTCATCGCCCGCTCTGACGCGAGAATGATGTAGGCATTGAGGCGCCGCGTCTCATCCGCCCAGGCCAGGCAGCGCCGGCACAGCTCGACGGGAGACAGGGATCCATCGCGCAGCGCCGTCGACGCCTGCGGTGGGAGAGAGACAACCCAAGGCGCCAGCGAGCATCGTCTCGCCGTTAGGTGTGGCGGCACGGGAGACCCCGCGTGCCGGTGTAGCGGGCACGCACAGAGAGAGAGAGGAGCCATCACATGGTAGGGGGTCATTTACTAAGATCCCATTGGGCTGCTCGGTGGCCAGTTCTTATATGGCAAAAGTAGCAAGTGGGTTTATGAAGCTATTATGTGCGGCGGAACTCTCGTGTGTGTGAGAGAGAGCCAAATAGTGAGGTTTGTCACGTAAACAAAACGTGCCAATTAGTGACTACTTCAGCACCCTGCTGTGTTGGAGAGCAAACCCGCCATATTTACAATGAGTACGACCTTTTGTTAGTGATTACAACAAGCTTCATCGAGATATATATTTTAGAATTATCCATCTAACCCCACCCCACCCCCCCAAAAAAAAAACATTGGCGCTTAATAATGTTCGCGAAATCCTACATGTTAAACGGAATTCCTAGTTATACAGGGTGTTTCAAAAAAATGTTAACACTTACATGGTACTATCTGTAACATGATAACTGTAATGTTAATAGCTTCAAACAGTCAAAGAGTTTCTCCCACTTGTTCGCCATCGTTGTCAACCCGTACCTGGAATTTTCTCCAGGTAGTCTACCAGAGCCCGCATGCACATTTATTGCGGTGCTGTTGCAAATTTTCGGGAGTGTTAACGTTTTTTCAATCACCCTGTAATATGATACTTAACACCAAGGCTTTGACTGAAGCCTTCTGGTAAGGACATTCGCACGAGGAGCGAATGTGGACACACACACGCACACGGGACTCACCTGCTTGAGTGTCAGTCCCAGCATGGTGCTAAGGGGGGTGGCGGAGAGTCGATAATTGTCTGGGAAGAGTTACAGATTGTTTTGATCTCTAGAAGAGCCACGTGGTCACTGGGAGAGTGCCGGAGATAACGACATAGTCGGGGAGTCTTTGGCAGCTTGAATCAATTACTGGGAGAGTCAGGGATGTTAGTGGAGTCGAGGAGTATTTGAGGAACCGGGAGAGTCAATTGGTTAATGAAAGAGACATTAACTCTACGAGAGTGTCAATGGGAGAGTCAACGACTCTATGGGAGAGTCGATGAGTGAGTAAACGACTCTATAGGAGAGTCGATGAGTGAGTCAATTACTCTATGGGAGAGTCGATGAGTGAGTCAAAGACTGTAGGAGAGTCGATGAGTGAGTCAACGACTCTATGGGAGAGTCGATGAGTGAGTCGAGGACTCTGTAGGAGAGTCGATGAGTGAGTCAATTACTCTATGGGAGAGTCGATGAGTGAGTCAACGACTCTGTAGGAGAGTCGATGAGTGAGTCAACGACTCTATGGGAGAGTCGATGAGTGAGTCAATTACTCTATAGGAGAGTCGATGAGTGAGTCAACGACTCTGTAGGAGAGTCGATGAGTCAAAGACTCTACGGGAGAATCGATGAGGGGGTCAAGGACTCCATGGGAGAGTCAATGAGTAAGTCAAGGGCTCTACGGGAGAGTTTCCGAGTCTCGAGCGCTCTGCGGCGGAGTCAATGACAGATTCGCGTGGCCCACGTGACCAATCGTCCCTGGGCGCCGCCATGACGCTCGACCTCTGACCCCGCAGCACCGCGCGCGCTCATTGGCTACGGCGCGAGTAACGCGCGCGCTGATTGGAGCAGGCGGCTCGAGGGGGGGCGGGTGCTCTCAGCTGATTGGACTCAAGCGGGACCTGGTACTGTACTCGTGTGATCATTATCACAGTTATTATTATTGCTAGCCTGTGTTGTATTTACACGAATGTTCGTAGTTGTAACTGATAATACTTCCAATGTTGCCGATTATATCGCTTGCCTCCGCGTTGAATTGAGGCGACTCTGACCGCGCTGATCGCTACTCATAATAAAGGTAACTGTACACATCAAGTCACGATCATTTGCAGCCCTCGTGTGTCATTCCACTGCTGGATGAGGCTCCCCCGCCCCGCCTCGCCTCCACACCCGTGTCGATAGTTGTTTGACCGTACATCGTCGTCACCATCACGCTGGTCAGTGCGAGTTCATGGAGAGTCCGAGCTGCGGGACCGGTTAAGTTCTCGTAACGTGCCACTGACGTTAGCCGTGGGCGGGGAGTTGAACTTCCGTTTGTCAGCCTCACGGGGGGCCACTGCGCTCACCGCTGCACGGAACGCTTCCCCGTGGCTGCGACGTTTGAGAAACGCGCCGAGCCCAGGGCGCGGTGGGCTGACCACTGCGCGCGTCTACAGGGTGGTGGTCCAGATGTTTAGTGACCTACCCCCCCCCCCCCCCCCCGCAATTGACTGACCCCCAAACATGTTTTTTGTTTCCTTTGCATATTAATTTATGTTTTAAGTAAACCTTTTAATAAAAAAAATATTGTTTGACAGAATTAAATGGCGGGTCACAAGACATCCGGACCATCCTTTACTCTATAAAGGTTTGTTGACATGGAGTTACGTCATCGTACGCGTTGTGTAACTGAAAATGTCAACACATTTGTCTATAGGACTGCCTTAAAAGAGAAAAAAATATGTAAAAGGCGACGTTTCGGGAAATGGACATTCATAGCACACCAATGAGGTCACGATTTTTGTGCTGATGAAGGGCAATTCTCCAAAACGTCGTTTATATATTTTACATTTAAGTTTATTTGATTTCATAATACAGGTTTTCTTTTGGGTTATATCGAGTAAATATAAATGCGTCGTTAAACCCGCCACCGCAGCCAAATTAGTAAGGTTTGTCACGTAAACAGAACGTGCCAATTCGTTATTAGTACAGCACACCGGTGGGTTGGAGAGCAAATCCACACCGTTTACAACACACTGGTGTGCTGTACTAGTAACTAATTGGCGTGTTCTGTTCATGTGACAAACCTTACTAATTGCCTGTGTCGGGTGGTGGCGGGTTTAACGACATTTATATTTATGAGATCTAACCCCCCCCAAAAAAAAACCTGTATTTTGGATGATGCTGGTCGCGAAAGCCTACGTGTTAAACTTCATTTGAATTATTACAACGCTTGGGCCCGGTTAGATGCCCGGCTATTTTACACGGGAGCTCGAGTGCTCGCTATCCCATTCACCGCAACCTCACCAGCCAAACGAATTTGGCTATTGACTTTTTGTTCCGCCTTCTGCTCTCGCCGCTTGCAGCACCGAGACCGGGGGCGGGCCAATGTCGTACGCCCTGTGCCGTTGGCGGGCGCTGGCCACGCGGGCCGGCGCACAGCTGCCCCTTCAAGCTCCTCGCGACAACAGGGGTCTCCTCCTGGTGTCCCCTCCTAGCGGGGGCCTCCTCCTCGCGTCCTCCGCTGCCGGGGGAGGTTCTCTGGCCACGGCCCCCGCCCGGGGCCTGTGCTGCTCGGTGGCGCGGGCCTCCATCATGCCGGCGTGGCAGCTGCAGTCGTACGGCGGGCTCGACGCGCTCCGCTACAACGCCAACACTCCCTTCCCCATCATCGTCTACCCCAACGAGGTGGTGGTGAGGGTGCACGCGTCGAGCCTCAACCCCATCGACGCCGCCATGTCGCGTACGTACGTTTGTGCGTGCACGCGTGTGTGTCGGCGTGTAGGGAGCGGCGGTGTAGCGGTTAGCGCTACGCTGCGCCATGAGCCCGGCGACACGGGTTCGATTCCCGCTCGCTGCCGAACACCGGTGACGATTGTCTGAACCGGTCCTGGGCCTCCTCCGCTAGGTCGACTCGGCCTCAAATGAGTGCCTGGTGCGGTGTGTAAACATCTTCACTCGGGAGACAAAGGCGGCTGGGCGCGGTGCTGGCCACCCACCCCTCGTGTGCTGTGCCGACCTACATAGGTGCTACTCGCGAACAGCACTTGCCCCAGTAGTCTGTTAAGGCTACACGGGGTGGTTCTTTGTGCGTGAGGCCACATGTACCTGGCCTGGTACAAGCGCCGTGATAATGTCACTGCCACTTAGCGGCGAACAGCGGCCTTTGTTGTCGCTGTTGTCGTCGTTGTGCGAGTCGCCGCGTGGACAAGGCTGCTTGGTGACCTCTTGACCCCATTGCCCCTTGCAGGCGGGTACGGCGCGCGCGTGCTGAACACGATGCGCGACCCCCTGCGCATGAACCCGCGTGACAGCGAGCTGCCCCTCGTGCTGGGCAGGGACTGCTCCGGGGTCATCATGGAGTGCGGAGTTTCTGTCAAGCACTTCCGCCCGGGCGACGAGGTCGCGCGCACACACAAACACACGCAAACTCACCCACCCACCTGCTCACCCATTCACATACTCACGCAATACCAATATCCACTATTCGCCACTAAGTGATGGTGACATCACCCCGGCACCTGTGTCAGGCCAGATGCACATTGAGTCCACGTGAAGTGTCGAAGGCTCGCTGACAGGAGGTCACGGGACAGACCCAGGTGCCATGGGTTTACTGACTGAGATGCCTGGCAGATGCACCAGCTCTGTCCCCTACTCTGCCACTGACCCACTCACTCATTCACCGACTCACACACACCCACTCATCCACTAAACAACAGCCGCCATTCGCCACTAAGTGGCGGTGATGTCGCCTGAGCACTTGTGCTAGGCTAGGTGCATTCCGAGGCCACGTGATATGTGTGCACGTGGCTAGTAACCCCTCCATCTGCCACTATTTTCGACAAAATACCACGGTGGAAACACCCAAATGAGCTTGTGCTGGAGGCCCCAGGGATATCTTCTCGACAAATCCCATGTGGCACAGCCAGACTGAACCCTCCCCTCGGACAGGAGACCACTGCGGTTGGCCACGTGGAATGTTCGAACTCTCGCTGCGCAGGAACGGCTGCCATTGCTGTGTCGGGAGATAGACCGATAAAAGACAGAGGTCCCCCGTATTGCCTGAGCAGCTTGTTGGGGCAAGTGCTGTTAGCGAGTAGCAATATGAAGGTCGGCACGGCACACGAGGGTGGCCAGTACTACGCTTGACCACCTTTGTCTGCCTCGAGGCAATGTTTATACACCGCACGATGTGCTCATTTGAGGCTGAGTCGCCCTTGGGGCATGCCCAGGACCAGTTCAGATAATCGTCGGTGGTGTTGGTCATGAATGGGAATCGATCCTGGGTCACCGGGTTGGATCTATGTCGAACTTCTCTATCACCGTACTTAGCCAACCGTGCTAATTAGAGGAGCGGGTTTATAGCGCAGCACATTAACCAGTACACTACCGCTCCCCACACAAATTGGCACTTACAGTCGCGCGCGCACACACGTACAAGAGTGCTCACAATCACACGTGCATGCACACATACACAGACGCGCGCACACACACAGTGCGTATACATGCGCGCACGTACACTCGCCTACATTGGGATGCTGTCCACTTGGATGAGTGACCGCGTTGTTGCTTGATGACCGTTTGGGAGCAGGTGTGGCTGGCCTTGCCTCCGTGGAAGCAGGGCACGTTCGCCGAGTTCGTCGTGGCCAGCGCAAACGAGGTAACTCTCACACAAAGCCGTTGTTCCCCCAGTGGCCCTCGTGTGCGTGCTTCCCCATCTCTTTCTTCGCGTGGTTACTGATTTTGACGGAGAGCAACAACTGTGATTCTGCATTGAGGTGGTTGATGAGCCCAGATGATTCCGTCAGGAGTAGCGGGAGTGGTGCATCGTGGCTGTGATTTATGCCTTCCCCTTCGTATTGGTGAATCGGGCGTTTGAGTTGTGATACATTCCATGGTTTTGTTCTGCATGATCAAAGCCTCTGCACACAAGTGTGTGCGGTGACGTCACCACCATGCACTTGCCTGCCCACCCGCGTGTCAGCCAGCAAGCAAAACTTTTTTTTATCATATAGTATCAAATTAATCCCGGTATGCTACTGTGGATATCTATGTAGTCTGTGTCCATTCTTCAGTCTCTATGCGAGTCTATGGTTCTCTATGTGAGACCCAGGCTTTTTAAATCTAAACAATTTTAAACTATTTCTAATTTTACCAGGTAAGACCCAATGAGAATTGTAGCTTTTTTTCAAAGGCGAACTGGCCACGAATGATAGCGCAACAAAGTGGCTTATGTGGAAATGTATCGCTGCCAAATACTTTAAATGAATGTTTCTAAATGTGGAGGGAAAAACCGGAGAACCCGGAGAGAAATCCACGCTACCACGGAGAGAACATGCAAACTCCAAATATACAGCGGGCGTCAGGGTTGGCATTGAACCCACTACCTCCTGCATACCAGACGAGGGAGTTAACATCTCACCATCTTGGTCTGCCCGTGTTATATTTCCACACCCGGCGCACCACATCTGCTATACATTTCGCTATGGGTTTGGGTACTAAGCACATGCCACCTCCCGGTCTGCCAGCAAGCTGAAAATTACTAAGTGAGAATTTAAGCAGAGTGTGAGACTGTGGGTCTCTATGTGCCTCTATGAGTCTCTAAGTGAGCCTATGTGAATCCATAGGCCTCCCGTGTGTCTATGGGTTTATGTAAATCTATGTGTCTCTGTTAGTCTACGTAAGGCTTTGAATCTCTGCATGAGTCCATGTGTCTCTACATAAGCATTTGGGTCTCTGATTGTGTGGGTCTCTGAGTCTATGGGTCTCTGTGAGTATTTGGGTCTCTGAGTGTGTGGGTCTCGATTTGAGTGTATGGGTCTCTGTGTAAGTATTTGTATCTCTGAGTGTGTGGGTCTCTATCTGAGTCTATGGGTCTCTATGTAATCATTTGGGTTTCTGAGTGGGTCTCTATCTGAGTCTATGGGTCTCTATGCCCTGTGCCGACCGCCCGCAACAGGTGGCCCACCGGCCGCTGCGATTGAGCCACGAGGAGGCGGCCTCCATCCCGTACGTGGCGCTCACCGCCTGGTCCGCCCTGGTCACCACGGGGGGACTCAACAACAAGACGGCTCGCGGAAAGAGGTACGGCGACCCGCACAGCTGCTGTTAGTGAGCACAGCTGATAATGGCGATCCGCACAGCTATTGTTAGTGAGCACAGCTGGTAAGGGCGACCTGCACAGCTGTTGTAAGTGAGCACAGCTGATAAGGGCGACCCACATAGCTGTTGTTAATGAGAACAGCTGGTAAGGGTGACCCGCACAGCTGTTGTTAGTGAGCACAGCTGATAAAGGGACCCGCACAGCTGTTGTTAGTGAGCACAGCTGGTAAGGGCGACCCACACAGCTGGTAACAGCGACTGGCACAGCTGTTGTGAGTGAGCACAGCTGGTAACAGCGAGATGCAGAGCTGTTGTGAGTGAACACAGCTGGTAACAGCGACCTGCACAGCTGTTGTTAGTAAGCACAGCTGGTAACAGCAACCCGCACAGCTGTTGCTAGTGAGCACAGCTGGTAACAGCAACCCACACAGCTGTTGCTAGTGAGCACAGCTGGTAAGGGCGACTGGCACAGGTGTTGTGAGTGAGTACAGCTTGTAACAGCGAGATGCAGAGCTGTTGTGAGTGAACACAGCTGGTAACAGCGACCCGCACGGCTATTGTCATTTAACACAGCTGGTAATGGGTGACTGCCATAGCTGTTGTGAGTGGGCACAGCTGGTAACAGCAACTGACACAGCTGTTGTGAGTGAACACAGCTGGTAATGGGTGACTGCCATAGCTGATGTGAGTGGGCACAGCTGGTAACAGCGACCCACACAGCTGTTGTGAGTGAACACAGCTCGTAAGGGTGACTGCCATAGCTGTTGTGAGTAATCACAGCAGGTAAGGATTGCTGGAACACCTGCGCTCACTCACAATTCAACGATTAGACTGATCCCTGTGTAAAATAATATGAATAATAAACTCCTTTAAAAAAAGTTTTTTTTTAAAAACAAAGGTTTTATTAGCAACTTCGTTGAACTCACGGTCGAGAAGTACGTCAATGGGACACGCGGCGCCTGAGACACGCGGCCCCTGAGACACGCGGCCCCTGAGACACGCGGCCCCTGAGACACGCGGCGCCTGAGACACGCGGCCCCTGAGACACGCGGAGCCTGAGACACGCGGCCCCTGAGACACGCGGCGCCTGAGACACGCGGCCCCTGTGTTTTGTGCGAGCCGATTCCACAGTTTGGGGACCGCGGCGTTTTTTGACCACAAATATATATAAATAATAAGGCGTCCATACAAAATGTAAATTGCTTTAAAGTAGCGAATTAATTGATTAATTGATGCCAATTTTTATACAGGCATGCATTGTCACTGGTTCTGAGTACGTGTGCAAAATGTGGAATTGATTGGACAACGGGAAGCGGACGAAATTTTGAATCAAGTTAAGTAAAACCGTTGAATAATAACAACTACAAATAACGTTGGATGACGTGTTCACTTGTTCAGTCTGTTGTCGCTGAATTGACAGGGTTCTCATTTTGGGTGGATCGGGAGGAGTGGGGACGTTCGCTGTCCAGGTGAGATTGGTGCAGTTCGCGGGGCAATGCCGTCTCCGTGCGGATTGCATTTCGACTGCCAACGGCAAAGCGTCTGGGCACGCGTGGGGTAGCAGCTCTCCTGGTGCGGCAGATGGGTTGACACACAGATGGGTTGACACACAGATGGGTTGACACACAGATGGGTTGACACACAGATGGGTTGACACACAGATGCGTTGATCGGGGCTGCGGCTTGCAAGCGGTCCGTTTGGAAGGCGCAGTTGTACGGTGTCGTCTAGCGATGACAGGTCTGCATCGTACCGCGAAAAGTTTGACAACCGTGTCGTGCAAGATATCGCGCTGTTGAAAAGATAATACGGAACATTACCTCGCATCGTCGTCGGTCTACAATCTGTTCTGTAACGCCGCGTGCTGTTTTCATAACGCGAGTTGGATATAACCGATGGTGAGTGTATTATGGAACGCATTTTTTTATAACGCGGATGCGAATTGGATATAATGCGATTGAGTGACTGGAACTACGTCGCAGCGCGAGTAGGAACAAGCGTTCTTACGGCTGTCTCAGCGTAGCAGCACCACACAAGGCGGTGGGATGCTGCTGGATCCTTCTAGACGCTACCCACGCACCTCAGTCTTTGTTCGGCCTGCGTAGGCATCTCACGGTGTTATCGCAGACTGCGCTTTACCGCTACATTATATATGATTTATTATAACGCGATTTTTCCATAACGCGGTGTTCTTCAGAAACCATGTTACAGGAGAACAGACCGTACATCGCATTGTGAAGCACGACAGCATGCCGCAATAAATGATATCCCGTCGTAAAACATCGTATCGGTATCGTGCAACATGGCACGTGACGAACGATATCGCATCGCGACAGAAGATTTCTCGTGAAGACGAAAACAAAACCAACGGAACATCTTCTTACGTCGAATCGTAACCCTGACGCAAAGGGCGTCGTATCGCGTCTCAAGCGTCGAAACGGGACCTTGCGGCGACCCCGCGGCGACCCCGCGGCGACCCCGCGGCGACCCCGCGGCGACCCCTGACGCCGCTCCGGCTTTCCCCGTCCTGCCCCCCGCGCAGCTGCTGAAGGCGTGGGGTGCCCACGTGACGGCGACGTGCAGCGAGGACGCCCGCCCGCTCCTCGCCGGCCTCGGCGCCGACCACACCCTCGACTACCGCCACCGCGACCTGCCGGAGCGCGCACGGGCCCTCTCGCCGTGAGCTGCTGACCCCTGCCCCTTGACCTCCCCTCCCGGAGCACCCACGGGCACTCTCGCCGTGAGCTGCTGACCCCTGCCCCTTGACCTCCCCTCCCGGAGCACCCACGGGCACTCTCGCCGTGAGCTGCTGACCCCTGCCCCTTGACCTCCCCTCCCGGAGCACCCACGGGCACTCTCGCCGTGAGCGCTGACCCCTGCCCCTTGACCTCCCCTCCCGGAGCACCCACGGGCCCTCTCGCCGTGAGCGCTGACCCCTGCCCCTTGACCTCCCCTCCCGGAGCACCCACGGGCACTCTCGCCGTGAGCTGCTGACCCCTGCCCCTTGACCTCCCCTCCCGGAGCACCCACGGGCCCTCTCGCCGTGAGCTGCTGACCCCTGCCCTCCCCGCGCCCCCTTTGGGTTAGATCGTGTAAATAATATTAATGTGTCGTTGCCCCACCACCATGACCACCCTTCACAATTCTGGCAAATCGCCTGAGGGTTTACTCTCTAACACGCCGGTGTGCCGAAGTAGTTACTAATTGGCTTATATTTGTTTACGTGACAAACCTTACTCATTGGCCATGTCGGGTAGTGGTGGGTTAATGACACATTTATATTTACGAGATCTAACCCAAAAGAAACCTCTATTATGAATAATATTGATTGTGAAAGCCTACTACGTGTTAAACATCCCATTTGGCCCCCCCCCCCTCCAACCTCCATTCCCCCCCACCATTCCCCCCCACCATCGCCCCCCACCCCACCAGATTCGACCTCGTGCTGGACGGGGTCGGGGGCTCGCTGGAGCAGTGGGCCCTGCGCTGCCTGCGACCGTGGACGAGCGCCAAGTACGTGACGCTGGTGACGCCGCTGCTGCTCAACGCCGACCGCTACGGCCTCGGCGACGGCATGGTGAAGTCGGGCCTCACCCTGGGCCGCAGGGTGCTCTCCGTGAGTGGCGCGGCATCCCCCCCCCCCCCACCGCGGCGTCCCCTGCGCACGAGCCCCAAGGGCACGATCGTTCACCTCGCCGATTCGCTCATTCTTAACAAAGCATTGGAAGGTGCCACCCCCCACCACCCACAGTGGCAGCTGTCGCTGTGCAACACGGACGTGACGGAGCACGTGGCCAGCAAGCCCGGATTTGTCTGCGATGATTGCTGCTGCGTTTGTGTGTGACGAGATGTAAACTACCTCGCCTGGTGTGCAGGAGTTCGTGGGTTCGATCCCGACCGAGAAGCCTGTTGTATATTTGAAGTTTGCATGTTCTCTCTCCCCGGGGTCGTGTGGATTTTTTTCCGGGTCCCCTGGTTTTTCACTCCACATTTAGAACTGTACGTTTTCGAGTGGGCCTTACCTGCAAAAATAATAATAATGCAGTTTATTTATATCGCGCTTTTCCAGCACTCAAAGCACTCAACAGTAAAAAGTATTCAATATCATACATGCAAAAAAAAGCTGTTACATATATAAAAAAAATTGTTGTTTTTATTTATCTGCATGATCGGTGATTCGCTCCTAGTCTGTTTTTATCGCATCACAGCGCCGCTGCCGTGGTGATGGTGGCGGCGGTGACGGTAACCCCTCCCCGTTGTTGTCCTCGTGCACTCAGAGCTTCTACAGCGGAGTTCACTACCGCTGGGGGTTCTTCACGCCCAACGGCCCCGCCCTCGACGACATCGCAGAGCTCGTCAACAACAAGAAGGTGAGGGCATCATCATTTAATCGTCGTCAGCCATAGTAGATCCACTGCTGGACGAAATGAAAAATGAACCCTTTCCCGTTCCGAGACGTCTGGAAGTTGCAGGGTGGGTGTCCCGTTCACCGCTGATTCTCGGAAAGGCGCGTCGGGTTCAGCGTTGATTTTATTTAGAGAGGCATAGCACCACTGGTTTTAAAGACGTTGTACTCACCGCAAACAACGTAGCGACACGACCGCACTCTACGATAGCTGGTGCCAAACTGTGCCACACGCCCTCCCGCATGGCCTTGTGGGTGCCTTGGTACCGATAAAGTTATTGAATTTTTTCTTCCGGTTCCGTTGCGATGATGGACCATGCACGTCATCGCAACGGGAAAGGGTTAATCGTCGTCGGCCATGGTCGATCCACTGCTGAATGAAATTTAACGAGGGCACTGACCAAACAAATGGAAGGAAAAGCGGCTGAAAAGTTTGCAAAGAAGCGTGGAAAAGTGTACACTTGGAATTAAACCGAGAGACAGCAAGAGGAACACGTGGATTAGAGAACACACGCAAGTTACAGGCGTCATATTGACCGATTAAAGTCATAAAACTGAGCGGGCTTGGGCAGGATGCGTCGCTGGAAGGGACGATGTGGCCTGGTGGGTGGTGGTCGAGACTAACGATGGAGTGCCATCTAAAGGAGGGAACACACCGGAGAGAGAGTGCGTCTATCGCTGAGATGGAGCGGTGAAATGGGCTCCACAAGCCGGTCGTCGTCACAGCCTCGTGGTGCGATGGTTCCGTCTAGCGTCTGCTCACGAGCTGATATATTGGCCACCGATGCCGTCATTGTATCCTCAACCCCACCGGCTATTCTGCGCAATGTCGCACTCACATTTTAGAATCAGAATATTTATTTGTACTGGAGGAATCAGATGACGTACAAAGCTCTTTTTCACAGATGTCCAGTTGAGGCGGGTCATAACGTGACAACGAATACAAAAACATGATAGGAGTGGAAAATATAGGAAAGGTAAACAAATCACTGAAACAAAAATATAGAAATAAAACTAAACTATTTTTTTATCTTACCGTGTAAGTCCCACTGAGCTTTTTGATTATTTTTCAGAAGCGACCTGGCCACAAGCGATAGCTCAACGAAGTGGCTCATCACGTGGAAATTTATAGCAGCTAAATAATTTAGATAATCGGGCAATATGACGTCAATAAATTGCGTGTGCTCTTCCCCTCTCTCGTCATAATTGCGAGGTTTGTGCTTCGCCACGCTTCTTTGTGAACTGTTCAGCTTTGGTCCCATTTCGTTTATGTGAGTACCCATGTTTCTTCATACCTAATGTTTGTATGTATAGTGAATTTATTTCGCACCATACATAGCCTACCGAGTTAATCGGAGGTGCGGATTGCTTGATTCAAGCAGCCAATCAGGGCTCACCCTGTTTTGTAACTATGATCATTATAATCTTCAGGGACATTACCGTAACCATTGAAGTGTGTATCAGCCATTTTAACCCGTACTCACTGCGCTGGCTGGGCCATGTTTCACAGCGTGACAAGCTGTAACAATCGTGCACTATGTAAATCTATATAAGACTAGCTTTACTACCCGGCTTCGCCCGGGACTTGGATTCTTGTCTCGGATTAATACACGACCTACACGGAGGGTGGGGGGTGCGTGACGTCAGCAGGCACACTGCGTGACGCTGCCGCATGCAGGTGACATGACAGAGATGTGACGTCACCGCTCACTTGCCGTGCAAAATATATCCATTATTGCGCCCGCCCCCCAAAATACAAAAGTAAATTTTTATACTTTTTGCATTGTGTACAGTCTGGAAGCTACCCACATGCCAAATTTCAAGTTTGTTGCATGTTTTGAAGTATGCTAAACATTTCGAACAGCCACACATATTCACAAATTTCCCTTCTATATATGTAGATAATAACATGTTTTGATTGATTGGTTGCTGTTTACCACCCCCCCTCCCCACTCTTGCACTCCCGCAGATCCGACCCGTCGTAGAGAAGGTTTTGCCGTTCCAGGACGTGCTGAAGGGTTTGCACGCGATGGAGAGGGGCCACGCGCGTGGGAAAACCGTCGTCACCATCGCCTCGGCCGCACGATAGCGCCTCTGGCGTGGCGCCGTGAAATTTCAACGGAGGGAAGGGGCCGGGTGGAGGGGAAGGAGGGCGAGGGAGCGCAGAGCTGGGCTCTATCGATTGTTGAAGGGCGTCGGATACTCGACCGATTCACGCCCTCGATCGCTCGGCCAATCGGTTTGCGAGGAAGACAGCGGGAGAACAAAATAAGTGTCGCTTCGGTTCCCGCGGGAGTCATGATGGGCGGGGCTTGGTGACATCATCGTCACCGGCAGCGTCACACTGGGCGTGGCTTGTACAGGGGGTTTCCCGCCTTCGGGAGGCAGGATGGTGGGGGGTGGCCCCCATTCGTCGATTGATAGACTTAATCGACTCGCCGCATGGTGACATCATCGGCATCATCGTCACCGGCCGCGTCACACTGGGCGTGGCTTGTACAGGGGGTTTCTCACCTTCCCGTGAACTTTTTACGTAGAATAACGAGAGTGCTTATTCTTAGTTTTTTCGGTAAAATAAATTTCTCACGACGTTTCGACCATAACTCAAACGGTCATCTTCAGATGAGTTATGGTCGAAACGTCGTGAGAATTTTTTATTGTTTTATATATATTTTATTGTTTTGTTGTTTCCCTTCAACGTGACTTTACCGAAAAAACTAAGAATATGAATTACTGCAGTCACGAAAGCTTTAAATCAAAATTTAACGAGAGTGCTGTTTTAAAGTCGGCCATTGTGTACTTTGAAGCGAGCTGGCAGTGCGTACAGCGGGTTCTGAGTCCGACCGTCAAACACCTTTGGCGCGGGCCACATGTCCACACCGACGCTTAATTTTGCGTGACCCAATGATAACGCGAAGAGAAATGAATGTCCATAATTTATTGTACATCGCGGCAATTTTGCTGTTGATACCCCCCCACCCCGCGACCCCCATCCGGTGCACCTCGAGGCGCCAGGCCGAAGTGGGCATTTGAGACCAAACACTCCACAATGCAGCGTGGACAGCATATGCAACAAATGAGATAACGAACTCGAACAGCTAAACCGGGGGGTGGGGCATGGTCGGCTACGTACGGCGTGAAAGAAGTTCAACGTGCATAGACACTTGCTTTCAGCGACGCTACATTACAAGAGCGGTGTTGCTGCCAGGCCAGGTTGAAAATTGTTCCCCCCCTCCCCTCTAGTTCCCGATCAGTGCGGCTAAGATTGCGTTGCCGCGACGGTTATGAACATCGCCAACGGGCTGATTCAAAGCACCTCCGATTAGCACGGTTGGCTACGTACGGCGCGAAAGAAGTTAAACGCACGTACATATACAGAGGGGTAAGTCGAGCGAAGGCCCTTGGTGAACGGAAAATCACGATCGCTACCGCTCGGATGTACGACAGCGAATGGGAAATAAACAAACTCGATGCTTTGCTTGCGCAGTGGGCTCGTGATGGATGTGCCCTACTGCACGATCCGTCGATAAATGCTCCACGCCATGTTGGGGGTACATGCCTTGCATGTTCTTGATTTGAAGCTTTTGTGACTGCAGGAATACATACTCTGGTTCTTTCAGTGTGGACAATGAACATGCCTTGCATGATAATAGGGTTTTCCCCCTTTTTTCTTTTCTGGCAACAAAACTGAAACCTTTTTACAAGGATTCATGTCTGCATTAGCCACAATACTTGCCGTGAAAATGCAAACAAAAAACACTCATGATAATATATGATGCATTGTCCTTGAAAATGATTGGTCCACACCAGAGACAGCTTTCTTTAGAGCCAAGTCTCAATTGGTGCTAGACCAGATGACGCCAAAAAGTCGAGCACCAATTGAGACGAGGCTCAAAAGAAAGCCGTCTCTGGTGTGGACCAATCAGTTTTTAGGACAATGCATCATATTGTCAGTGTTTTTTTGTTTGCATTTTGACCGCAAGTATTGTGTTTAATGCACAAATGATTCCTTGTAAAAAAAGGTTTAAGTTTTGTTGCCAGAAAAAAGGGGAAAAACCCTATTATTATATTTTGGTACTGGCAAAGGAGGTCTAATGATGCCTTGCATACTCTTTGGTTAATTCGGTAGTCACGTAGGTAAAATAAAATAAATGAAAACTAAATAAAATCACGACGTTTCGGAGGCAACACAAGCTTCCGTCTTCAGGTGGAAACCATCACAGCAAAATTGTTTTCATTTATTCTATTTTACCTACGTGACTTTACCGATAAAACCAAAGAGTATGAATCCTTGCAGTCACGAAAGCTTCAAATCTAGAATTGGATGCCTTGCATGTTCAACGTGTGGACAACTCCACGCTCCGTCAGTTTGCGCTCCATTCCGCGTCGCGGTTCGTGCCTTGCACAGCTTGATGCGCGCGGTGCTCTGCTCCATGTTCCTTCACGCTGTGCTCCATGCCGTGTTTTTTAAAAAAAAATCTAATCTTACATAGCGCAGATAGCGCGCAAAGTTGCGTCTCACATTCGCTGAGTAAGAACCAGACACGCTGGAGGGCTTCCAGGCGTGCGTTGAGCCGGCGCCAACACTTTTCCCGATGCTTTCGGTCAATTAGCGAGTCCTAACACGTGGGAGGAAACCGGAGCGCCCGGAGTGGACTCACGTATATGCGAGGGGGGCGACATTCAGGAGCGCGTTCCACTAAACTACTGCACGTGTGTATGCGCTGTGCGTTGAACTTCTTTCGCACCGTACGTAGCCAAATCGCGCGAATCGAAACTTGAAGCGGAATTAAATGCGTGTCGTCTCATTGACGAGCGTGTCGAGTTTGTATTTGCTAATGTTGCATGTGCACCATTGCCAACTCGGCGTGCATTTAATAAATGTTAAAATTTCCCGTGCGTGAGGAAGCTAGTAATAAAAAAATATACGAACCCACTCGCCTGAGACCTAAATTCATTGGTAAATATACAAAGCCACCGGCTGATGCGCGAGTCAACTGCAAAATACAAACGGTGCCCCCTCTGCCTGCACGCATGCGAGCCAGTAAATATAAACGCGACTCCCCCATGCCCAAGCAAATTGGGTAATGTAATGGCTCGTGCGTAAGCGAACTGGCAAATTGTAAAGTAGCCCCGTGGGCGGATCCGCTGTGGGAAATCTCGAGGGCGGTGGACCATGCCCACGCAAACTGGGAAATGTAATTACTCGTGCGTAAGCGCATTGGCAAATACAAAGCGGCCTTTTATCCGCTGTGGGAAATCTCGAGGGCGGTGGACCGCGACCACGTGACGCGCGGCCGTGCTGGTGACGCCGCCGCCATCTTGAGGCGTCCAGTTCGCGGGATTTGAGTCGCCGAAGGCTGTCGCGACCCCCCTCGCCGCGTTGTTGATTCTCGCGGCCACCCCGGGGCTTCGTCTCGGCCGCCCGCACACCTCCAACCGACGTAAGTTCTCCTGGGTTCGACACCGGGTCCGTAAAGAGCGCGGTTCTGTGAGGGTTTCGTGGGGTGGGGGGGGGTATATGGGCGAAGCGTGGGCCTGTAGGCCGCGGCCTAGCTGCAGGCTTCACCGCTTCCCTCACGCGTTATTTTTTTGTTGTGTTGCATTAAATAAGCGAAGCTTTTCAATTGCCCTTCGTTATGGCCGCAGTTGCACGAGCATCTTTATGGTTCTTAGATGTCCGCGGTGTTGTTTTAAGGGTGGGGGGAGTGTGTCGCGACGTTTGTCCAGACTTGAGCTGGATATGTTTGTCGCTTTGAGTCGCCCCTGCGTGACCCTTGCGCGGGAAACTGGACGCTTTTAAAGACCTCGGCGCTTTCAAGGACCTCTTAATCAATATAATACACCGTGCATTGATGCAGCACCGCAAACAGCACTCAAATCTATAAACATCTCGCAAGAAGAGGTGCCCTAACCGTGGTATAGCAGCGACCTGCCAGTCGGCTCTTGAGTCAAACATTTGCTAGGCAGAGCCAATTCAGTCCACTCGGGTGAAGTGAATTCAATACATTACGAAAACATTGCGTGCGTTTTTCTCCTCATTTAACTCGTGGTATTTTGTGTTTCATGCCGCCGAAAAGGGCCGTGTTGAGGGTGTTTGTGTGTGGTTGGATGCTGTTGCATCGGTGTTCCTGTTTTGCAAACCTCGTTGCATTACACTTGAGTTGCTCTCTCGCGCCGTTGCGCGCTGTCAAACTGTGTCACTCCGTCTTGCCATGGAACGCAGTTGTCACGGGTGATGTTGTGCCTCGAAAATTGTGCTGCTTTTGATCATATCCTCTTGTCTGCTCTCGGTTGTGTTGCATCCCTACCATTCAAACCGTGTTACATTGAGCCGTGCTCTTTGGTAGGCTGTCAAAATGGCATAAAACCGCGTTGCATTGGATCCAGTTGTACTGAGTATGCTGCCTTGCAAGCTGTGCTGCGGCGAATCCGGCTGTCTGTAATGAGCTGTTCCGTGCGCGTTTTTACCTGTTGTGCAAGCAATGCTTTATTAAATGCATTTGTCTCGTGCGCTGTCTTCCCCGTAAGGTATGCGCCACTCAGACCTGCTGTTGCTTCATGTGTTGCCATCTCTACCACGCAAACTGACCTGCTTTCGCATGCCGTATATTCAGCCCACCAAAACCTGAGGCATAAGGCAGCAGTAAGAAATGATGGCGATACTCAACAAGATTTCTAACAGGGATATAACCAGTATAGACAGTTGTCTTGTTGTCCTCTGCTGTCTAAAATAAAAGGCCACATTTAAAAAAACTATTTTCGAGGTTATGATCTTAATGCAATGTGCATCGTACGTGCAGTACACGTATGGTGATGGCATGAGACCATACAGGGCACAGCGGGACGACTGGTCTCATGCTTAAGATCGCGCATTTGCTCTCCCATCAATCACCTTTTGAGTATTATTACTAAGTATCCAGCCCTATGTGTGTGATTGCCTCCTCGTGTTGCATTCCTCTGTAAGCCATGCAACATTCAGCCCTTCCATCTCAAGTTCTGTGCCCCTGTTCAGCAAGGCGTGTTGTGTTTACCCCCGCCGTTCAGTGTCTGTGGTGTTTTTTGCCCTGCAAGTTTGCAATGAGTTGCTGCTTCGTGTTATTGTGCACCTTCAGTCTTAACCTTGCTGGGGTTTTTTTCGGTTGTCCCATGTATTCAGCAATGCTGTCACTTGTCTGCCGTCTCGTGCTAACCGTATTGCGTTGTATAGCTCTAAGGTGCGTTCTTATGTTCATCTTAATGGTTACTTGGCTCTGCGCTGACCTGTGTTTGCCTTGTGCGTGCGTCAGAGCGGGCTGCCGAGTCTGCTGTGTTGGAACGCGTGGCGCACCCAATAGGTGTTCTAAATGCTCGTAAACGTCTTATCGGTAACGTTAAAGGTAGTTGTACATAATGTCGCGTGTGTGCCGTTGCAGAGTTGGCCATGGCAGACGGGGAGCCACCCGCCAAGCGGGTAAGCCATGGAGATCTTTACCAAAAACACTGGCGCCTGTAACGTGTCGCCAGTGCTTTGATTATAAGTGATGCGGGGGCATATGCTGGGGGAAAAAACATGGTAACTCTCAGATGCGCGCATTTTCTGTAAGAAATAAAGTAAAGTTATGATGCAAATAGAAGTCAAAGCAAAAGCAACCGCTTGCATACAATAAAAGTGGCGGATTTGTGTGTGGAAATGTGTGGTTGCCTCCCAAAGGTATTTGAAAGTCCCATTCGACCATCGGTAGTTCCCCATGCCTGCTCTAGCGTCAACAGTTTCAAAACTTAATATTGCTGATGATGCAGCCGCACCGACCTCTTTATTTGTTGGTTAATGGATTCGGTTGTAATGGTAACGGATGTTTGTTTTCCCGTCCTCAGGTGCGTCTTTCTGACGACGAGTTGCGCGCCATGTCGAGGGAAGACCTCTTCGTGAGGTGCGCAGAAAATGTCTCTTTGGTATCAAAAAGCCCTCGGTGACGCGTCACCACCCGCCGTTTTGCCTTGCCGGCTGAAATATGCGTTTTACACCTGTCAACGACCCGTCGCGATTCCTGTATCCAATCGTGTTCTTGTGAATCGATTGTTTACGGTGTAGATTGTGGATTTAGTTTAAGACGTATGATTTTGCTACCAATATTGTTTATAATAAAGGTTATTTTTTTTGTTAGATCGTGTAAATAGAAATGTGTCGGTAACCCACCGCCACCCGACGCGGCTAATTCATAAGGTTTGTCACGTTAATTTAAATAAATGCTGAAAAGTGCAATGAAGCATGGAAAGGTGCATATGCTGAGAATTACATTTAGAAATAGGAACACGTACGTGGTTTACAAAACATACTCAAGTTTGAGACTTAATATTGACTGCAAAGTAAAGTGGGCTTGGGCAAGTCATGTCGCTAGATGGGGCATGGTGACCATTGTTCCAGACTCGGGTTGTTACTTCCGATTTTTATATATAAACATTTGTTTGTCTGCTAAACCTGACCCCCCCCCCCCCCCCCCAGAGGAGCATGGTGAATTATGGCCAATAAAGCCCTATAATTAACAAAATGTGATGAGGCCTTCATTCAGCAGTGAACCGACAAAGGGCTGTAAGTTTTGTTTAGTACATACAATGGGCTATCACGTGACCGGTCACACTGAAAACATGCCTTGTGATTGGAACGGTGTCTTAGGCCAATTGGTTAATTCATTGCTAAATTTAAATTGGATTTGATTATTGATTCTATGACTTTGAATCAATAACCAATTTTAAAAAAATCGATGATAAATGTACAAGCTAAAAAACCTTGAAGGAAATGAACGACTCTATAACCTGAAGCAGGCATTGCTGAAGCTCGTATATTTAATTTGTGTTACTTTTTGGCCGACTGTATGACTACATAAGCGCCGCTTAAGTGCATCTTAACAATCCTAAGTGTGTTTGAGCTGAGGGGACATGACGATGCTGCTGTGGTCTGCAGCGCGGTGACGTTGCGATGTGCAGTGAACCTGTCTCTGTTTTTTTGCTCTACGCAGGTGGAAGCAGCAGGAGGGATACCTCAGGACCCTGGAGTCGAAGCTCGCAGATCTCAACTGTGAGTTGACTGCTACCTATTTGATTTTACTCTCGTATCAGGAACTTTTTTTAAACGACGTAAAGTTAAACCATCACGTCAGCAAGACGCGCTGTGATTTAAGTGTAACGTAACTTGCATCCGTGTGTGTGTGCGCGCGCGCCCGTCGTTGGGTGTGCCATGGCGTGCGTGTTGTGCGTGCGTGAACCGCCTGCCACACCGTCTACCGTGGACCAGCGAGCGACGTGACTGGCCTGCGCGAGTCCGAGGAGCGGCTCAAGCACCAGCAGCAGGAGTCGTTGCGCCGGGAGAACATCCTGGTGATGCGTCTCGCCACCAAGGAGCAGGAGATGCAGGAGTGTGCGGTGAGGAGACGTGTGATGATTCACCCCCCCCCCCACGCCTCTGTTAGGGGATACATCCATGTATCTAATGCTGTCAAACTTAAAACCATTTTCCGATTACAAGTTGCAGGGTGGGTGTCCCGTTCACCGTTGAATCTGGGAACTCGCAAGCGGTTCATTGTTAATTTTATTTAGAGGCATAGTGCTGCTGTTTTTCAAGACATTTTACTCACGGCAGAGAACAGTAGTGACACGACTGCACTCTACTATGGCTGGTGCCAAACTGTGCCGCACGCTCTCCCACATGGCCTTTTGAGAGCCTCGGTACCGATAAAGTTATTTTATTTGAGCTTTTCTTCCTTGTACGTCAACGGAAAGTAATCGGAAGAAAAACTGACGGCGTACATGCACGTGCTGACGTACATGTACGCCATCGAAACGGGAAAAGGTTAAGTTGAAACCATTTATGCATTGTATCTATCTGTCTATTACGGGGAAAACCCGCGCAAGGATGATGTTTCTTTATGAGACTACTCCCCTCGTCACCCACTTTTCACAGCCACGCGTTATGTTTAGGTACAGTGCCGAGAACAAGTGAACCCCATAGGATTTTCACATTTTACATATTTCAAACTCAATCGATAAACAAAATAACCTGATTAAACAAATGACACAAACATGATACTCTTTCAAAATGTTTGTGTTCTCACATGATTCTGCATTGAATGACTATGCGTGAAAAAGTAAGTGAGCCTTTAGTTTCAGTAACTGTTGACACCGCCTTGAGCAGCAATGACTGCAACTAAGCTTTTCCTGTAACCTATGGTCAGTATCTCACATCGGATTTGAGGTATTTTGTCCCATTCTTCCTTCCACAACTCCTTCAACTCGGTGACATTTGAGGGTTGTCTTGCATGGACAGCTCACTTGAGGTCCTGCCACAACATTTCGATGGGTTTTTTTTAGGTCTGGACATTCACCAGGCCATTGTAAAATACAGAAATCCTTCTTCTGCATCCATTCTTTTGTAGATCTACTTGTATGTTTAGGATCATTGTCTTGCTGCAAGGCCCACTTGGGTTCAGTTTCAGCTCACGGACGATGGCCTGACATTCTTCCCTAGAATCTTGTGATACAATGCAGAATTCACGGTTGTGTTGGTGGTGGCAAGCCGTCCAGGTCCTGAGGCAGCAAAGCAGCCTTAAACCATCACTATCCCACCACCATGCTTGACAGTAAGAATGAGTCTTCTTTGGTTCTTTCGGTAAAGTCACGTAGAATGAGAATAAAATAATAAATTGATAAAATAAAATAACACAATAAAATTCTCACGACGTTTCGGCCACAACACAAGCGGCCTTCATCAGGTGAAGGGACGAGACTGTCTGGAGGACAGTAAGAATGAGGTTCCTCTGTTCGCAAGCATTGTTTGGTTTTCGCCAAACGCTGTTTCTCGTTGAGGCCAAAAAGTTCTACCTTTGACTCGTCTGTCCAGAGAACATTGTTACAGAAGTCTTGTGGATCATCTATTTGCTCGTTGGCGAACTTCAGACGAGGAGCAGTGTTCTTTTTGGAGAGGAGTGGTTTTCTCCTTGCTATCCTTCTTTGAATGCCATTCCTCTTCGGTCTTTTTTCGATAGTTGCGTCATGAACACTCACATTGGCCAATGCAAGTGTGGCCTGCAGATCCTTGGATGTTTCTCTGGGGTGCTTTGTGACTTCCTTGACGATTTTCTGGTTTGTTTTTGGATACATTTTGGTAGGATGACTGGTGGGTAGAGAGACTGGTCTTGCACTTTCTCCATTTGTAGACCATCTGTCTGACAGTGGATTGGTGGAGTCCCAAATCCTTAGACATTGTTTCGTAGCGTAAGAAGTTCAACATATATACAAATCGAGTTATATTTTTTAGTCACGATTGAACCGATCGGTATTTGAGTACGCTCGCAAAACGTTGAAAACCACTCGGCCGCATGTCAGTGTGATCGGGCAGCGGTCGCCAGAATGAATCACTGGTGCCAGGGCTCATCGGTGTTACCGTGCGGTACGTTCCAAAAGACACACGCACATACACAGGGCCGGTATTTTAATGCCATTCTTTTAGATATGTGTACACGCAGTTGTTGAGAACACAGAAGAAAACAAAACAACAACCCAATGTATATTCTTGTTGTTGATTTCTCTGTGGTGAGGCAAGGTGTTTCCACCAGGTAAAATGGGTTGTATTGATTGACATTGAAAGATAAAATTCGCCCGCTTTGCCATTTTGACGATCTCTTATTATTTGGGGTTGCAGTTAAAATTTTGTTGCCACATAGAAGCATTTGTTGTGTAGTATTTAGCATGGAGAGTTGTGCAGCATTTGAATAAATTAAATTACGTTGTTTGACTTTGACGTTATTATGCATGATTTTATACGTGCATCGTGAGCACAGTGATAACGTTAAGAATGCCGTTTAGATGCCCAGGAAAGCATCTCCGAGTCTCAAGATTTAGTGTTTTTTCAGGAGAGTCCTGCATTTCGATGTTTGACTAATTTAATTGATGAGTGGCATCTGGGTGGAATCTGGTGTACCTGGAGAAATCCCACAAATACGAGGAAGTAGCGAGCACTTGTCCTCCGTAAATGGTTTCAGTAATTCCATTTCCGTGCAATCATTTCTTGGCCACCTCATAGCTCAAAGGCCTACTAAACCTGGCATTCTCAGGCAATCTCCCCTCCAAGAACTCACCAGGCAAGAACTCTTTTTTTTAGCTTCCAGGATTTAACAAGATTTGGGGCATTCCGGATGATTTGGTCATAGCTTGAGAAGAGATCTGAATCGCTGAATTGGGTGCGTTTGACATACGGCTCGTAGTTGAATGTGCTCTGTTTACTTAAAATCGCTCACTTTCTGCCGTGCTAACTTGTCGTGCTTTTGTCTTTTTTTTCTCCTTCGCCCCTCCCATTCATCCGTGCACGACCGTCGTCTGCGCTCGTGTCCCGGTGTTGCGGCCGCCGGGCTCCCGCGGTGCGCGGATTTTCGACGGCGTGGCGGCGGCGGTGGCGGCGGCGCCGATCGCACCGTGCACACCCCCCCTCACCCGAAACAGACTCAGATCGCTTCGCTCAAGCAGGGTCAGCTGTCGAGCGCCTCTCACCTGCGCTCCTGTCTCGTGGACCCGGCCGTCAACCTGCTCTTCACCAAAATGAAGTCTGAGCTGCAGCAGAGCAAAGACAAACTGCAGCAGGCCCACGATGAACTGAGTGCCTGGAAGTTTACGCCCGATAGGTAACACACCAAAACGTTTTAAAAAAAAACAAACAAAAACAAAACGATCGTCTTGCCCCGCAGACTCTTCTGGCGTAAGAGCGGCGGGGGTGGGGGGGGAGGGCGGGTGGTGGTAGCCGCCTCTCCTCCGGTGGCCCCACCCGCGATGGAGGACCCGGCCGCGCTGGCTCCACCGCCGCCACCTGCAGCGCTCGAGGGTTGTGTTTCTCGTACGAAACGACGGACACACGAACACAGCCGTTGTGTCGCCGGCCTCGGGAGCGCCGGTTCATCTGTTGACTCGCTTTTTCCTCCCCTCACAGGAAAACGCAGACACGCGACAAAAAACCCCCACGGTTGTGTATAACGTGTAACTCTGTAGCATTAATCTGCCTGTAAAAGCTATCCCAAACTATAATTTTAATTGACTCTTGGTCGCACCTGCTTTGCTCACCGGCAGTGAAGAACACTTATCGCAAAGACTGAAATTTTGAAAGGGCCACTGTGCACACTCATAGACTCCACAGACTTGTAGCCGTAACGCCTCTAAAGCAGCAGCGGCGGTTGCTGCGTCTCTAGTGCCGCAGAGGAGGAAGCGGAGGTTACTTTCGCCTTTTTTGGCGTGCAAACTGTTAAGCGTCCGCATTAAAAGGGGCAACAGAAGTAGTCGCGATCACCTCAAACCCAGCATCAAGATCACCACCGATTCATTTGTGGCGGCTGAACGCTTAGGCGAGACGTCACACTAAAGCTCCTAAGCGTTCCGCCTTCGAGCACGCCTTCCCGCTCGCTCCACTGACTCTGTCCTGATTGACTGAACTGTGGGCTCGCGGGCTTAGCTCAGGCAGTCTCGCTTGCCGATTCCTCCCTGAACGATTCAACAGGTATAACGAACGAACGTGCATTCACCAAAATTAACATCATGACATCGTTTCCTCTGAAAATTTCCTGTGGCTCGTGTTGGATGTACGTGGAGACGGTCTCTTGTGGTTTAAGTTCCTGAAGGTGCAGATCTATTTATGTGTGTGTGGGAATTTAAGTGGGCAAGGGCTGCACGTTTGACCACTTCATTTAAAAATAATAATCTCAACGCATTGTTTAATGATAGACTTTGGATGAGTTAAATCAACCAGTGGTGCCAAACACCTGTTAATTGTCCTGATAAGGTACATTACCGATTAATTTTATTAACGAGGGTTGCTCACCCGGTTAAATAAATGTAAATGCTGTCTGTATAAGCATGGTTGCTCTGAGTTTTGCAAGAGGGAAGTGGTGAAACGTGTATATGTGGGCGCTTGTAAGTAGCGATTTTGAGTCAGTACTAAATGCTTGCATTTATGTAGATTAATTTAAGTATTATTTTTCTTAAGTTGGCATGTTTTGTGTTTTTTATTTCACCTTTTATTGCAGCTGGAAAACATCTACCGAGTAATTGCACTTGTTGAGGGATTAATGGTTAAAAAAAACTAATGAGTCTCAGTTAAAACTGTAAAAAACATTTTAAAGGAAGTTTTACCATTCAAGTTGCTAGTGTAACATGTGAGGGGGATGTGCATGTCTTCTGTTTTAATGGGGAGCGGTGGCACAGTCATTAGCGCACTACGTTACGAACCCGGCGACCCGAGTTCGATTCCCACTCGTGACCTATAACTGTGGTGAAAATGTGAACTAGTCCTGAGCCTCCCCGAGGTAGACTCGGCCTTAAATGAGTACCTGGTGTGAAGTGTAAGCATCAGCACTGGGGAGACGGAGGCGGCCGGGCGTGGTGTTGGCCACCCACCCTCTCGTGCGCCTTGCCGGCCTTTATAGGTGCTCGCTAAGAGCAATTGCCCCAACATTCTGTTAAAGGCTACGTGGGGGATTTTTGATGTTTTTGTTCTGTGGCACCGCGTGTTGGCTGTCCATCGCAATGTTGATAAATGCAGTCACAGTAATGTCTCCCGTGAAGGCGATGTAACATTATGGTACACACTTGTAAGATCCTCTCAGTCATAATTGACAGCCCATTGTTGCAAGATGGTCTCCCCATGCCAAGTCGGGCATTGGGGGTTGTGTTCCATTGTATGTAAGATCTACTTTCTAAAGAGTCGCGTAAATTGGAGCAAGGGGTAGTCAAACTCACGTTAACGTGTTGCGCTGTTTAACCATCCGTGCTGCAGAGTATTAACTCGTCCCATTAATATTGTCAAAAGAAAAAGTACGAATCGTACAAAGTTAAATCTCCACCTGCTTTTTTTTTTCCTCTATGCAGGCAGTTAAAACGAAAATGTTGTCTGGGCTGAAACGCGGCCGTGCTCGAGTTTTAATTTTGTGACAGGCTGCACCAAGCGCTGACGATAAACAACCGCTGTGGTCGCCGCGCCAAGGCATGCATTGCCCGTCGACTAATCTCAGAATCGGAATTTTTATTTATTCTGGAGGAATCCGATGAGCTGTAAAGCTCTTTTATGTCTCTTCCCCCACTACGAGGGCTAGCGAGAACTCCCCCCACACCCCCCTTTGCCGCGTTTGTGTTTTTCGCCTTTGCCGAGTGCCGTGCCGACTGTTGTTTGCAGCCAAACGGGCAAGAAACTCATGTCGAAGTGCCGCATGTTAATCCAGGAGAACCAGGAGTTGGGTCGGCAGCTGTCGCAGGGGCGCGTTGCGCAGCTCGAAGCCGAGCTGGCGCTCCAGAAGAAGTACAGCCAGGAGCTCAAGAGCGGCCAGGACGGTGGGTGGGGTGGGGTGGGTTGGCGAGCGTTTTGAGCTATGGTTAGGGTCTTGTTAACGAAATGTGGCCCCGTGTGACTGGGAGTTCTCGCCAGCTTGGGTTGGTTTTTGTGCTCAACATCCGAGAGCCAGTTGCTGGCCGATTCTCCGCGTGTCCGTGAAGATGGTGGGGTCACTGTTCCATTGGTGTGAACTGTTTTTAGTCTCGTCAGTACTCTAAAAGTTTGCTCCGTATGAATATTGAACTTCACCGTACGTAGCCAACCGTGCTAATCTAAGGTGCTCCACGAGTCTTAAAAGTTACATTTGTTTATAATTTGGTTGCACTACAAATTGTTTGCATGTATAAATGAACGAATTCGTTCTTTTCAATGATTGATCCATGAACTGTTGTATACCTACCGTACGGGCACAGTGGCATGGGCACATGTGGATGTGTCTACTGTCGTTGGGTTGCGCGTGTTGTATGTGTGTGGTTGAGCCATTGACCCACACTGTCTGTAGGCTTCAATTTTAAGTCACCGGTGGTGCTCGCGTTCACGACAAGGCTTGTGTCTTTTTGGCACGCCGCTCACGTACGTGTGTTTGTGTAACGCGCGCGCAGAGCTCAACGACTTCATCATCCAGCTGGATGAGGAGGTGGAGGGCATGCAGAGCACCATCCTGGTGCTGCAGCAGCAGCTCAAAGAGGCGCGGCACAAGTTGCAGCAGGTGTCTGCGCCTGCGCCCGGCACCGGCGGGCCAACGACCCACGGCCCAGCCGCCTCTCAGAGCCCGCAGACCACCGCCGCCGCCTCCTCCTCCTCCGCTGCGGACGGTCCGTCGCCTCCGCCGCCCCCGCCACCCAACGTGACTGCGACCCGGGCGCCGTCGGAGTCGCGCTCCAGCCCCGGGCGCTCGCCGGCGCGGCTCTCGGAAGCCAGCGCCCACGGGGTCTCCGACGCCGACAGAGACTTCTCTCCGCCGCCCTCCCCGGATGACGGCTCCGGCTGCGCCGGCGGCTCGTCGGACCGGGCGGGGGAGCTGCGTTCGTGCTCTCCGGCCGAGGGGACGTCCTCGTGCGAGCCCGGCGGCGGCGGCGGTGGCGGCGCCGGCGGCGGCGCCGGTCGGATGGAGACGGAGTGTGCCGAGAGCCCCGGAGAGGGCGGCGGCGGCGGCGACGGCCGCGTAGCGTCGGCGGAGCATCTGTCGGCGTCGCCGGACACGGCGAGCGGGCCCCAGCAGTCGCCGGAGCAGTCGAACGGCGTGTGCGTCGCCAGCAGCAGCACGGCGGCGCGGCCCCGCTCGGCCGACAGCGCCGGCGGCGGCGCCGCGGAGCCCGCGGCCTCCTCGCCGCTTGACAAGGAGGAGGACGACGACGACGACGACGAGGACGACGACGACGACGACGAGGAGGAGGACATGGAGACGCGCGGCGCCGGGAGCGCGCGTGGAAACCACCTGGCGGAGGAGCGCGGGGGCGGCGGCGTGAGCAGCAGCGGCGGCGTGGTGAAGGGGTACGAGGACATCGACTCCCCCGTCGGGAGCGACTCCCCGCGGAGCGGCCCGGCTTCCCCCAAGCCGGCGGGGACCGCGGGTGCCGGGGGGGTGGAGGCGGACACGGCGGGCGGGGCGACGCTCAATGGCTTCGAGCACCCGTCGGACTCGGACTCGGACGACGACGACGATGAGGACGACGACGACGACGACGAGGGATCGAGCTGATTGGGCCTTGGCGCCACGGGGGGTAAACGGCGCATCCCCCACTCCTTTCACCCCCTTGTACAGGAAAGAAAAAGATACGTTACAAAGCACGCTTCTAAATATTGTTGGCGAGGAGACGGGTGTGTGCTCGCGTTGGTTCGCGTACGGCATTTTCCGTTGCCGTGCAGACTCCGTGATGATTGCCGTTGGGCCGGAGCCCGGCGGTGCGAGGTCGTGTCTGCGCTCGTAGACCGTTTGGTTTTCCAGTGGAAGTTGCTCGTGGCTTGCGCGCCGTTCTCCACCAAGCTGAGTCAAGCTAAGTGAGCGAGCTCCCACCTGCGTTTTAATTTGGTGCCGCGGTGGAGAGACGTTAAATACCTCGCCTATTATATAAGACGTCGTGGGTTTGATACCGACCCTGACGCTTGTATATTTGGAGTTTGCATGTTCTCCCTCTGGTCACCTGAATTTTTCTCCGGGTCCTCCGGTTTTTCCCTCCACATTTAGAAACATGCGTTTAGATTATTTGGCTGAAATACATTTCCATATGATGATAAGCCACTTCGTTGAGCTATCATTTGTGGCCAGGTCGCTTCTGAAAAAGAGCTATATAGCTCAGTGGGCCATGCGTGGTAAAATAAAAACAAATTTTTGTTATTATTTTTGTTAATTTATGTGACCCGCACGGAGATCGTTTGCACTGGCAGAGCAAACGATCTGATTTTAAGCGTGTGCCCTTCGGCGAGTAAACCATCGTGGTAGCTGCCAACGTGTAACATCACGACCGTAACGACGGAGCATTTTGTAATTTTAATTATTTTTTTAAATTAAACCCGCGCTGCCACTGCTGGCGGGTTGAGGTTGCCCTGCAGGGCACGCGGCCAGTCTGGTGTCGCGGGCAGAATTGAGGCAAAGTGTACGCTACACTGGCAGAGAAGCCCTCTCGGACACAAACACACGCGTGCACACACAGCAGAGGAAACCACAGTCTAACCGTTGTGTTTGCGTTTTAATGTCCCACCGTTTGAAATTTACGCGTGGAAGGGCGGTGGTTTAACGAGCGTTTGTGGACGGTGAAGCCCGGTGGGTTGTGGTGAATTGGTGTCATCCAAGGTGGAGTGAAATTCGGGGGTGGTGGACCGCCGTGGGTGGTGGTGTTAACCGTGGCTTCTGCTGATAAGGCCCTTTTATTACTGTCATGAAAACTGGCGGCAGTTGCGTGAGAAGATGTTGCCTTTCTGCTCAGCGTGTCACGATTCATCACGTACAGTCGATTCTTTACACTCCCTGTGCATGCATCGAATTGTGTAGGGATTTACGTGTTTGATGCAAACTATATGCCGATGAAAACTATATGCTGATATACCTTTAGGGCACAACGACAACCATACAGAACGGTACAAACTGGACAGTACAAATGAGACGAAACATCGTAACAAATCCTCGTTTAACGAGAATTCTTTAAATCTCTCGGGTGGTGATGAATCAATATCGGCGTAATTGATGTGATGTTGGTATTGAAAGCGTTCCCCTTCTTTGAACACAACCATGACCCTAACTTTGGGATTGTTCCAATTGAGAATCATGGGCGTGCCCCCCCCCCCCCCTTAATAAATGCAGTTACCCATGTTAATAACGGAACACCGAGAGCCGCGGAATCTGCATCACCCGCTGTTCACGCCATCAATTTTAATGACCCGTTTTCCCCTGCGCCCCCTTGCGGGCTGGTCAGTCGTCACCCCCACCACCTCCCGCAGTTGCAGACACGGTCGTTCTGAGCAAGTTGACCGGGGCGAGGCGGTTGCCCACAGCTGGCAACGCTTCGGCGACTGAAAGATATTACTGGCGGTGTAGGATTTTCCAACTCCGTTGGTACATGTTATCGTCTGGTGTGTGTGTGTGCGCGCGCGCGTGCGTGCGTCGTCATCGTCATCCTTTGCTTAACGTGCTCGTGACCTGCAAAGTGCAGGACTCGCTGGTCAAGGCATGGTTGGAGTTGAGCGGCAAGCCGCGAAACCAGTTGGTAATACCCCACCCCACCTCCGTAGTTTGTTGTCAACGTTGGCAGGAATACAAGTTGTTTGGCACGGGTGCCACTTGCATTGTTGTTACCTTTGGTTTGAAATTGGGACGGGCACCGTCTGTTTGTTTGGCGGCAGCGCCGGTTTTCACGGCTTCTTGTGACCACCTTTAGGTGCTCCTTTCCCCCCCCAAAGTGTACCCGTGGGATATGTCCGTGCCCTAGAGCCATGCCCCCATGCCTGCTGTGGCTCGGGGGTGTTGCTGGCCGCAGTTTGTGTATATTGGGGTGCACTTTGTTAATACGCATCAGATCAGCCCCGGCTGACGCCCATTGACACCTGATATTTAACCACGAGTGGCTCGCAATGATTAGGTGCGCACGTGTTATTTTCTGACAAATGACCAAAATAAAACATGCGTGTGCTTTTTTTTTGTATTCTACACCCCGAAGTCATCTTTGTGCTTTTGCCTGCAAGCTGATTGCGTAAGTGTGCGTGTGGAACCTCCGGTGCGTGTGAATTAACGTGAGACCGATGATATTTACATATAAGATTGGCAGTTGACCAGCATTGTTTCAAGCGAGCCTCACTCTTGCTGGTGACACATTTAATGTCACAACCTCCCCAGCGATTGTCTGAAAAGTACTGCTATATAAAGCATTCCGAGAATGCCATGCGGCTGATTGGTTGTGTCAAACATTGTTTATTTTTAATGTCGAGACGGATATGAGCAGGAGACTTTGCCCCCTTTATTTAGTTAATTACAAAAGGGCGCATGGCTTTGATAAATCTGGCAATCATTTAAATCCCCGAATCGTGGCTGCAAGGCTGCGTGATAGATTATCATCGTGTAACTGGCCGAGTGCGTGCAGCTATCCAGCCGCAAGTGATCGTTGAGGCAGGCAGGACTCTGCGAATCTGCGGGTAAAATTAAGCTTCACACCCACCACCCCGCCTTACCATACACGCCCTCTCTGTAGATTCAATGCCACATTGTTCACGTGAGAGGACTGCCTCTTGCACCGCCACGGCCACCAAACAGCCGCCTCAAACCCACCTCGGCAGTGGTTTCACTTGGGAGACCCAAGCCAATGTGGTTGCCCAGTAGCGCCACGCACCCCCCCCCCCACCCCCACCGCGTCGTATCTCATCCGCCTCGGTTATTGGTCAACGCGTGTCGACACCAAATTCTCTCCCGGGTGAGGGCAGGCAACAGCTCGTGAACTCTTGCCGCCCGTGCCCCTTATCGCGCGTCCCCTCGTTTGACCTTCACGTCTTAGTTCAGTCGGCATGATTGGGTGGTTACAGCAACAACAAAAACGAATAACCGTTAATAATGGACCTAAACCAGAAACGCCTTGCTACTGAATCTCTACTTTTTTCAGGAGGGTTCTGCATTTCGATATCTGGCCAGTTCTTTTTTTTAAAGAATAACTTTTTTATTCTTAGCTCTTTCGGTAAAGTCACGTTGAAGGGAAACAAATAATAAAATATATATAAAACAATACAAATTCTCACGACGTTTCGACCATAACACAAACGGTCGTCATCATCACACACCTGATGACGACCGTTTGTGTTATGGTCGAAACGACAACCGTTTGTGTTATGGTCGAAACGTCGTGAGAATTTTTATTGTTTTATATATTTTATTGTTTCCCTTCAACGTGACTTTACCGAAAGAGCTAAGAATATAAATTACTGCAGGCACGAAAGCTTTAAATCAAAATAACTTTTTTTTGCTGCTGTTGTTGCGTGCGGCATGAATTTTGTAGGACCCAGAGCAATGAATGTGAATCGGTGCGAAAACACTCGTGCACATGTAAGACTCCGCCAGAGCGACCGTTCTCGTATCTGCAACGCGTGAATCTTTTGCCACCGAGAAAATTCACCGCTTGCTTTGGACGTCATAACCCTAACGACTGCCCATCAACAAAACAGCCACAAAAACGCACCACTGCAACCCTGTGCAAATGAACGAGCTCCCAAAGCCCCCCTCCAGGCTACGTGATGACATTGCAATAAAACTGACCGGTAAGGCACTCTGCAAATGAATGAGCTCTCAAAGCCCCCCCTCCAGGCTACGCGATGACATTGCAATAAAACTGACCGGTAAGGCACAATGCAAATGAACGAGCTCTCAAAGCCCCCCCCCCTCGGCGCTACGCGATGACATTGCAATAAAACTGGCAGGTAAAGGTGACGCTGTTACGGCCCGCGAGGCGAAGTCCCTCTTGCAGTCTTTTTTGCATTCGTCTCGTTACCTGAACGAGCGCCTGAGTGTACCGAGATCAAAACTTCGTTAAATGGCTGATGGAGCTTTCAGACGTCAGGCGCCACCTTTGTGCAATTGTCTTGCCCCATTCTAGATTTGAAGTTTTCGTGACTGCAAGGATCCATTTTCTTTGGTTCTTTCGGTAAAGTCACGAAGGTGGAAAAAATAATGAAAATAAATTAAATCACGACGTTTCGATTGCAACACAAGCAATCATCGTGGTTGTCACACCTGATGATGATTGCTTGTGTTGCAATCGAAACGTGATTCAATTTCGATTTAAAGCCTTTGTGACTGCAAGGATTCATCTTCTTTGGTTCTTTCGGTATAGTCACGAAGAATGAGAAGGCTGCTTGTGTTGTGGCCGAAACGTCGTGAGAATTTCATTATTTTATTTGATCAATTTATTATTTTATTCTCATTCTACGTGACTTTACCGAAAGAACCAAAGAAGGTGATTCAATTTATTTTATATTATTTTTTTCACCTACGTGACTTTACCGAAATAAAGAATGTCTTGCCCCAACCAGTCCGTTCGGAGCAACTCCATCGGTCGGATTGTTAGGGCTCGTCTGAAAACGACGTGAATTGTCTCATGCGTGTCCGTCTGTTTTTCCTACTTAGTTTGTAGTATTAAGGGTTTTTATTTTTTACGGGATTGTGTTGTTAAAGCGCCGTGACGCCTTGTGTGAATGGCGTTATATACACACAGCTGAGGTTTACTTTTGTTATGTTTTGGACAATTCACGAATCTGTTCGTGAATTATTACCACACCTACGACAATTTGCGAACATGAGTTACCAATAATATAAAAGGAGACCAAGTAAAAGGTGCTACCTGAACAACACATCCCAATAGCCGATTAATATTTGTGTTGACATAGCTTGGAGAAAATTAAAAACAAAAACGTCAAAGGGACCGGCATCGGTGGATCCGGACCAGCCAGCTGATCTCCGATCCCCATACTGCACACAGGCACCCCCTGCCGTTATCATAACTGCTGTGTGTTTTTAAAGTTTGGCTGGCTGACTGCCTGACTGGCTGGGACGAACGGAACGGCCACGTCCGAAGCGCGCGTACGCGTTGCTCGTTATCGCTAAATAGGCTCACTCGAGGACATTTCCCCGGGTAGTTGCAACGCACCGCAGAGGCCACGCGCGCGCGTGCCAGATTCGCGCTTGCAATACGTAAGGCGAGCCGCAAAGAAAGAGAGAGAGAGGGAGTCCAATATCCGAATTGTTCTCACCTCTCAACGCTGCCGTGCAGCAGCTGTTCACACATTTCCCAATGGCGTGGCTGTGATTTCAGAGCGATTGCTTCAGCCGGGCCACGTGACGCAAGACTTTGGCAAACTCTGTCTCCATCCCCCCTCCTTCCTGCCAGCCAAATATTATTACTTAAGGGGGGAAGGCAGGACAAAGTAAATGTTCAACAAACTCTCGAATCTTTACATAAAACGGTCAACAAATGTTAAACGCGAAACAGATCGATAATGCTATCGTGTGTGTGTGTGTATGTTGAACTCATTTCGCACTGTACCCGGCCAACAGTGCTAATCGGAGGTGCTCGACTCACCACCTTTGAGTTACACAAAAAGCAGGATACATCACTTGTAGAGAAGAATATATCACTACCATATGGAAGGGGTGGGGGGGGATTACGTATAAATACATTACATTGAGTAATGGATCATTATTATTGTTACGATGAAATTGTCAATAAACGGGGACTTTTCCACGTCACCGGGCACAACACTGACAGACTTCCTCGGGCAGCAGCCTGCTTCACTCAACAAAGATGACGATCCTGGGAAAGCCTGGACAAAGTGGCAACACCATCTCAAAACCCCCCTCCTGTGTCACGTGATGCAACGCTCATTAATGAATTGTAATTCATTAGTGCACCACCACCACCCGACCTCTGCCTACTGCGAAAGGCTTGTCACCATCACACGCAGCTTGCAAAATTGTCGGCAATGGTGCAGCAGATGAGTCAGTGTGTGTGTCGGATTACGGCATGTTTTGCATCTGACACGTCAATGATTTTGTTTAACGCCTCGTGGTAGTAGAGCTTTCGCCACCGGTATCCACAAGAGAGAGGTTTTTTGGGGGTTAGATCGCGTAAAGTATAAATGTGTCTTCCAATCCGCCGCCACCCGACACAGCCAATTGGTAAGATTTGTCACGTAGACAAAACGTGCCAATTAGTTACTAGTTCAGCACACCGGTTTTTGTGTTGGAGAGTAAACCCGCCACAACATTTACAATTTGAGTACCTAATAACGTTATCCCCGGTAATTACACCGAGAACAACAACAACCACCACCAGGATCATCAGGCGACAAGCTCGAGTTGTGGAGACACCTTCCTGTAAAAGAACAAAAATAAAGAATTGAAGGATAACCGAGGCCTTCATTCCACACCCCAAGTCCCCGGCCTTGCCGGGTCTGCCTCATCCTCATCTGCCTACCTAACCCCCTATTTTTGTGCCAAAAGTTTAACTATAAAAAAAACAGTGCTCTTTGTAGCTATTTTTTTTGTGTGTGGCAGAAGCGACCTGGCTGTCGCAAACGATAGCTCAACGAAGTGGCCTTTCATCGTTTGTGGGGATTTATAGTAGATGCCAAATCATTCTCGAGACACTTACGTTGATTCTAAATTGTGGAAGGTAAAATAAAAACCCGGAGGACCACAATAAAAATGCACGAGACCACGCAGAGAGAGAGACATGCAAACTCCAAATTTACAACAGCCGTCGGCCTGGACTGAACTCACGACCTTCTGCATACCAGGTGAGGTAGATAAGATCTCGCTTCAGCCCTCCCTAAATGCCTGCCTCCCTTCCTCCACCCCTCCCATCACTCCATAAATCCTTACAATCATCCCTCTCTCCACCTATCCATCTCGCCATCCCTTCATCCCTCTATAACAGAAGGATACTGCTGGACCCAAAGAGTGTGACCAACATAGAGAGAGATGTTGCACATGGAAGAAGACGAAGTGATAATGATGCTGTTAAGGAAACCGGCGCTGTTTTGGACACACGTGTTAGGGTGGACAACAGTAAATTAAAAAGTGTGTGGTTGTGCTTGTTCGGAATATTGGAAGGAACCGGGCAGAGAGGAAGACCTCAAAGAGAATGGCTTGACAATGACGACGTCTTCAAGAGATTTGGTGCCGGGAAATATGTGGCGCACGGCTTGAGGATATCGAAATGGAATTTTTTTGCACTTTTTTGTACGCAGCATGTAGTAGCTACTACACGTGTAGTAGCTAAACATGTAGTAGCTACACATGTAGTAGCTGCACATATGTAGTAGCTACTACACGTGTAGTAGTTACTACATGTGTAGTAGCTACGGGTCCCGCACTTGCAAGGGCCCCACGCTAAATGCTTTCAAGCTATCAATTCCGGTATCAGTGATTCAGCACTTGCTCTATTACTATAGTACTATACTGCCCTCAACTTTATGAACGACTGGGTGTTTAAGGTTAGTGATTTGTCGTATTATCCGGCTGTATAGAAAATGAAAAAATACAAATACTTTACTGTGCAAGTAAAACATTTGTGTTTTAATATTTATGTTTTTTTTATTTAATTTACGGCATGTTTTATAACATACTAGCGGGAAGTACCCGGCGTTGCCCGGGCAAAAAAATATATTTCAATACTTCTCATAAAAACATAACATATACATACACAGGCGCTAAGCTATTGTTAAAGCCCCGGTGGGCCGTTTGTCCATTTCTCCACCAACAAATTTATAAGAGGCTTGCACAAGTCCAAAAAGTTATAGAAAGTGGGGTGGTAAATTGTTGACATAAAAGGTTGGCCCCGCACCAGCTTAATCCGCCCCCCCCTCATCCTCATCTGCCTACCTAACCCCCTATTTTTGTGCCAAAAGTTTAACTATTTAAAAAAAACAGTGCTCTTTGTAGCTATTTTTTTTGTGTGTGGCAGAAGCGACCTGGCTGTCGCAAACGATAGCTCAACGAAGTGGCCTTTCATCGTTTGTGGGGATTTATAGTAGATGCCAAATCATTATCGAGACACTTACGTTGATTCTAAACTGTGGAAGGTAAAATAAAAACCTGGAGGACCACAATAAAAATGCACGAGACCACGCAGAGAGAGAGACATGCAAACTCCAAATTTACAACAGCCGTCGGCCTGGACTGAACTCACGACCTTCTGCATACCAGGTGAGGTAGATAAGATCTCGCTTCAGCCCTCCCTAGATGCCTCCCTTCCTCCACCCCTCCCTCCCATCATTCCATAAATCCTTACAATCATCCCTCTCTCCACCTATCCATCTCTCCATCCCTTCATCCCTCTATAACAGAAGGATACTGCTGGACCCAAAGAGTGTGACCAACATAGAGAGAGAGAGAGATGTTGCACATGGAAGAAGACGAACTGATAATGATGCTGTTAAGGAAACCGGCACTGTTTTGGACACACGTGTTAGGGTGGACAACAGTAAATTAAAAAGTGTGTGGTTGTGCTTGTTCGGAATATTGGAAGGAATCGGGCAGAGAGGAAGACCTCACAGAGAATGGCTTGACAATGACGACGACGACGACGTCAAAAGATGTGGTGCCGGGAAATATGTGGCGCACGGCTTGAGGATATCGAAATGGAATTTTTTGGCACTTTTTTGTACGCAGCATGGACGGGCTGTGCTTTTTCTGTAGGATTGCATTGCTTACGTATGTGATGTTTAGATTTGTGTACAATGAATTTTAGGTGTATCTTGTAATGTTATTGGTTGTTGCGGTTGAACCCAAATCAAGAACCGAATGGCTCACAGGGTAAATCCGAATAAATTAAACTGAAACTGCACGACAGGGAGGAAAGTGGAACTCTCAAATGGCGAGATGTGGAGTGGACACCCACTCCGGGCTGTGTGGCCCCCAAGTGCAGGATGATCCTCGCAGCAAAAGTAGCTACACGTGTAGCAGCTACAACACGTGTAGCAGCTACTACAACACGTGTAGCAGCTACTACAACACGCGTAGCAGCTACTACACGCGTGTAGCAGCTACTACACGCGTGTAGCAGCTACTACACGCGTGTAGCAGCTACTACACGCGTGTAGCAGCTACTACACGCGTGTAGCAGCTACTACACGCGTGTAGCAGCTACTACACGCGTGTAGCAGCTACTACACGCGTGTAGCAGCTACTACACGCGTGTAGCAGCTACTACACGCGTGTAGCAGCTACTACATGTGTAGTAGCTACGGGCCCCGCACTTGCAAGGGCCCCGCGCTAAATGCTTTCAAGCTATCAATTCCGGTATCAGTGATTCTGCACTTGCTCTATTACTATAGTACTATACTGCCCTCAACTTCATGAACGACTGGGTATTTAAGGTTAGCGATTTGTCGTATTATCCGGCTGTATAGAAAATGAAAAAATACAATTACTTTATTGTGCAAGTAAAACATTTGTGTTTTAATATTGATGTTTTTTAATTTAATTTAGGGCCTGTTTTATAACATACTAGCGGGAAGTACCCGGCGTTGCCCGGGCAAAAAATATATTTCAATACTTCTCATAAAAACATAACATATACATACACAGGTACTAAGCCATTGTTAAAGCCCCGGTGGGCCGTTTGTCCATTTCTCCACCAACAAATTTATAAGAAGCTTGCACAAGTCCAAAAAGTTATAGAAAGTGGGGTGGTAAATTGTTGACATAAAAGGTTGGCCCCGCACCAGCTTAATCCGGCACGCCGTCCCCCCCCCCATCATGGACCATGATGATGATGATGGCACAATCAATGACCACCTTCTTAACACGCGCGCGCATTCCGGCAGGCCGTGAGACACAGAGAGAGAGAGAGGGAGGAGCCAGAATTGAGCAAAGTCGATTGCCCTACAGGCAGCTGACAGCGTTCCCTGAACCTCGCGTTCGCAGCCAGAGGCAAAGGCTCAGGACTGTCGGCAGGGGAGACGTTAGCGCAGTCGAGTCTGTGAAGTCTGCTGCCATCGCTACTGCTGCTACTGCTGCTATGGCTGCTCAACACTTGGAAGTCAAGACGAGTGCCGTGATCGAAGCGTTCAACAATGTGCTGGAGGAGTCGGAAAAGTTACCCGAAGACAAGAAGCTGTCGGTGGTGGACGGAATCAAGTACCCGAGGTTGCTGCAGGCGGACACCCTGAAGCTGCTGCCCGGGTTCGCGGCGCGGCCAGACGACATCCTGCTGGTCACCTATCCCAAGAGTGGTACGTGTGTGTCTGTGTGTGTGTCTCTGTGTGTGTGTCTGTGTGTGTGTATGTGGGTCTCTATGTGTGTGTGTGTCTCTATGTGTGTGTGTCTCTGTGTGTGTGTGTCTCTATGTGTGTGTGTCTGTGTGTGTGTCTGTGTGTGTGTCTCTGTGTGTGTCTGTGTGTCTTTGTGTGTGTGTCTCTATGTGTGTGTGTGTCTGTGTGGATGTCTGTGTGTGTCTCTATGTGTGTGTGTCTCTATGTGTGTGTGTCTGTGTGTGTCTCTATGTGTGTGTGTGGGTCTCTATGTGTGTGTGTGTCTGTGTGTGTCTGTGTGTCTGTGTGTGTCTCTGTGTGTGTGTCTGTGTGGATGTCTGTGTGGGTCTGTGTGGGTCTCTATGTGTGTGTGTCTCTGTGTGTGTCTGTGTGTGTCTGTGTGTGTGTGTCTCTGTGTGTGTGTCTGTGTGGATGTCTGTGTGTCTCTGTGTGTGTGTGTCTCTATGTGTGTGTCTGTGTGGATGTCTGTGTGGGTCTGTGTCTGTGTGTGTCTCTACGTGTGTGTGTCTGTGTGTGTCTCTATGTGTGTGTGTCTCTGTGTCTGTGTGTGTCTCTATGTGTGTGTGTCTGTGTGAGTCTCTATGTGTGTGTGTGTCTGTGTGTGTGTGGGTCTCTATGTGTCTCTATGTGTGTGTGTCTGTGTGTGTCTCTATGTGCGTGTGTGTCTGTGTGTGTGTGTGGGTCTCTATGTGTCTCTATGTGTGTGTGTCTGTGTGGGTCTCTATGTGTGTGTGTCTGTGTGTCTCTATGTGTGTCTGTGTGAATCTCTATGTGTGTGTGTCTCTGTGTGTGTGTCTGTGTGTGTCTCTATGTGTGTCTGTGTGTGTGTGGGGAGCGGCCTTCATAGGTGCTCGCTAACAGCACTTGCCCCTACAGTCTGTTAACGCTATACGGGGGATCTGTGCCTTGTGTGTGTCTGTGTGTGTCCTCGCGCAGAGCATTTGCCCCATCAGTCTGTTGAGGCTATACAGGGGGGTTCTTTGTCTCTGCTCTCTGTTGCTGACTTCCATAGATGCTGCTCGCTAACAACAGCACTTGCCGCAGCAGTTGTCTCGAGGCTATGCGGGGCACCTTTGTCTTTGCGACCCAGGTTGCAACTGGGTGTCGCGCCTGCTGCAAAGCATGCTGTACCTGGCTCACCCGGCCCTGGAGGAAGCCATGAAAGAAAACATTCACCTGCCCCTTCTGGAGTTCGGGCCTCCCGGAAAGATGAAGGTGATGGTGGGGTCATGGAGGGGTGGGGGAGAGATGTTAACTACCTCTCCTGGTATACAGGAGGTAGTGGGTTCTATCCCGACCCTGACGCCTGCTGCTGCTGTATATTTGGAGTTTGCGTGTCTCTCTCTCTCATCATCATCACGGTGGCTAGGAGATGTTAACTACCTCTCCTGGTGTACAGGAGGTAGTGGGTTCTATCCCGACCCTGACGCCTGCTGCTGCTGCTGCTGTATATTTGGAGTATGCGTGTCTCTCTCTCCCCGTGGTCGCGTGGATTTTTCTCCGGGTCCTCCGGGTTTTCCCTTCCGCATGTTTAGAATCGACGTCACCACGCGTTCAGAGAGTTTGGCTGCTGCTCGAAATCTCCACGCGATGACGGTGACGATCATGAGCCCACTTCGTTGAGCCTATCATTTGTGGCCAGGTCACTTGTGAAAGAGCAGCCAAGTGGGCCTTACCTGGTAACAACAAAAATTGAAGAAAAAAATAAAACTCACACACCTCTTGGTTCATGTGTGTGTTTGTGCGCGTGCGTCACGTTGTCTTTCTCTACGAACCTACAAACCTAGGTTCGATTCCAGGCCATGGCTAACATCATTGGCGAGCAGTACCTGAATTTGCCCTGTGCGTGTGCGTATAACTCTGCGGGGAACGGTGGCGCAGTGGTTAGCTCACTGCGATATGAACCCGCCGACCCGGATTCGGTTCCCTGACGAGTGATATCAGAAGCTGTCCTGGGACGTCACTGGGTAGACTCAGCCTTAAATAATTACAACGCGTGGTGTCTGAACGTGAGCGCCATGGAGACCAAAGGCTGTGGTGATGGTGAGTGGGTGGGTGAGCGAGTGGGTGAGTGAGTGTGTTGTTGTGACTAGCAGGGTGATGGTGAGTGGGTGGGTGGGTGAGCGAGTAGGTGAGTGAGTGTGTTGTTGTGACTAGCAGGGTGGTGAGTGAGTTAGCGGGTGAGTGGGTGAGCGAGTAGGTGAGTGAGTGTGTTGTTGTGACTAGCAGGGTGGTGAGTGAGTGGGTGGGTGAGCGAGTAGGTGAGTGAGTGTGTTGTTGTGACTAGCAGGGTGATGGTGAGTGGGTGGGTGAGCGAGTGGGTGAGTGAGTGTGTTGTTGTGACTAGCAGGGTGATGGTGAGTGGGTGGGTGAGCGAGTGGGTGAGTGAGTGTGTTGTTGTGACTAGCAGGGTGGTGAGTGAGTGGGTGGGTGAGTGTGTTGTTGTGACTAGCAGGGTGATGGTGAGTGGGTGAGCGAGTAGGTGAGTGAGTGTGTTGTTGTGACTAGCAGGGTTGTGATGGTGAGTGGGTGAGTGAGTGTGTTGTTGTGACTAGCAGGGTGGTGAGTGAGTGGGTGGGTGAGCGAGTGGGTGAGTGAGTGTGTTGTTGTGACTAGCAGGGTGGTGATGGTGAGTGGGTGGGTGAGCGAGTGGGTGAGTGAGTGTGTTGTTGTGACTAGCAGGGTGGTGATGGTGAGTGGGTGGGTGAGCGAGTGGGTGAGTGAGTGTGTTGTTGTGACTAGCAGGGTGGTGAGTGAGTGGGTGGGTGAGCAAGTAGGTGAGTGAGTGTGTTGTTGTGACTAGCAGGGTGGTGAGTGAGTTACCGGGTGAGTGGGTGAGCGAGTAGGTGAGTGAGTGTGTTGTTGTGACTAGCAGGGTGGTGAGTGAGTGAGTGGGTGAGCGAGTGAGTGAGTGAGTGTGTTGTTGGGACTAGCAGGGTGGTGAGTGAGTTACCGGGTGAGTGGGTGAGCGAGTAGGTGAGTGAGTGAGTGTGTTGTTGTGACTAGCAGGGTGGTGAGAGAGTGAGTGGGTGAGCGAGTGGGTGAGTGAGTGTGTTGTTGTGACTAGCAAGGTGGTGAGTGAGTTAGCGGGTGAGTGGGTGAGTGAGTGTGTTGTTGTGACTAGCAGGGTGGTGAGTGAGTGAGTGGGTGAGTGAGTGTGTTGTTGTGACTAGCAGAGTGGTGAGTGATTTAGCGGGTGAGTGGGTGAACGAGTGGGTGAGTGATTGAGTGTGTTGTTGTGACTAGAAGAGTGGTGAGTGAGTGAGTGGGTGAGCGAGTGTGTTGTTGTGACTAGCAGGGTGGTGAGTGAGTGAGTGGGTGAGTGAGTGTGTTGTTGTGACTAGCAGAGTGGTGAGTGATTTAGCGGGTGAGTGGGTGAACGAGTGGGTGAGTGATTGAGTGTGTTGTTGTGACTAGAAGAGTGGTGAGTGAGTGAGTGGGTGAGCGAGTGGGTGAGTCAGTGTGTTGTGATTAGCAGAGTGGTGAGTGAGTGAGTGGGTGAACGAGTGGGTGAGTGATTGAGTATGTTGTTGTGACTAGCAGAGTGGTGAGTGAGTGGGTGAGTTAGCGGATGAGTGGGCGAGCGAGTGGGTGAGTGTGTTGTTGTGACTAGCAGAGTGATGAGTGAGTGGGTGAGTGAGTGGGTGAGCGAGTGGGTGGGCGAGCGAGTGGGTGGGCGAGCGAGTGGGTGGGTGGGCGAGCGAGTGGGTGGGTGGGCGGGTGGTCGAGTGAGTGTGTGAGCGAGTAGGTGATTGAGTGTGTTGTTGTGACTAGCAGAGTGGTGAGTGAGTGGGTGAGTGAGTCAGTGGGCGAGTGTGTTATTGTGGCTAGCACAGTGGTATTTGCAACCACTAATTGGGGGGGGGGGGGAGAGAAACACAGCAGATAAACGAGTTTGTGTGAAGCACGCGCGTGACCACGTGCCCCCCCCCCCCCCCCCCCGCTGCGAGCAGGACCTCGACGCGGCCCCCTCTCCTCGCCTCTTCGTCACTCATCTCTCCGACCTCATCCCGAAGGGGTTCTTCGAGTGCGGCTGCAAGGTGAGGGAGGCGTGGGGGGTCGGAGGAGGCGCTCGCCAAGTGACGATCCACTCGCGGTTGGCTACGTACGGCGCGAAAGAGTTTCGACGCAAACACACGAGCACGTGGATTCTTCTTCTCCTTCTTCCTGGTCAGCGTGTCTGAGATGGTCAGCACGAACCCCTGACCCTAACCACACGTCTCCCGCACCTCCCCCTGTGACAGCTCCTCGTCAGTGAGAGGTGAGCGCGCTATTCCGACTCGCGATGAGCAGTTAGACCCTTTCGCACCGTATGTATCCGACCGTGCTCATCGGAGGTACACATGTACATACGCACACCTGTCAACCCCTTATCAGTGCCCTAGCTTATTACAGACCAATTCAGGTTCTTAGCGGTCACCCCGTGCCCCTTATAAATCTCAACGTTCATCCTACAAAGTCCCATCACAAGGGAGAAACGCAAACAAATTATACACATTTTTTTGCCCGTATTGAAACGGCTGTACGCCGCATGGACATGTACAAGAATACTGGGTAAACCATACGTCTGTCTGTCTGCCTGCCTGCCTGCTTGTCTGTCCATCTGATCCATCGGCTTGTCCGACTGCCGCCCTGCGTGGTCCAGGTGGTGCTCGTCTTCCGAGAGCCGAAGGACACAGCGGTGTCCTTCTACCACTTCTACAACAACAACCCGGGCCTGCCCTCTGTCGGCTCCTGGGACGAATTCTTCCGCATGTTCATGGAGGGAGACGGTACGTGTCCCCTGTGCGTGTGTGTGTCTCCGCGTGTCCCTGTGCGTCCCTGAGTCTCCACGCGTCCCCGTGTCGCTGTGTGTCTCTGCGTGTTCCTGTGTCTTCCTATGTGTCCCCATGTCCCCGTGTCGCTGTGTGTCTCTGCGTGTTCCTGTGTCTCCCCATGTGTCCCCGTGTCTGCGTGTTTCTGTGTGTCTCCACGCGTCCCCGTGTCGCTGTGTGTCTCTGTTTCTGCGTGTTTCTGTGTGTCTCCACGTGTCCCCGTGTCGCTGTGTGTCTCTGTGTTTCTGTGTGTCTCCACGCGTCCCCGTGTCGCTGTGTGTCTCTGTGTTTCTGTGTGTCTCCACGTGTCCCCGTGTCGCTGTGTGTCTCTGTGTTTCTGTGTGTCTCCACGTGTCTCCGTGTCGCTGTGTGTCTCTGTGTTTCTGTGTGTCTCCACGTGTCCCCGTGTCGCTGTGTGTCTCTGCGTGTTCCTGTGTCTCCCCATGTGTCTCCACGCGTCCCCGTGTCTGCGTGTTTCTGTGTGTCTCCACGTGCCCCCGTGTCGCTGTGTGTCTCCACGTGTCCCCGTGTTTCTGTGTGTCTCTGTGTTTCTGTGTGTCTCCACGCGTCCCCGTGTCGCTGTGTGTCTCTGTGTTTCTGTGTGTCTCCACGTGTCCCCGTGTCGCTGTGTGTCTCTGTGTTTCTGCGTGTCTCCACGCGTCCCCGTGTCGCTGTGTGTCTCTGTGTTTCTGTGTGTCTCTGCGTGTTCCTGTGTCGCTGTGTGTCTCTGTGTTTCTGTGTGTCTCCACGTGTCCCCGTGTCGCTGTGTGTCTCTATGTTTCTGTGTGTCTCCCCCATGTGTCCCCGTGTCGCTGTGTGTCTCTGTGTTTCTGTGTGTCTCCACGCGTCCCCGTGTCGCTGTGTGTCTCCACGCGTCCCCGTGTCGCTGTGTGTCTCCACGTGTCCCCGTGTCGCTGTGTGTCTCTGTGTTTCTGCGTGTTTCGTATTCCTTCGCCTCCCGATGCGGTCCTGATGGGTCCCTCCATGTACGCTTGTGGACCCCCTGTGTGTCCCCGTGTGTCCCCGTGTGTCCCCCCGTTTGCCCGTCGTATCTCCATATGCCCCCCATGTGCCCCCTCCCCCATGTCCCCGTGTCGCCCCTCAGTGGCTTGGGGTTCCTACTTTGACCACGTCAAGTACTGGAGCAAACGCTGGGAGGACAAGAACATCCTGACGTCAACCTACGAGGAGCTCAAGGCGGTGAGTGACCCCATGACCCCGTGACCCCCTGGAGTAATGACCCCGTGGCACGATGCTTTCGTGACGTCACAACTAAGTGGCCACGTGGGCTCGTGAACCAGTGGCAGCGTGGACTCATAAATAAAACCCAGTGCAAAATATAACGACAGAAAGAGGTCCCATGAAAATGGAGGCACAGGTGCAAGCAAGCCGTATATTTTAGTCTTAACAGTGGCATTAACGCACGCGAATCGTGATATGAACAGTCCAAACGTGAGAACAGGAGGCGTTGAGAATTAAAATTTGGCACAAGTGCAAGGCGATCTCCGTCCACCCGCTACGGCAGTGAGTGGTTCTCAACCACTCTCTCCGCCGCTCAAGACCACCGTGGGTTCGTGCCGCCGCAGTCTGTGGAGGCCACGTGGTGGCCATGTTCATCGTCCCCTTTGGTGCGTCCAGGACCTGCCGGGGGAGCTTCAGAAGATGTCCACCTTCCTGGGGCTGGGTCTGTCCCGGGAGCAGATCTCCGACGTGGCCGACAACGGCACGTTCAGCGCCATGAAGGCCAAGGCCGAGGCTGATAATCTCAAATTCGGCAAGGTGGTGTTCCGCAAAGGTGGGCGCCTGCATCCCCCGCCCCCCCCCCTTCCCGACTTCCGCGTGCAGGGTGGCACAGTGGTAACACTCACGGCGAGAATGGCCTCGCTTCGGTGGGTGACTCGGCCACCTCCTCTCACGTGCCGTTCGTAAATTCACTCTCACGTGCCGTTCGTATATTCTCTCTCACTTGATATTCGTAAATTCTCTCTCACTTGATATTCGTAAATTCTCTCTCACTTGATATTCTTATATTCTCTCTCACTTGATATTCGCATATTCTCTCTCACTTGACATTCGTAAATTCTCTCTAACTTGACGTTCGTATATTCTCTATCACTTGATATTCGTATATTCTCTCTCACTTGATATTCGCATATTCTCTCTCACTTGACATTCGTAAATTCTCTCTCACTTGACGTTCGTATATTCTCTATCACTTGATATTCGTATATTCTCTCTCACTTGATATTCGTATATTCTCTCTCACTTGACATTCGTATATTCTCTCTCATACTCTTTGGTTCTATTGGGTAAAGTCACGTAGGTGTAAAAAAATCACGACGTTTCGGCCACAACACAAGCGGCCTTCATCAGGTGAAGGGACGAGACTGTCTGGAGGACAGCGCTGGAGTGAAAAAAGCCACGTTCAGATCATGACCTTTAAGCTGTGTGAGAAGAAACAAAGCACCTTGACAAAGGAATTAGCATATAATTTAGCATTGAAATGGCTCATTGGAATAGCTAAGTTAAAGTATACACATCCGCAGAGGCACCCCTTGACAAAGGAATTAGCATAGAATTTAGCATTGAAATAGCTGAGTGATTAGCTTGTAACTGGTCACAGAAATAGCTATGTTAAAGTCAGAGCATATACATTCACCGAGGCACCTAGTACAAATCAAACAGGAGAATTTGGCGAAACATAACCACGCTCAGACCGCGGACCTTTAAACTGTGTGCGAGCAAACAAGGTGTCCTGACAAAGAAATTAGCATAAAAATTAGCATTTGATTGGCAGATTTTGGAAAAGAGGTGGTGTACGTTCCGGTGGACTTGCCGTTTGGCGCGGGGGGGGCGGGGGAGTTTACCTATTGATGGTGTGAAAAGGGAATTTATAAGAGCTGCGAAAGTTTGGGGTACCACTACTTGAAAAATATACTGTACCATTTAAATTAGTTTAATGTTTAGTTCGATTTAGAACATCTTTCCAATGGTTGCTTAATTTGAAACCATCTTCTCGGTTGAAATTGTGTCTGTGTTTGTAGATCTGAATTGCCTCATGAACAAATCTCTGATAAAAACCCGTGGGTTTGCAAAGAACCTTGGTATCGGAGAAAATTATATCGTGATCACCCACAGCGTTGTAACAGTGATCAGCCACGGCAGAAGAATTCGTTTTGCCGTGTTTCAAATCTGATTTGTGCTCGCGAATTCGGTCAGAGACATGTCGCTTTGTCTCCCCGATATAGCAATCACCGCAGGTACAACTCAATTTGTAAACCCCGGGGTACTGTAAGTCAGGAATGACATCCTTCACAGATGGGATCAGATCACGAATTTTGTGTACTGTATTGAACCGGACCTGGATCTTGTGTTTGTTTAGAATTTTGGAAATCTTTTTAGTAACGCCTGCTATATATGGTAGTGTGATGGTTTTGACCGGAGTATCAAGTGGTTGTTTCTGTATGGAGGAAGAAACAGCTTGGCGGATGGTACGGTCAAAGTAACCATTCCTTTTGAGGGCCAGGTGTACATGTTTTAATTCACTGGTCAGGTGGTGTTGGTCCGAAATGCAATGAGCCCTATGGTATAAAATTTTGATGAGAGAATTCTTTTGGGCTGGGTGGTGGTGGGAATCAGGTTTCAAGTAGGAATCTGTGTGGGTGGGTTTCCTGTAGACAGAATGCCCCAATGAGCCATCAGGTCTCCTCTCAAACAGAACATCTAAGAATGGTAGCTTGCCATCTTTCTCCACTTCCATGGTGAATTTGATGGCGGGATGTCTGGAATTGATGTGGTGTAGGAAAAGGTTCAGAGCTGGGAGGCCATGTGGCCAAATGACGAAAGTATCATCCACATATCTCTTCCACAGGGAAGGTCTGAGGGTGGAAGTCTGGATGGCGTCTGATTCAAATTTCTCCATGAAAATATTGCCTATCACTGGTGATAACGGGGATCCCATGGGGGTACCCTCATTTTGTTTGTATAAGGAGCCATTCCAAGTAAAGTAGGTATTGTTGAGGCAGTGCCTAACCAGTGCAGGTGTGTCGGGGTCTAGTCCATGTTGGACCAAATTTTCAATTATTTCAATGGTATCAGGTACTGGGACCTTGGTGAACAAAGAGACCACATCGAAGCTGACAAGGATATCATCAGGGGACAGTACAACGTCTTTGACCATAGAGACCAATTGGGCTGAGTTAAGTACTGCTGAGGCGGTCTTGCCAGTGAAAGGTAGCAAGGTATCTGACAGAAAACGGGCTAGTCTATAGGTAGGGGAGTTGATCGTGGATACGATGGGTCGTAATGGGGTGCCTTCTTTATGAATCTTGGGAAGACCATATAATCTAGCGGGTCTTGCAGCAGAAGGTTTTAGGGAGGGACGTATAGTTGGGTCGATTAGGGAGGTCGAACTTGTGATGATCTTGTTGGTTTTTATCGCTAGGCTATTGGTAGGGTCATTTTTTTATTTTTGAGTAACTTCCATCGTTGAGCAGATTCTGGATTTTGTTGTTGTATGAATCTTTATCCATAATAACAGTAGTGTTGCCTTTATCGGCTGAGAGGATGACTATATCACTTCTGTTTTTAAAATTCGCGAGTTCAGAGCGTTCATTTTTGCTGATGTTACTAATGGGTTTCTTAGCATTCTTAAGAATAGTGGCTATTTCAGCTCTCGCAACGTCTGCTTGGATGTGTCCTACGCCTTTGAGGGCTACATCGACCTGAGAGATGATATCATCTACTGGTATGTGTTTTGGGGTGACAGCTAAATTTAGTCCCCTAGCCAGTATTCTCTCTCACTTGACGTTCGTATTTTCTCTCTCACTTGACATTTGTATTTTCTCTCTCACTTGACATTTGTATTTTCTCTCTCACTTGATATTTGTAAATTCTCTCTCACTTGACATTCGTATATTCTCTCTCACTTGCCGTTCGTAAATTCTCTCTCACTTGATATTCGTAAATTCTCTCTCACTTGATATTCATGTTTTCTCTCTCTCCGCGCTCTGCATGGGTTCGCTTCTGGGTTCCCCAGCTCTCTTACGTCGCTTAAAAATGCACGATGTAATTTTTGTTGTTGTGATGGGGCGAACATCGCAATGCAGGAAAAAAAAAATCTTCCCAGGTAAATCTTCTCGTAACGTTTTTACCCACCCCTTCTGCACATCTGTGAATGGGAGCCTTATAACTCATTGGATTCCTCCAGTATAGATAAATGGCTGCGGTGTGTGACTCACAATGGCCGCGTCATGTGACTCACAATGGCCACGGTGTGTGTCTCACAATGGCCGCGGTGTGTGACTCACAATGGCCGCGTCATGTGACTCACAATGGCCGCGTCATGTGACTCACGATGGCCACGGCGTGTGACTCACAATGGCCGCGTCATGTGACTCACAATGGCTGCGTCATGTGACTCACAATGGCTGCGGCGTGCGGCTCACAATGGCCGCGTCGTGTGACTCACAATGGCCGCGTCATGTGACTCACAATGGCCGCGGTGTGTGACTCACAATGGCCGCGTCATGTGACTCACAATGGCCGTGTCATGTGACTCACAATGGCCGTGTCATGTGACTCACAATGGCCACGGCGTGTGACTCACAATGGCCGCGGTGTGTAACTCACAATGCCCGCGTCATGTGACTCACAATGGCTGCGTCATGTGACTCACAATGGCCACGGCGTGTGACTCACAATGGCCGCGGTGTGTAACTCACAATGCCCGCGTCATGTGACTCACAATGTCTGCGTCGTGTGACTCACAATGTCTGCGTCGTGTGACTCACAATGGCCGTGTCATGTGACTCACAATGTCTGCGTCGTGTGACTCACAATGGCCGTGGTGTGTGACTCACAATGGCCGTGTCATGCGACTCACAATGGCCGCGTCATGTGACTCACAATGCCAGCGTCATGTGACTTACAATGGCCGTGTCGTGTGACTCACAATGGCCGCGTCGTGTGACTCACAATGGCCGCATCATGTGACTCACAATGGCCGCGTCATGTGACTCACAATGGCTGCGTCATGTGACTCACAATGGCCGCGTCGTGTGACTCATAATGGCCGCGTCATGTGACTCACAATGGCCGCGTCATGCGGCTCACAATGGCCGTGGCGTGTGACTCACAATGGCCGCGTCATGTGACTCACAATGTCTGCGTCGTGTGACTCACAATGGCCGTGTCATGTGACTCACAATGTCTGCGTCGTGTGACTCACAATGGCCGTGGTGTGTGACTCACAATGGCCGTGTCATGCGACTCACAATGGCCGCGTCGTGTGACTCACAATGGCCGTGTTGTGTGACTCACAATGGCCGCGTCATGTGACTCACAATGGCCGCGTCATGTGACTCACAATGGCCGCGTCATGTGACTCACAATGCCCGCGTCATGTGACTCACAATGGCCACGTCGTGTCTGGCACGCAGGGGAGGTGGGCGATTGGAATAATCATTTCAGCGAGGAGCAGCGCGTGGAGCTGGAAGCAAAGTATGTGGAGACCCTCGTGGGTACGTCGCTGGCTACTCGACTCAACTACTAGACAACTACCAGGTGAGAGGTCTCAATTACTAAACAAGAGAGGTCTCAACTACCAGAAAAGAGGACTGAACTACCAGATAAGAGGACTCAACTACCAGATAAGAAGACTGAACTACCAGATAAGAGGACTCAACTACCAGATAAGAGGACTGAACTACCAGATAAGAGAGGACTCAATTGCCGGACAAAGAGGATACATGGGGACACAAGGAGACATGGGCTGACACGGGGAGACACGGAGACACACACAGAGAGAGACATGGAGACACACACAGGGAGAGACATGGAGACACACACAGGGAGAGACATGGAGACACACAGGGGGAGAGACATGGAGACACACACAGAGAGAGACATGGAGACACACACAGGGAGAGACATGGAGACACACACAGGGAGAGACATGGAGACACACAGGGAGAGACATGGAGACACACAGGGAGAGACATGGAGACACACACAGGGAGAGACATGGACACACACACAGGGAGAGACATGGAGACACACAGGGAGAGACATGGAGACACACAGGGAGAGACATGGAGACACACACAGGGAGAGACATGGAGACACACAGGGATAGACATGGAGACACACACAGGGAGAGACACGGAGAGACACACAGGGAGAGACATGGAGACACACACAGGGAGAGACATGGAGACACACAGGGGGAGAGACATGGAGACACACAGGGAGAGACATGGAGACACACACAGGGAGAGACATGGAGACACACACAGGGAGAGACATGGAGACACACACAGGGAGAGAGACATGGAGAGACACACAGGGAGAGACATGGAGACACACAGGGGGAGAGACATGGAGACACACACAGGGAGAGACATGGAGACACACACAGAGAGAGACATGGAGACACACACAGGGAGAGACATGGAGACACACACAGGGAGAGACATGGAGACACACACAGGGAGAGACATGGAGACACACAGGGGGAGAGACATGGAGACACACAGGGAGAGACATGGAGACACACACAGGGGGAGACATGGAGACACACAGGGGGAGAGACATGGAGACACACAGAGAGAGACATGGAGACACACAGGGGGAGAGACATGGAGACACACACAGGGGGAGACATGGAGACACACAGGGGGAGAGACATGGAGACACACAGAGAGAGACATGGAGACACACAGGGGGAGAGACATGGAGACACACACAGGGAGAGACATGGAGACACACACAGGGAGAGACATGGAGACACACACAGGGGGAGACATGGAGACACACACAGGGGGAGAGACATGGAGACACACACAGGGAGAGACATGGAGAGACTCACAGGGAGAGACATGGAGACACACAGGGGGAGACATGGAGAGACACACAGGGAGAGACATGGAGACACACACAGGGGGAGAGACATGGAGACACACAGGGGGAGAGACATGGAGACACACACAGGGGGAGAGACATGGAGAGACACACAGGGAGAGACATGGAGACACACACAGGGAGAGGCATGGAGACACACACAGGGAGAGACATGGAGACACACACAGGGGGAGAGACATGGAGACACACACAGGGAGAGACATGGAGACACACACAGGGAGAGACATGGAGACACACAGGGAGAGACATGGAGACACACAGGGAGAGACATGGAGACACACACAGGGAGAGACATGGAGACACACAGGGGGAGAGACATGGAGACACACAGGGGGAGAGACATGGAGACACACACAGGGGGAGAGACATGGAGACACACACAGGGAGAGACACGGAGACACACACAGGGAGAGACATGGAGACACACAGGGGGAGAGACATGGAGACACACAGGGGGAGAGACATGGAGACACACAGGGGGAGAGACATGGAGACACACACAGGGAGAGACACGGAGACACACACAGGGAGAGACATGGAGACACACAGGGAGAGACATGGAGACACACACAGGGAGAGACATGGAGACACACACAGGGGGAGAGACATGGAGACACACACAGGGAGAGACACGGAGACACACACAGGGAGAGACATGGAGACACACACAGGGAGAGACATGGAGAGACTCACAGGGAGAGACATGGAGACACACAGGGGGAGACATGGAGAGACACACAGGGAGAGACATGGAGAGACACACAGGGGGAGAGACATGGAGACACACAGGGGGAGAGACATGGAGACACACAGGGGGAGAGACATGGAGACACACACAGGGGGAGAGACATGGAGAGACACTTGGAAACACTTCTTGCTGAGCAGCGACCCCGTGATGATGTCCAGTGGTTGCGTGTGGCCGCTGTAAACTCCGGATTGGAGTTCTCCTCGTGGCACAGAGCACGGAGCGAGCAGAGAGGCAGGCGTCGACTTGTTGTGTTACTACCCGACAGCAGCTCCCCTCCGTGCATTCCTGGGTGTCTGCTCCGGGTGTTAGTGTATCGCCCGCTTCCCCAAGGTCAGGTCACGAATCGGTCTACGTTGGGGCCATCGCAGGGAACATTACACGTGTGTGTATCTGTGTGTGCGTCTGTGTGTGTCTGTGTGTGTGTCTGTGTGTGTGTGTCTTTGTGTGTGTGTGTGTGTCTTTGTGTGTGTGTGTCTGTGTGTGTGTGTGCGTGTGTGTGTCTGTGTGTGTGTCTGTGTGTGTGTCTGTGTGTGTCTGTGTGTGTGCGTGTGTGCGTGTGTGTCTGTGCGTGTGTGTGTGTGTGCGTGTCTGTGTGTGGCTGTGTGTGTCTGTGCGTGTGTGTGTCTGTGTGTGTGTCTGTGTGTGTGCGTGTGCGTGTGTGTGTGCCTGTGCGTGTGTCTGTGCGTGCGTGTGTGTGTGCGTGTCTGTGTGTGTGTGCGTGTGTGTCTGTGTGTGTGTGTCTGTGTGTGTGTATGTCTGTGTGTGTGTGCGTGTGTGGTCCATGTAGCCCGCATGCCCAGCCACCGCATGCCGAAACAGCTTTTGTTTGGCCGGATCGAGGGGGCTAAACGGGCGCGGCACGGGCTAGAGAAGAGATGGAGTGATGTGGTACAGGAGGACGTGGAGTTGAGTGGACTTGCCGATGACTGGTACCAGCGGTGTCAAGATCGGCCTCTGTGGAGAAGGCTCGTGAAGGACGCTACTGGGCAGTTGGAGGCAGTCGCCCTCCAACAACAACGGAGGGTGGAGGAGCGACGCTCACAACAACGAGCGGAGCGCCGGGTGGATAAAGCACAGCAGGTTGGCACAGTAGGGGGCACAGGTGGTGCATCAGCCAGTGATCTCAGTCAGTCGACCCGTGGCACCTGGGTCTGCCCCGTGACCTCCTGCCAGCGGGCGTTCGACACTTCACGTGGCCTCAAGGTGCACATGGCCTAGCACAAGCGTCGTGGTGACGTCACCGCCACTTAGTGGCGAATGGCGGTTGTTGTTGTGTGTTAGCGGGGGGGGGGGCAGTGGCGCAGTGGTTAGCGCCACGCTGCGCTATGGACCCAGCGACCCGAGTTCGATTCCCGCTCACGGCCAACACCGGTGACGTTGATCTGAACCGCTCCTGGGCATCCCTCTAGGTCGACTCAGCCTCAAACGAGAACCCGGTGCGGTGTGAAGTGAACATCGCCACTGGGGAGACAAAGGCGGCCGTGCACGGTGCTGGCCACCCCACCCCCCTTTCACTCGCTAACAGCACTTGGCCCAACAATCTGTTGAGGTTATACGGGGAGTCTTTGTCTTTATATGTTGATCGTTGGGGCGGGCGGCCTTATCGGACGTAATCGAACCAAAGTTCTGCCTGGGCGATGACTCGACCCGCGAGCGTGTGGCAAGTGTGTGGCAACACACAAAGGCAAAAGATATCCGTGTAGCCTTGAGCGGACCGTTGGGGCAAGTGCTGTTCTTCGCGAGTGACCTAATCGGGGCGTGGGTGGCTGGGTGGACAACGCCACGCCCGGCCGCCTTTGTCTCCCCAGTGGCGATGTTTGCACACCACACCAGGTACTCGTTTGAGGCCAATTCGACCTAGGGGAGACCCAGATAATTGTCTCTGGTGTTGGCCGTGTGTATGGGAACACAGACAACACACACACATACACAACACACACACATGCATACACAACACACACACAACACACACACACACACGCGCGCGTGTGTGTGTTGTGTGTGTGTGTATTGCGTAAAACTTCAGCTACAACTCAATTGCCACATTTCAACACAGGATTGCATAATCACAGGGCAGATGTCACGACTGCCCGAGTGCCGTTGAAGACCACAGCTCGATAGCAAGGATGAGAGTCCACACCTGTCAACCTCTTATTACTATACACTATACACTACACTATACACTACTATACATTACACTATACACTACACTATACACTACACTATACACTACTATACACTACTATATACTACACTATACACTACTATACACTACACTATACACTACACTATACACTACACTATACACTACACTATACACTACACTATACACTACTATACACTACACTATACACTACACTATACACTACTATACATTACACAATACACTACACTACACTATACACTACTATACACTACACTATACACTACACTATACACTACACTATACACTACTATACACTACACTATACACTACACTATACACTACACTATACACTACTATACACTACACTATACACTACTATACACTACACTATACACTACACTATGCACTACTATACACTACACTATACACTACACTATACACTACTATACACTACACTATACACTACACTATACACTACACTATACACTACTATACACTACACTATACACTACACTATACACTACTATACACTACACTATACACTACACTATACACAACACTATACACTACTATACACTACACTACACACTACACTATACACTACACTATACACTACACTATACACTACACCAGGGGTCGGGAACCTTTTTGACTAAGAGAGCCATGAAAGCAAAAAATTTGGAAATTTATTTCAGTGAGAGCCATATAATATATTTTAAAAGTGAATTCAACTAAATGTCAGTATAATAAGCCTCTGAATTTATTCTTTTAAATAATGTTGTTATAACACTCACCATTAATGCGACTTCTGGTGCTGCATGGATTTGCTGATGTCTTTGTAGTCGGGTTGGTACTTTGTAGTAGGGTTGGTACTTGGTGAGGTTAAGCTTCATGCAAGCGTTGAGGCTTTCATCCGTTAAACGTGATCGTAGGTTGGACTTGATGTTTTTAAGATGTGAGAATGACTGCTCACATGCATACGTAGATCCAAACATGGTCAATACAGCAATACTCACACGCTGCGGTGTGTGGTATGTGACAGGAAGCGCGTTCCAAGTTTTGAGAATCAGCTGGTCTTCGGGTTGGAGTTTTTTCATTTCTGTCCACATGTGCTTGCTCGCCAACTCCGCTTTCTGTCGTGTGATTCTTTCCAAATCTTCATTCAGTGACTTGAACTTATTCACCCACATGTCTGAGGCCTTCAGGTCAGCCACTTCTGCTTCAAAATCTCTGACGGAGACACCAGGGATGTAATTCAGGTCGGCTGTGTTCAGTGAACACTCGTTTGGATGGGTGATGAACTTAAAAATACGAGTGTGCTCACGAAATTCTCCAAAGCGTGCTTTGAAGGACTGTAGGAGACTGGATGTGCAGCCAGCTAGCTGGTGGAGATCAAGGTTTTGAATGGGCTCACTTGCTGTGCATGCATCTTTAAATTGGCTCAGTTTTTCAAAATGTAGTAAACGACCTGTTTCAAGATCCGTGATGAAAAGCTCCAGCTTGTTTTCAAAAGCAAATACAGCTTGTTGAAGGGATAACACTGTATTTCCAATGCCTTGCATTTTCACGTTGAGCTGGTTCAGATGTTCAGTCAGATCTACGAGATAGTAAAACTTGAGGAGCCACTCGGTGTCGGCTAGCTCAGGATGCCCGACGCCTTTCATTTCAAGGAAAGTCCGGATTTCGTTCAGGCAAGCCGCAAAACGGCTAAGCACCTTCCCTCTTGACAACCAACGCACATTGCTGTGCAAAAGCAGACCAGGATAGTTATTTACAACTTCATCCAGCAGTGTTTTAAACTGGCGATCATTTAAGGCTCGGGCAACAATAAAGTTGATCACACGAATGACCAGCGACATCACTTCGCCAAACTGCCTGTCACACATCTGAGCACAAAGTGCCTCCTGGTGTATAATGCAATGGAAACTTAGGATGGGTCTATTTTCATGTTCACGGAGAAGCGCCACAAATCCTTTGTTTTTCCCCACCATACACGGAGCACCATCAGTACACACTGAGAGAAGTTTATCCATAGGTAGACTTTTTTCTTGAGCAAACTCCATGAAAGACTTGAATAAATCCTCACCTCTTGTGGACCATTTTAATGGCAGAACAGCAAGACTTTCTTCGCGCAGTGTGTCACCAACAGCATATCTTGCAATCACGCTGAACTGCGACAAATGGCTCACGTCTGTTGACTCATCCAAAGCCAGAGAAAAGAACGGCGCTGCATTTATGTCCTTCACTTGCGTTTCCTCCACTTTGTTTGCCATCACGATGGTACGATCATGAACAGTTCTTGCCGACAGAGGCATGTCTTGTATCCGTTTGATTATCTTGTCTTTGTTCGGAAGATCATCAAAAAGTTAATTGGCTACATCCAGCATGAACGTTTTAGCATACTCGCCATCTGTGAATGGTTTTCCGTTCCTCACTATTGCTAAAGAACCAGCAAAGCTAGCCGAATTATAGTCACCTTGCCGGGTCCATACGCGGAGTTGCTGCTGGCTAGCTTGCACCCTGCTCAGAAGCTCTTGGCACGCTTTCTTTCTGCTGTCTCCCGCAGGGTATTTTGATGCAAAGGTAGCGTGGCGCGTGTCGAAGTGCCGCTTTACATTCGACCGTTTCAACGATGTAATTTTGTCATTGCAAATTAGACACACCGCAGAACCCGCTCTCTCCACAAAGGCGAATTCTTCGGTCCATTCGTCCTGAAATGTATGATACTCGTCGTCTTTTTTTCTTTTCGCCATCTTCTTCGTCGAAGGGTTAGCTTTGAGCTAATGACCGAGCAGACGCAGTCTCAGACTGATTCAAAAGGGGGCGTTTACCTGTTTTACCCAGCAACGGCAAACGTAGGCCAGTATCATCCAATTAAAATAATGGACAATTGCTCCTGCAGCCCTGAACAGGACATGCGCAGTGAAAAATCGATGGATGGATTAAAACAAGTGAGAATATTTTGTTTTATCTGCGAGCCATATGCAATCATCAAAAGAGCCACATCTGGCTCGCGAGCCATAGGTTCCCGACCCCTGCACTACACTATACACTACTATACAATACACTATACACTACTATACACTACACTATACACTACTATACACTACCATACACTACAATATACACTACTATACACTACACTATACACTACACTATACACTACTATACACTACACTATACACTACTATACACTATACACGACACTATACACTACACCATACACTATACACTACACTATACACTACTATACACTACTATACACTATACACGACACTATACACTACACTATACACTACACTATACACTACTATACACTACACTATACACTACTATACACTACACTTACAAACCTGTCAACCCCTTATCAGTGCCTTACCTTATTAATTGTTTTGCCCCTAATGAAACGGATGTACGCCGTGTGGAGCTGAACACTCAATTCCCCTGTACAAGAAGAACACGGAGTTGAAACCGTGCGTGAGAGTCTCATTCGCCATTGTGACGGATGATGAGGCTCTCATACCGACATTGGCAAAAGTAAAAAAACAGAACAGAACGGGAAGGGCAAGGGAGCGAACAGCAATCTCCGCCCCCCCCCCCCCTCCCAAACTACAACTGCGTGGGCCACGTGACAAATCGAACACCTTACACGGACATAATGCGACGTGGAGTCACGCGGTTGCTTCGACCTGTTGCTGGCGTTGTTGCTCGTCCAGGGGGTCCCCAACCTGCGGGTCACGGAGGTCGCTTGCGGTGACTCTTTGGTTCCCCCACCCCCACTAGAGGACGACCGAAATTCGGTTTCGGTTTCGGCGCCGAAAGTTGGCAAATGGCCTCTTTCGGCATCGTTTCGGTCGGCCTCCAACCCCCACCCCACCACCCTTTGAGGGCAGCCGTTTAAAAAAAAAACTTTAATCTTAAAACGTAATTTCACGTAAAGATAATTGATGAAATGTGGTGGGGAATGGGCTCACTGTGGATTGTCTCGCTAGTGACAACAACATTGTACAACCGTCGCAAACTCTCTTAAGCGGGGACAAGACTAAATAAAGAGACGCAAGTATATTCCATCACCTATTTCGTTTAAATAAGTCAGAACGTGTGTTGTTGTTGTCATCTGATGTATACCCGCTGTTGTGTTTGTGCAGCTCCACGTGCGATAGGACTCTCGAACTATTTGGGTCAAAGATGAAAACACTCACGACAAATGGCCCTGCTGCTTCTTCTTCAACCTTCGGCGACTCCTGTGCTGGTCGGATGGGATGGTCCACTCGGATGGGATAGTCCACTCGGATGGGATAGTCCACTCGGATGGGATGGTCTACTCGGATGGGATAGTCCACTCGGATGGGATAGTCCACTCAGATGGGATGGTCCACTCGGATGGGATAGTCCACTCGGATGGGATAGTCCACTCGGATGGGATGGTCCACTCGGATGGGATAGTCCACTCGGATGGGATAGTCCACGTGGATGGGATAGTCCACTCAGATGGGATGGTCCACTCGCTCTGATGGGATAGTCCACTCAGATGGGATAGTCCACTCACTCAGATGGGATGGTCCACTCAGATGGGATGGTCCACTCGCTCGGATGGGATAGTCCACTCAGATGGGATAGTCCACTCACTCGGATGGGATGGTCCACTCAGATGGGATGGTCCACTCAGATGGGATGATCCACTCAGATGGGATAGTCCACTCACTCGGATGGGATGGTCCACTCGGATGGGATAGTCCACTCAGATGGGATGGTCCACTCAGATGGGATAGTCCACTCACTCAGATGAGATGGTCCACTCAGATGGGATGGTCCACTCAGATGGGATGGTCCACTCAGATGGGATGGTCCACTCACTCGGATGGGATGGTCCACTCGGATGGGATAGTCCACTCAGATGGGATGGTCCACTCAGAAGGGATAGTCCACTCACTCAGATGAGATGGTCCACTCAGATGGGATGGTCCACTCAGATGGGATGGTCCACTCAGATGGGATAGTCCACTCAGATGGGATGGTCCACTCAGATGGGATGGTCCACTCAGATGGGATAGTCTACTCAGATGGGATAGTACACTCAGATGGGATGGTCGACTCAGATGGGATAGTCCACACACTCAGATGGGATAGTCCACTCAGATGGGATGGTCTACTCAGATGGGATAGTCCACTCAGATTGGATGGTCCACTCAGATGGGATGGTCCACTCAGATGGGATAGTCCACTCAGATGAGATGGTCCACTCACTCAGATGGGATAGTCCACTCAGATGGGATAGTCCACTAAGATGGGATGGTCCACTCAGATGGGATAGTCCACTCAGATGGGATAGTCCACTCAGATGGAATGGTCCACTCACTCATATGGGATGGTCCACTCCCAGCCTGATCGTAGCACGATAACAAAGTCAAGTGCAAGTCGGTCGGCACTCCCAAACGAGATTTATTCACCTCTAGGGATATTTCAATGTGAGATATTTAATAAAAACTACGATTAAATATTCGAATTAAATCCCGAGTACCGTGCGTGCATTTGGTGTGCAGAGAGAGCGTGAGGAGAGAGCGTGGGGAGAGATAGTGGGGAGAGAGCGTGATGAGTGTGGGGAGAGAGCGTGGGGAGAGAGCATGGGGAGTGTGGGCAGAGTGCGTGGCGAGTGTGGGGAGAGAGCGTGGTGAGAGAGCGTGGGGAGAGAGCATGGGGAGTGTGGGCAGAGTGCGTGGCGAGTGTGGAGAGAAGGAGTGGGGAGAGAAAGTGGTGAGAGAGCGTGGGGAGAGAGAGTGGGGAGTGTGGGCAGAGTGCGTGGGGAGCGTGGGGAGAGAAAGTGGTGAAAGAGCGTGGGGAGAGAGCGTGGGGAGAGAGTGTGGGGAGTGTGTGCAGAGTGCGTGGCGAGTGTGGGGAGAGAGCGTGGGGAGAGAGCGTGATGAGTGTGGGGAGAGAGCGTGGGGGGCATGGGGAGAGATAGTGGGGAGTGTGGGCAGAGTGCGTGGCGAGTGTGGGGAGGAGTGGGGAGAGAGCGTGGGGAGATAAAGTGGTGAGAGAGCGTGGGGAGAGAGAGTGGGGAGTGTGGGCAGAGTGCGTGGCGAGTGTGGGGAGAGAGCGTGGGGAGAGATAGTGTTGAGAGAGCGTGGGGAGAGAGCGTGGGAGATAGTGGGGTTCAAAGGCCCTGCCACGGACAAGTTATTTGACTATCAATCGCGTGAAATTTCCATAATCGCCATGACCTAAGGATATCACTGCAGCTCATTGTGCCCCGCGTATCCCGGCTCACGAACTCCGCGGCCACGAGACTCCGTGAAGAGCCAGAAGCGAAAATCCGGACCCAAAGCGGCCGGGCACGGAGCTGAGTCGCAACAGGGGAGGAGGAGCAGAGATACCTAACCTAGCACTCTCCCCCTAACCCACCAGCTAACCAGACACTCGCACTACCCCTCACTCACCAGCTAACCAGACACTATGGGAGGGGGGAGCGGTGGTGCTGTGGTTGTGCATCATTGTGTTTGGACCCGCGCTTTGCGCGTGAACCCGGCCACGGCTCACATCAGTGGCGATCGTGCGGGGCTCTCCCCCCACCCCCCGCCACGGACAAACCCCCTCCCATCTCTCCCGACCCACAGCGGGCGTCGTGGTGAAGTATCGTCAAGCGTATGGCAGGGCATTGACCGACACGCCGCTAAGGATGAAGGTGAAAAGGAGACGCAGGGGCCGGACGTGCGGTCATTACGCTGACGGCTTAAGTTGAGGAATCGTTGCCAGCGTGGGGTCACGTGGAGTCGCGTGCGAGGGGGAGGTCACGTGAAGTCGCGTGCGAGGGGGAGGTCACGTGGGAAGGGGAGGTCACGTGGAGGCGCGTGCGAGGGGGAGGTCACGTGGGAAGAGGAGGTCACGTGGAGTCGCGTGCGAGGGGGAGGTCACGTGGGAAGAGGTGGTCACGTGGAGTCGCGTGCGAGGGGGAGGTCACGTGGGAAGGGGAGGTCACGTGGAGTCGCGTGCGAGGGGGAGGTCACGTGGGAAGGGGAGGTCACGTGGAGTCGCGTGCGAGGGGGAGGTCACGTGGGAAGGGGAGGTCACGGGGAGTCGCGTGCGAGGGGGAGGTCACGTGGGAAGGGGAGGTCACGTGGAGTCGCGTGCGAGGGGGAGGTCACGTGCGAGGGGGAGGTCACGTGGAGTCGCGTGCGAGGGGGAGGTCACGTGGAGTCGCGTGCGAGGGGGAGGTCACGTGGGAAGAGGAGGTCACGTGGAGTCGCGTGCGAGGGGGAGGTCACGTGGGAAGGGGAGGTCACGTGGAGTCGCGTGCGAGGGGGAGGTCACGTGGGAAGGGGAGGTCACGTGGAATCGCGTGCGAAGGGGATGTCACGTGGAGTTGCGTGCGAAGGGGAGGTCACGTGGAGTCGCGTGCGAGGGACAGGTCACGTGGAGTCGCGTGCGAGGGGAGGTCACGTGGAGTCGCGTGCGAGGGACAGGTCGCGTGGAGTCGCGTGCGAGGGGGAGGTCACGTGGAGTCGCGTGCGAGGGGGAGGTCACGTGGGAAGGGGAGGTCACGTGGAGTCGCGTGCGAAGGGGAGGTCACGTGGAGTCGCGTGCGAAGGGGTCGCGTGCGAAGGGGAGGTCACGTGGAGTCGCGTGCGAGGGGGAGGTCACGTGCGAGGGGGAGGTCGCGTGGCGTCGCGTGCGAGGGGGAGGTCGCTTGGAGTCGCGTGCGAGGGGGAGGTCGCGTGGAGTCGCGTGCGAATGGGTCGCGTGCGAGCGACCTAGACGCATAGACACGCACACACTGTACAAACACTACACACACCACACACACTGTACACACATACTCACATTACACACACACACCACACACAATACACACACACTACACACACACCACACACACACAATACACACACACACCACACACACACTACACACACCACACACACACTACACACACAATACACACACACTACACACACCACACACACACTACACACACACTACACACACCACACACACACTACACACACACACACAATACACACACACACTACACACACCACACACACTACACACACAATATACACACCACACACACGACACACACCACATACACACACACTACACACACACTCACACACAATACACACACACACAATACACACACAATACACACACACTACACACACCACACACACTACACACGACACACACCACATACACACTACACACAATATACACACCACACACACAATACACACACACCACACACGACACACCACATACACACCACACACACGACACACACCACATACACACACACTACACACACACTCACACACAATACACACACACTACACACAATATACACACACTACACACACACACAATACACACACACACACCACACACGACACACATCACATACACACCATATACACACACACTACACACACACTCACACACAATACACACAATACACACACACAATACACACACACTACACACACCACACACACTACACACACACTACACACACACAATACACACACACTATACACACCACACACACTACACACACAATACACACACACACCACATACACGACACACACCACATACACACACTACACACGACACACACCACATACACACACTACACACGACACACACCACATACACACTACACACACACTACACTCCACACACTACACTCCACAGTCTCCCCCTATCGCCTTAGACTTGGCGAAAGTGCCTTCGTATGTAGCACCTATAAAGGCCGGCACGGCACACCACGCCCGGCCGCCTTTGTCTCCCCAGTTGCGATGGTTACACACCGCACCAGGTACTCGTTTTAGGCTGAATAGACCTAGGCGACGCCCAGGACCGGTTCAGATATTCGCTTTCACTGGGTGTTGGTGGCCGTGAGTGGGAATCGAACTCGGGTCGCCGGATTCGGAGCGCAGCGTTACCCGCTACACTACCAAAGACAAAGATCCCCCGTGTAGCCTTAACAGACTGTTGGGGCAAGTGCTGTTAGCGAGCACCTATGAATGCCGGCACGGCACACGAGGGGGTGGGTGGCCAGCACCACGCCCGGCCGCCTTTGTCTCCCCAGTGGCGATATTTACAGACCGCACAGGGTAATCATTTGAGGCTGAGTCAACCTAGGGGAGGCCCAGGACCGGTTCAGATAATCGTCACTGGTGGTGTTGGCCGTGAGCGTGAATCGAACGCGGGTCGCCGGGTTCTTAGCGCAGCGTAGTGCTATACCCCCCACCCCTACACTCACACAAACCACCCACATGTCCGCCCAGCCCCTACAAACATCACTCCCCCCACGCATAATTGCTCACATCCCTTACGACCGAAGCCTCACTCTGTTATCTGTGCGAGTTGGATGACTTGCTGCCCGTCTCCCTCTTCACTCGACTAGAGTGCATTGTGATCACACACGCGGCAACGATCACACGTAGCAACTTTACATGACACGTGCGTTCTCCATAGGTTAGTTACATACATATCACACACACACACGGTCAGACCGAAATACACGCGCACACCACACACACACAGTGCCCCAGGCATAAAGAGACACAGAGAGTCACACACAGACACAAACACAGAGAGCCACAGACTCACACACAAACAGACCACCACTCACACAGTCACACACACAGAGAAATCACCGCTCACACACAAGTCACACACACGCGGCGACATGAATAAATCCACCACGGAGCAGCTGAACGAGTTCATGGCCGAGGTGGCCAAGATCCCAAGAGAGGAGCGACTCGTGGTCATGGACGGCCTCAAGGTGCCACGTGCCTTGGTGCACGCGGACACCCTGAGAAGGCTGCCCGATTTCCAGGCTCGACCCGACGACATCTTGCTGCTCAGCTACCCCAAGTGTGGTGAGCCTCACGAGACATCCGCACAACCCTCACAGGGTGGTGGTGGTGGTTGTGGGTAAGACAAAGGCGGCCGTGCGGGGTGATGGACAAATGCCATGTCGCAGTTTGTCGAGACGGCAGGAGGTGTGGGAGGGTTTTTGTTTGGTTTGTTTTTTTCGTCGCATTTTAAAAAATTATTATTTTGAACCTGGTAAGATAAAAAAAATGTATAAATTGTTAAATTTGATTTGTGTATATTTTTTGTAAGTCATTTGATTACCTTTCATATACTGCTCTCGTGTTTTTGGGTACTGTTTGTTGTTGTGACGTTCTGACCCAGTGCCCCCAACTGGTCTTTTGTGACAAAGAGCTTTATAGCTCATCGGATTCCTCTTCCAGTATAAATACAACGTACTCTTTGGTTCTTTCGGTAAAGTCACGTGGGTAGAAAAATAAAATAAATCACGACGTTTCGGTCGCAACACAAGCGGTCGTCCTCAGGCAGAAAAATAATCCAGCCGTTCCAACAGCTGAACCAGGAAGAAACAGCAGTTGACAGCTGTTTTTTCCTGGCTCAGCAATTCCAACAGCTGAACCAGGAAGAAACAGCAGTGGAACAGTTGTTTCTTCCTGGCGAAGCAGTTCCAACAGCTGAACCAGGAAGAAACAGCAGTGGAACAGCTGTTTCTTCCTGGCTCAGCAGTTCCAACAGCTTCCTGGTTCAGCTGTTCCACTGCTGGATATTTTTTTCTGCCTGAGGACGACCGCTTGTGTTGCGACCGAAACGTCGTGATTTATTTTATTTTTCTACCCACGTGACTTTACCGAAAGAACCAAAGAGTTTGGACTCGTGCAGTCACGAAAGCTTCAAATCAAGATTAATAATATCAACGTGTTTCAGCAAACGGATAGTCCACCGTCGGACTATCTAGCTCATTTAAAGGCCTAATGTAGACAAATTATTATCGAGGCTTCACCCCCCTCCCCCCCCTCCCGTTTCCTATACGTACACACATTGTCAGTAGACCCCCCATACACAAGCGTACGCATTTGGGTTAACCCCCCCCTTCCCCTCTCTATGCGTAGGTACTAAATGGATGGCCCCTAACAGCACTGCGCCTCTCGAGTCCGTCCAGACTCTTGGGGGGCGTCACGGGCCCCTCCCTTGCCAGCAGAGAAAATATGAGAATAGGTTTTTACCCTCATGGCATGCTTTTGTTTGTTTTGTTTTTCATGTTCACCACAAAGTAAGTGTGGCTAAGGCAGACACGATTCCTTGCAACAGGCTTCAGCTTGGTGTTTTAACATCTGAACACAATTGTTTTATTTGCCAGAAAGGGTCAAACCCATTCTTGTATTTTGACACTGGCAAGAGGGAGGTCCCGTGATGTGGCTGCTGGACCCCGAGTTCTCAATGTCCTGATAGTGGCATTGTCTTTGTGCTGGTCGCCTTGTGGCGTCGTCCTCTGGTCTCGCGCTGTTAGTGAGACTTGGCTCTAAAGAGAGCCGTCTCTGGTGTGGACCAATCGGTTTCAAGGACAAAGCGTCATCATATACTACCAGGGCATGGATTGTTTTTGTCTGCATGTTCACCACAAGTATATGTGGCTAATGCAGACAGGATTCCTTGCAAGAGGTTTAAGTTTGGTGTTTTAACATCTTAACACCACCTGTTTTATTTGACAGAAAGGGTCAAACCTATTCCTATATAAGGGGCGTCTTCGTCTTTTGTGAATACGGTCATGCGGTGGGTTCCGAGATCGATTCCCGCTCAAGGCCGACGCCAGCAACAGATACATGAACCGTTCCTGGGCCTCCCTTAGGTCGACTCAGCCTCAAATGAGTACCTGGTGCGGAGTTCAAACATCCCCACTAGGGATACAAAAGCGGCCGGGCGTGGTTGCTGGCCAACTACCCCCTCGTGTGCCACAGTGCCGGCCTTCATAGGCGTTACTCGCTAACAGCACTTGCCCCGATAATCCGTTAAGGCTATACAGGGGATCTGTGTATTTGTGCTGGCCACCCATCCCATCGTGTGCCGTGCCGGCCTTCATAGGTGTTACTCGCTAACAGCACTTGCCCCAACAGTCTGTTAAGGCTACACGTGGGATATTCGCCTTGTCTCTGACTCCAGGCTGCAACTGGGTTGTGCGGCTCCTCATGCATATGGTCAAGCTGGCTCACCCTGAGCTGGACAAGGACCCAACGAGCCACCAAGCACACATCCCCTTGATTGAGTTCGGGCCCCCGTCAAAGCTGGAGGTGCTCCTACACGCCCCCCCCCCACACACAGAGACACAGAGAGCCAAACAGAGACACAGAGAGCCACACAGATACAGAGAGCCACACACAGAGACACAGAGAGCCACACACAGAGAGCAACACAGAGACATAGAGAGCCACACACAGAGAGCCACACACAAACACAGAGAGCCACACATAGAGACATAGAGAGCCACACAGAGAGCCACACACAGAGACACAGAGAGTAACACACAGAGACACAGAGAGCCACATACAGAGAGCCACACACAGAGACACAGAGAGCCACACACAGAGACACAGAAAGCCACACAGAGACACAGAGAGCCACACACAGAGACACAGAGAGCCACACACAGAGAGCCACACACAGAAACACAGAGAGCCACACACAGAGACACAGAGAGCCACACAGAGAGCCACACACAGAGACACAGAGAGTCACACACAGAGACACAGAGAGCCACACACAGAAACACAGAGAGCCACACACAGAGACACAGAGAGCCACACACAGAGACACAGAGAGCCACACACAGAGACACAGAAAGCCACACAGAGACACAGAGAGCCACACACAGAGACACAGAGAGCCACACACAGAGAGCCACAGACAGAAACACAGAGAGCCACACACAGAGACACAGAGAGCCACACAGAGAGCCACACACAGAGACACAGAGAGTCACACACAGAGACACAGAGAGCCACACACAGAAACACAGAGAGCCACACACAGAGACACAGAGAGCCACACACAGAGAGCCACACACAGAGACACAGAGAGCCACACACAGAGACACAGAGAGCCACACACAGAAACACAGAGAGCCACACACAGAGACACAGAGAGCCACACACAGAGACACAGAGAGACACACAGAGAGCCACACACAGAGACACAGAGAGTCACACAGAGACACAGAGAGCCACACACAGAGAGCCACACACAGAGACACAGAGAGCCACACACAGAGAGCCACACACAGAGACACAGAGAGCCACACACAGAGACACAGAGAGCCACACACAGAGAGCCACACACAGAGACACAGAGAGCCACAGACCACCGCTCACACACACCCCGACATGAATCGATCCACCATGGACCAGCTTGCACGGGTTCTTGGTCTTTCAGCACCACGCCACACTGCTCAGGCTGGGTTCTGGGTGACAGGGGCCAGTCATTCGACTCAAACAAAACATCAAAATCGACCACGGTTGTTTTTGACGCTTTTGATGTTCTTGTGTATGGGGAGCGGTGGCGCCGACGTTAGCGCTACGCTGCGTTACGAACCCGGCGGCCCGAGTTCGAATCCCGCTGACGGTCACAGCCAACACCGGGGACGATTATCTGATCCAGTTCTGGGCTTCCTCTAGGTCGACCCAGCCTCAAACGAGTACCTGGTGCGATGTGGAAACATCGCCACTAGGGAGACAAAGGCGGCCGGGCGTGGTGTTGGTCACCCACCCCCTCGTGTGCCGTGCCAGCCTTCATAGGTGCTCGCTAACAGCACTTGCCCCCCACAGTCTGTTAAGGCTACACGGGGGATCTTTGTCTTTGTGTGTGCGCGTACCTCCATCTCGCGCGCTGCGTACAGGGCATGAGCGCCTTCCCCTCGCCGCGAGTCATCGCCTCGCACATGCCCAGGGACCGCGTCCCCTCCTCCTTCTTCGCCAACAAGTGCAAGGTGAGAGGCGGAGGCCGCGGCGAGGATTCGCGAGGTTGATAGCAACCCTCGCGAGGTGGTTGGGCTTTGTCCGGGCACAGACGACTTGGGCCAACGTCTTTGTATTTGCGGTGGGACGTGCACTGATCCATCGGCTTGTCCGACTGCCTTCTGATCCATCGGCTTGTCCGACTGCCGTCTGATCCATCGGCTTGTCCGACTGCCGTCTGATCCATCGGCTTGTCCGACTGCCGTCTGATCCATCGGCTTGTCCGACTGCCGTCTGATCCATCGGCTTGTCCGACTGCCGTCTGATCCATCGGCTTGTCCGACTGCCGTCTGATCCATCGGCTTGTCCGACTGCCGTCTGATCCATCGGCTTGTCCGACTGCCGTCTGATCCATCGGCTTGTCCGACTGCCGTCTGATCCATCGGCTTGGCCGACTGCCGCCCTGCGTGGTCCAGGTGGTGCTCGTCTTCCGAGAGCCGAAGGACACAGCGGTGTCCTTCTACCACTTCTACAACAACAACCCGAGCCTGCCCGGCGTCGACTCCTGGGACAAATTCTACAGCATGTTCATGGAGGGAGACGGTACGCATGTCTCCTCTCCCCCCGCATGTCTCCCCCACGTGTCTCCTCTCCCCCCGCGTCTCTCCCCTACCCCCCGCGTGTCTCCCCCCCGCGTATCCCAGGTTAGCGCCACGCTGCGCTACAAACCCGGCGACCCGAGTTCGATTCCCGCTCACGGCCAACACCCGGTGACGATTATCTGAACCGGTCCTGGGCCTCCACTAGGTCGACTCAGCCTCAAATTAGTACCTGGTGCGGTGTGTAAAACATCGCTACTGGGGAGACAAAGGCGGCCGGGCGTGGTGTTGTCCACCCACCCCCTCGTGTGCCGTGCCGGCCTTCACAGGTGCTACTCGCTAACAGCACTTGCTCCCACAGTCTGTTAAGGCTACACGGGGGATCTTTGTTTTTATCCCGCCCCGTCACCCACCTCGCCGTTGAAGTTCTCGTTTCATCGAAAGTTTCTCTGGCAGCACGCGATGGCTTTAGGGTCAATGCCGCTCAGGCTGGGGGGGGGGGGCGATGGCAGGAGGCTACCTCACTCGCCTGCCTCCCACAAACTCCTGGGTTCCATCCCGGACCCTGACCATGCTTGTTGTGTATTTGGAGTCTGCGTGCTCTCCTCTCTCTTTTTTCCGTGGTGGTCGCGTGGATTTCTCTCTGGGCCCTCTTCTGGAATTCCCCTCCACATGTAGAGTATTTCTGACTGCAATACATTGCCACGTGATCAGCCAATTCGTTCAGCTATCATTTGTGGCCAGGTCACTTCTGAAGAAGAACTATATTCCTCAGTAGGCCTTACCCAGTAAAATTTAAAAAGATGTGTTTACTTTACGGTATTTAACTGCAACTATAAATTCCCACTGATAATGATGATATAAGCCACTTCGATGTGTGGCCAGGTCGCTTCTGAACAAGAGCTAATAGCCCAGTGGGTTTTACAAATTATACCTGAAGGAAGTGGTCTATCACGTGGAAATGCACAGCAGCCAAATACTCTAAACGCGTGATGTCGATTGTAAATGTGGAGGGGAAAATCGGAAGAACAGGAGAAAAATCCACAGGGACAGAGAGAGACACGCAAACCCCAAATATACAGTAGTAGGCGTCAGGGTCGGGATCGAATCCACGACCTCCGGTAAACCAAGCGAGGTAGTTAACATCTCATAGCCACCGTGGCGCCCACTTTAACTTCACCCCCCCCCCGTCCCGTCCTTCGTCGCTGCAGTCCCGTGGGGTGTTTACCTTGACTACATCAAGCAGTGGAGCAATCACTGGGAGGCCGACAACGTTCTGGTGCTCACCTATGAGGAGCTAAAGGCGGTGAGTGACCCCGCCTTCCCTACGACCCCACACGACCCCGCATGACCCCACCGTCGCTCCGTGACCTCGCGCGCATGCGATCGCTGAGTTCACGTTGATAATAATTGTAATGTTTAACACGTGGTAGGCTTTCACGACCAATATCATCCACAATAGAGGTTTTTTTGGGGTTAGATCGCGTAAATATATGTTTGTTAAAACCCACCACCACCCGACACAGCCAACTAGTAAGGGTTGTCACGTAAACAGAACGTGGCCAATTCGTCACTAGTGCAGCAACACGTGTGCGTTGAAGAGCCCAGCCACGACATTTACAATCTGAGTACGACGTTTCGCCAGTAATTACAACCAGCTTCATCAGGCGACAGCCAGATTCCGAGTGGTGCGACCAGAGTGTGGGGTCGCGGCGAATCCACTTAAAAGGAAATTCGGTGGACAGAAACTGTGCGTGTGCGGTGTGTGCGCGTATCCAGGAGCGGTAGCGTAGCAGGTGGGAGTGGTGGCGTAGCGGTTAGCGCGCTGACCTACGAACCCTAGGGACCCGAGTTGGATTCGCGTTCACGGCCACCTGGCCTGGGCGTTCCCTTGGTCGACTCAGTCCCAAATGAGTACCTGGGTGCGATGTGTAAACATCGCCGCTGGGGAAACCAAAAAAGGTAGCGGGCACGTCGCGCGCCGTGCCGGCCTTCGTAGGCGCTACTCGCTCACAGCACTTGCCCCGACGGTCTGGTTAAGGCTACACGGTTGATCTTCGTCTTTGTGTCCAGGACCTGCCGGGGGAGCTTCAGAAGATGTCCACCTTCCTGGGGCTGGGTCTGTCCGGGGAGCAGATCTCCGACGTGGCCGACAACGGCACGTTCAGCGCCATGAAGGCCAAGGCCGAGGCTGATAATCTCAAATTCGGCAAGGTGGTGTTCCGCAAAGGTAGGCGCCTGCATCCCCCGCCCCTCCTTCCCGACTTCCGCGTGCAGGGTGGCACAGTGGCAACACTCACGGCGAGAATGGCCTCGCTTCGGTGGGTGACTCGGCCACCTCCTCTCACGTGCCGTTTGTAAATTCTCTCTCACTTGACGTTCGTATATTCTCTCTCACTTGACATTTGTATTTTCTCTCTCACTTGACATTCGTATTTTCTCTCTCTCTCTTGACATTCGTATATTTTCTCTCACTTGACGTTCGTAAATTCACTCTCACTTGACATTTGTATTTTCTCTCTCACTTGACATTCGTATATTCTCTCTCACTTGACGTTCGTATATTCTCTCTCACTTGACATTTGTATATTCTCTCTCACTTGACATTCGTATATTTTCTCTCACTTGACGTTCGTAAATTCACTCTCACTTGACATTTGTATTTTCTCTCTCACTTGACATTCGTATATTCTCTCTCACTTGACGTTCGTATATTCTCTCTCACTTGACATTCGTATATTTTCTCTCACTTGACATTCGTATATTCTCTCTCACTTGACATTTGTATTTTCTCTCTCACTTGACATTCGTATATTCTCTCTCACTTGACATTCGTATATTTTCTCTCACTTGACGTTCGTATATTCTCTCTCACTTGATATTCGTATATTCTCTATCACTTGACGTTCGTATTTTCTCTCTCACTTGATATTCGTAAACTCTCTCACTTGACGTTCGTATTTTCTCTCTCACTTGATATTCGTAAACTCTCTCACTTGACGTTCGTATAGTCTCTCTCTCCCCGCTCTGCATGGGTTTGCTCCGGGGTTTCCCAGCTCTCTTACGTCGCCTAAAAACGAACGATGTCATTTTAATGTTTTTGGTGCTGGGGCGATTATCGCAATGCAGGAAAAAAACCCATCATCTTCCTAGGTGAATAATCATCATCACAGATTCCCCCACCCCCCTCCCCCATTGCTTCCTCTCGTCTATTTAATTACACCTCTTCACGATCACGTTCATACGTACCATACCGTTGTTCATTCTTAAGATAAGATACGATTGTTATAATTACTTCACCCCGCCCCCCCATCAACCCCCGCTCACCCCCCCTCGTCGCCTCTCGCCCCGCGGGCGGCTCTCAATGGCCGGGTTGTGTGCGGGCGCACAGGGGAGGTGGGCGACTGGAAGAACTACTTCAGCGAGGAGCAGCGCGCCGAGCTGGACGCCTCCTACGCCGAGAGCCTCGCCGGGACGTCCCTGGCCAACCGCCTCAACTATTAGACAAGAGGACGCACGGGGGGACACACGCACGGACACACACACACGCACGGACACACACACACGCACGGGGGGACACACGCACGGACACACACACACGCGCGGACACACGCACGCACGGGGGGACACACGCACGGACACACACACACGCGCGGACACACGCACGCACGGACACACACACACGCGCGGACACACGCACGCACATACACACACACACGCACGGACACACACATGCGCGGACACACACGCGCGGACACACGCACGCACGGACACACACACACGCGCGGACACACGCACGCACATACACACACACACGCACGGACACACACATGCGCGGACACACACGCGCGGACACACGCACGCACGGACACACACACGCACGGACACACACGAGCGCGGACACACTCACGCACAAAGATAAAGACAAAGATCCCCCATATAGCCTTAACAGACTGTAGGGGCAAGTGCTGTTAGCGAGCACCTATGAAGGCCTACACGCACGCACGGACACATGGACACACACACACGCGGACACACGCGCGCGGACACACACACACACGCGCACGGACACACGCACACACACGCGGACACACGCACGTACGGACACACGCGCGCACGGACACACACACACACACGCGGGGAGTCGAAGTCTCCGTGGCTGCTCGGGGTGCTACAACAGTCTCAGTGGAACCGAGCCGGCACCACCGAGGACCTGGGTTCGGACCCGGGTTCTGGCCGCCCGTGCTCGGGCGGCTGAGACGTGCGCTGTGTTTAGGGGGAGCGTCACAAACCTAAGTCGTTGTCGTCGTCTCACGGCCGAGCGCGGGGGAAACCCACCCCCCCCCCGCCCCCCCCGCCGGAATGGAACCAAGGATATGAGCGGTGCCGACTCAGCTTCCAACCCTGGAGTCACCCCCGGCCATCGGGTCGGCCGAACGCCCCCCGCGACGTTCCGATTAGCGCGCTCGGCCGAGGTACGGCGCGAAAGAAGTTCAACGCGCGCTCTCACGTTTCAGAACGACGGAGGAATCCGCGGCAGTCTGGCGCCGAGGCCCGCATCGGAGGAGGGCCTCATCACTTGCGCACTTTGAAAATTGACGGCGTGGGTGGCAAGCAGCCACGGGGAGCTGTGAAGGATATTGTTCGGAGCACATCATAAGCCATGATCTATCCACTGTTGCATGAGGGCCTCCCCTCCCCCGCCCCACCAGTCGTCGCCATCTCTCGTGGTTTTTTGCGATGCGGCACTCTCGTCTGTTCCGTCCCTCCGCCCCGGCACACGGCCCGCTTACATCGCTCTCAATCTCCACAAGTGAACGTCCCCGTGCGGCGTGTGAAGCCAGCGCCCATCGTCCGTCTAGGCGACGGCGTCCTGCACCGGGGCCCCAACTTTGAGTCGACGTCACAATGCGTGACGTCGCTTCACCTGAACGTGTCCCGTAACCCACGTGTTCCTCTTTCCGTCTCTCGGTGCCAGTTCAAGCCTGTGTGCCTGTTCGCCCACCCCTCCTCCCACCACCATCCACCCTCCATCAACCCTTCCTCCTCCCCCCACCCCCTCCACCCCCCCCCCGCACCCCCCAATCTCAAATCTTATGGTTTGTTTTATTTGGGCAAAAATTCTGTATATGCACTGATTGGAAACGTTCTTCTTTACGTGTGGCATTTTATATATATATGTGTGTGTGTGTATGGTGTCGGCGGTCGCTTCTTATGTCCCCACACCCGTGCTTTAAACGAGTGGCCTTGACAAGGAATTACCAATAATTAACAAAACTCACGGCTGCCGATGCAGTCCAGCCAAGGGGAAGCCTCCGTTGGGGAATTTGAACTCGCACCGGCTAGGCGCCACCGGCCTTTTAAATGCCCATGGCACTCTTCGACGCATACGCGTGTGCCGACCATGCTGGTACTCAGAATGAAGGATGTTTGTACACGTACGCATGTGTGTGTGCATGCTTTTCTGTAAGTATTTAGCTTCGGATGTCGCCCACGAGCTGCACAGATCCAGGGCGTTGGTGCAAGTGAAGGCGCGTGTTGACTTTGGAAGTTTTTTCGTGACGACTGGACTGTCCCGGAAGGTATCCTGGGAAATTTCAATGCGCAGCCTGTCGGCTCCAGTACAATAAACTGATGAGTTTTAAGAATTTCGTTCATACATCGCGGAATGGGGCGGTGGGCGCGCGGTGGTTTAGCGCAACTGCGCTGAGGAGCCAGCTACAGAGCCCGAGTTTGATTCCCAGCGTTACCATCGGTGGCGAGTAATATCCGAACAGTTATTTATTTTTATTTTTGCCTCCCTTGCCACTTTGACAGTGGCAGTATGATCACTCCCGATGAAAGCCAGCCATTGGAAGTCGGGAGTGTGAAAGAGAGTCAACTGGGGGCCTAAAAACCAATATCCACCTGGGCGCTTTGAATGTCAGAACCATATGTACGAGACCTCCAAAGACGGCACAAGTCCTGGGGATAAGTGAATGTCACTGGACCGGCTCTGGACGTCTTGCGACGAATGGCCGTGAAAACAGGGGGAGGTCAAAAAACCGCGCCCGGCGAAGAACCGTCACCGATATAGAGAGCTCGGTCAGACGAAAGCTGTTGTGGGGAGAAGGCACAGCATGCGGCCGAGGGCTGGACAGGATAGAGAGAGCCCATCGACATGGGGGATGAAGAGGAATAAGATGAGATAAGATTGCCCACCCTAACCGACCGGCGTGGTGACAATCGGGCCACGCAAATTCTCACGTCCGACGCGGCGTTGGAAGAGGCCCTCATCCGGCAGCCGTCTTCTGTCGTGCGGCGGCTGATGGTGATGGAGATGCGGAGCAACGACAAGTTTCACATGCAGGTGGTCAGAACCAGACACGGGTGCAACGATCTATGTCAACGGGGGAGGGTGGGGGATGCAAGATCCGACTGTGTGGGCCCCCTCGCCTTCTCTCCCGACTCACTTTCAATGAAATAGCCACGGATGGTTTTTAACCCCGCATGCCATAATACAGTCGGCTTTAGCTGTACATATTAATTAAGTTGGGTTTATATGAAGACAGTCTCACAGTGACGGTGTTAAAAAAAAAACAAAGTATTTAAAGATGCAACACTAAGCACAATTAAGCTATCAACGCGTCTCGCTTTCATGCCAGCCCATCGGTCTAGGGCTCTAGGGCGTGGACAACTCAATGCTGCTCTGTTGATACGACCAGCCAGATGCGTCAATCATGGGGCTTGGGCCCACGGAAGAGCGCGGCTACACTTGTACGGACAGTTCTGGATGACCACAGTTGCACACTGCTGGAGACTTTTTTTAAAATGTTCCACTTGTGCATCAGGTATCCGCACCTGCCGTGGTTTTTTTTTGCGGCGGATGCTATTTCGGGTGGACCATGAGCTTCGTCGTGGAAGATGGAACCCCAAGCGATCCCCCGCCGCTGGGTTTTTCACAGCAAAGTGTTTGTGAGTTTTTTTTTTAACTCCGTTTAGCTCTCCAAACTTCAGCAGTGGATTGGCAAAAGGGACTGTAAAGTAATGTTTATTATCATTCCAGAAGAGGGTTCGGTATAACACTCAAGTTACAGGGCTCAGAGAGCCAATCTAAGGCACTCGATGTGAACACAAGGTGAGACACCCACCACCTCCACCCAGCAAACAAGCACAGAATTCACCAGCAAAAACAGCAACACCGTACGTAGCCAACCGTGCTAATCGGAGGTGTGGGGGAAGGACAACAAACTAAACACAAAAAGCAGTTCTAAAGAAATTCGTTTTCAATCTAGATTTAAAACTGCATAGCTCCCAGTGGCTTCCTAATATCGGAAGGAAGAGCGTTCCAGACGGCCGCAGAAGCGCACCTGAAAGTGCCGTGCAATGCGGTGACCACCGTCATTGTTTGATGGCTGAGCCAAAAGCCGCTGCCGCTGCTGCTGCGAGGATGAGCGGAGTTCGCGTGATGATGGTTTATAGCTCCTTGACAAGATCAGCAAGGTATTGTGGCTCATTTGTGGGAAGCACTTTGTGTGCGTAATGAGTGCGACCTTATAAAACAACAATACAATGCAACAGCAACAACAATGCAACAGCGCCGCAGTGTGGTCGGCAAGGGCCCTGGTGCAAGGAATGAAATGGGGCCCCACGTCCCGTTCCTCTTGGGCGCCCGGCACCCTGGGCCGCTCCAGCCCCGTGGGACCCGGTGCAGTTGCACCGCATGAACACTCGATAGCGACGCCCGCTGAGCAACAACAACAGCAGCAACAACAACAGCAGCAGCAACAACAACAGCAGCGGCAGCAACAACAACAACAGAAGTCCGGCTGTATGTCACCGCGGCTTTTTCAAATTACGGTCAGGGGTCAACCGATGTCATCATCGCCATCATCCCTGTGGTGGATAAATTGAGTAACATCACTTTGAAGTCATTCGTCGTCATTCTACAGACTGTGGGATAGAGGGAATGCCTCAGCCATGGGAAAGTGGAATTTCCAGCACTGCCAGTGGAAGGTGAGCGGGACCCCAAAGCTCATGTGAGCAGAGAGACCCCGACGTGTTTGGTTAATGATTCTTTTCCGAGCAAAAGCCTCCTCGAATTCGTCTCAAGGACATTTTTTTTTAAAGAGGGGATGTTTGTCACATTCGCCATTTATTTAGAACGCAATCTTTGGCAGCGCCTTTGACCGCCGTCCCTCGCTGCCACTGCCGTGTCTGCAACTGTTGCCCGTCCACCGCAATTGATGGTGGAACGGCCTCTGCAATCCCCACCATCTCTCTCGCCATTGTCCAAAAAGGGAGTCGCGCACTCTCCGATGTATTGACTCGATGTACGTTTGCATTTCAACTCTCAGAAGGCGGTGAAGAGGTGGTTGTCGAGCCTGATAGGACGGGTCGTGCCCTCTTTAAATGTTGAAAAGGGGCTATAACTTGCTGATTTTTGCATGATTTTTAGCTGTTGAATTGCACGCAGAATGACGGATGGATGAATCAGATTGACTCAAGGTATGAATGAATCAGAGTGTTGATATGTGAAGATAATTCTAAACCGGATGCAACAGGGGATGATGACGATGATGATGATGAGTGTGAGTACATTCAAAAATAGATAATACCACGAGGTCATACATCGAGAAAGTCTTCATCTAGGCAGAACAAAAAGATGATGACCATGGTGATGATTTTTGATTTAAAGCTTTCGTGACTGCAGGGATTCATATTCTTGGTTCTTTCGGTAAAGTCACGTAGAAGGGAAGCAATAAAATAATACAAATATACACGTGACTTTACCGAAAGAACCAAGAACATGGTGATGATGTTAATTCAACACGTATGTTTTTTTTTGTTCGCTGCCAATATTAACTCTGACTTGCAGGATTTATATTCTGACTTCCTGGACCTTGTCCTGACGACGTCGATGTGGTTTCGAGTGAAACGTCGGACCGCCGCCACACTTGGGCCGTGAGAATTGCTCGGCAATTTACCGGCGAGTGAGCCGGCGTTTGAATAACACGCGACGCTTTAATTTGTTTGGCTGCGTCGGGTGGCCGCAGGGGACGGGGGGGGGTCACAATAAACAACGAGAATCTTAGCCGAACCGTTACGTTGCGTCCTAGACCCGAGCATCGATGGGCGACTCGGGCGGTCAGCGGTCCGCGGGCACGAGCGCGGGGAAGGACCTCATGCGCATCCTCTCCAGCTCCACCCGGAGCGCCGCGATCTCCCGCGCCTGCTCCCGCGCCGCCTCCGCCGCGCGCCTCTCCCGCGCCACTCGCTCGTGACGCCTCCGCGCCGCCGCCTCCTCCTCCTCCTCCGCCGCCGGCGCCGTCGCCGCCGCCGCCTCGCTCGCGCGCCCCCGCTCCGACACGGACGCACGCAGCCCCGGCAGCCGCGCGTCCAGCGACGCGTTCTCACGCCGGCGCCGCGCCGCCTCGGCGAGCAGCGCCTCGGTGCGCCGCTCGAGCCGCCGCTCCTCGCGCTCGCGCGCCTCCAGCCGGGCGGCGAGGTTCTTCTCGGCGGCGGCCGCGTGGCGCGAGGCGCGGTCCTCGCCGCCGCCGCCGCCGGCGTTCGCCAGCAGCTCGCGCGACACCCGCGCCGTCCGGACGTCCCGCGCGAGCTCCCGCAGCTCGTCCGCCCGCAGGGACAGCTTCCGGCACTCCCACTGGAGGCGCGCGATGGCGCGGCGCGCCTCCCTGCCGCTCTCCATGCTCGCCACCTTGCGCTCGCACGCCGCCCGGATCGTCGCGTTGAGCGCCTCGACCGCGTCCCGGGGAACGAGCCGCGCGTCCGAGTAATCGGGCACCGGTGCCTCGTCGTCCACCTCCACCTGGCCCTGCTTGAGCAGCACGAGCAGCGTCGCGTCGAGCTGCTGGCGCGCCGCCTCCTCGCGCGCCTCGTCCAGCCCCGCCGCCAGCCGCTCCGCCTCGGCCCGCAGCTCCTCGCGCTCGTCGGCGATCCGCCGAGCGAACGCGTCCGCCTCGGCCGCGGCGAGCGCCCTGCGGCGCAGTGCCAGCTCGCCGCGCGCCTTGAGGCCCCGCGCCCGGCAGAAGCGCTCCCACGCCGGCGGCTCCACGCCCTCGGGGACGTTCTCCGTCGCCGGGTCCGGCTCGTCCCGGTCGCCCTCCCCGTCGGCCTCCGCCGCGTCGGTTTGCGCGCGCAGCTTCTGGGCCCGCGGCCGGCGCTTGTAGAGGCGGGCGAGGGCGTCCGCCGCGGGTCCCTGCGCCATCTCGGCGAGGTCCCTCTTGAAGGCGCGCTCCAGCAGCTTGTCCTCGGCGCAGAGGTCGTCGTAGGACTCGCGCAGGGCGTCGGCGCGCGCCGTCGCCTCGCGCAGCTCCCGGTCGCTCTCTTCGCGCGCCGCCGCGTTCTCCTCCAGGCGCCGGCGCAGCTCCTGCTGGTACGTATCCAGCTCCTCCTCGAACAGCAGCGCGGCGCCCAGCAGGGCGAGGCGCAGCTCCTCCTGGCACACCGCGGCCTCCGTGCGGGCCCTGCGCTCGGCGAGTCGCGCCAGAGACTCGTCGAAGGCCCGGCAGCCGTCCAGGACGGCCGCCCGCGTCTTGGCGACCTCGGCCTCGAGCGCCCTGCGGAGGCGCTCGCGCTCCTCGGCCACCTCGCGGCTTTCCCTCTCGAAGTCGCGCGCCTGCCGCCGCTCCTCCTCGGTCCACTCCGACTCGGGGCGGCTCGCGAACGCGGGCGGCTGCGGAAGGGGCCGGAGCGCCGCGGCGCCGTCGCGCCTGACCTCCAGCTCCCCGCCCATCATGTCCCGCAGCGCGCGGGAGCGGGTGCCGCCGGCGCCGCCCCCCCCTCGCTCCGCGAGCCGCGCCCGCTCCTCCTCCCGCGCGCGCTCCTCCGCGGCGGCCCTCTGCTCGTCGGCGAGGAAGCGCTCCGCCGTCACCTCCGCGTCGTCCACCGCCAGCGCTCGCTCGGGCTCCTCGTCCCGGCTCGGGCTCAGCGTCGGCATCGTCGGCGTCGCGACGGCGGCGGCGCCGATCGAGGCCAGGTCGGCGAGGAGGTCGGCGACGCGCTCCCCGGCGTCTCGCGCCCGCGCCGCCTCCTGCTCCTTGTGCCGGCGCGCCGAGTCGAAGTCGGCGTTGAAGGCGACGCGGAGCCGCCGCGCCACGTCCCGGAGCAGCACCGTCTGGTTCACGCGCTGCTCCCGCGAGTGCAGCTCCAGCTGGCGGTACAGGTAGGGGCAGCTGACGCCCAGCTCCTCGCTCAGGGTGCCCACGATGTCCTCCTCCTCCTCCTCGTCCTCCTCCTCGCCGTCACCACCGTCTTCCTCGTCCCGCTCCTCTTCCTCCGTCCCCCCGCGCCCGTCCGTGCCGGCGCCGCGCCCTTCCAGAAGCTCCCTGCGGATCCGGCGGTCCGCCATCTCCACCTCCCGCAGGAGCTTCACCCTCTCCAGCTCCCGCAGCTCGTCGGGGCCGCGCTCCGGCACGGGGAAGTTCCACACCTCGACGCCCGACAGGAAGGCGCGCAGGCAGCGGCCCTTCGTGGCCATGGCGTCCCAGCACTGCCGTCGGAGGGCATCGCGGCGCTCGGCGTTGGCGGCGTTCTCGCGCCGGATCGCGTCGCGCAGCGCCTCGACGGCGCGCGTCCCGTCTTCGCGCAGCCGCCCGATCGCCTCCACGTCCAGCAGGAAGTCGGCGGCCGGCAGGCGCTCGCACTCGGGCGCCGCCTCGTTCTCGGCCGCGAGCTCCCGCAGCTCGCGGCGCAGCTCGGCGGCGCGTTCGCGGAGCTCGCGGCGCGTCTCCGCGTGCGCCTCGAGCGCTCGCGCGTCCGCCGCGGCCTCGCGCCGCTCCGCCCACGTCCGCTCCTCCTCCTCCGCCTCCGCCTCCTCCTCCTCCGCCGCCGCCTCGTCGCTGCCGTCGTCCGCCTTCTCCTTGCCCGCCGCCCGGTCGCCTGGGGACGCAGGCCGGGGCTCACGCTCCGCCGCGGAGGCGAGGTGAGCGTCCTCCTCGGCGCAGTCGCGGCTCCCCGGCGCCGGCGCCGCCTCCTCGCCGCGCTCTCCTCTCCACGCGAGGCAGACGAGCGCGCCATCGTCCCGCCACCCGGCGGTCACCACCGTCCTCCCGTCGGCCGAAACGCCCAGGGAGCGGACCCCGCCCAGCGCGGGGCAGTGGCACGCGGCCTGCGCCACCCCGCGCCGCCAGCCCCCGACGGCCCTCGCCCGGACGACGCCGTCGGAGGAGGCCGAGTAAAGACGCCGGCCCCCAGCCGCCAGGACGAGCCGCGCGTCGGGCAGGTCGTGCCCCACCGACTCCCGCGCCTCTCCAAGCCCCCCCTCGGCCCCCTCCGCGATGGCGAACTCCTTGACGAGGCGGGAGCGGCCACAGTAGACGAAGACCGAGCGGCCGTCGCGGCCCAGCGCGGCCGCGGTGGCCGGGAACGCGAGCTCGTAGCGCCGCGGCCGCGTCGCCTCCTTGCTGAGGTCGCCGCGAGGGTTCGCGCTGTCCCCCCCGAGTGCTCCGGGGAGGTGGAACACCGCCAGACGGTCGCCGCCAGCGGCCCCCTCGTGGCCCAGCAGCAGGAGGAGCCGCGCGTCCTCCCCGCTCCGCACGACGCTGGCGTCCAGCACGCGACGCCGCGTCGCCTCCTCCTCTTCCTCCTCTTCATCCTCCACGAAGCCGAGCACGGCGAAGCGGCGCGACGGCCTCGCGTCCACCACGAACGCGCGGCCCTCCGACGAGGCCGCGGCCACCAGCAGCCGCCCGGCCTCGTCGCAGCGCAGGACGTCGAGCGGCGCCCGCGTCAACCTCTCCCGCAGGACGAGGCGCGGCCGCTCCGGGCGGCGCGCGTCCACCACGCACAGGCGGCCCGACGCGGTGCCCAGCGCGGCGCAGCGTGACGACGCGGGGCACGCGAGCGCGCACGGCGCCTCGCCCAGGGCCAGTCCGCCCAGGAGGCGCCCCGAGGCGGCGGCCCACAGCTGCACGGCGCCGTCCTCTCGCGCGGAGACGCACACGGCGCCGTCGGGGGCCGCCACGGCCGCGCACGCGAACGGCGCCGCGCCGCCCGCGTCCACCGCGGCAGACACCGCGGCGGCCGCGGGGGTCGCCCCGGCGGACGCCGCGGGGGTCGCCTCCGGAGGCCGGTAGACATGCACGGAGCCGCGGGCCGTGGAGATGGCCAGCGCCCGCAGGTCGGGCGAGAAGGCCAGGCCGAGGATGGGCCGCTCGCTCGCCCAGCACTCGTCGACGACGCTCGCGTCGCCGGCCACGCGGGCCACGCGGACGCGGCGCAGGGCCCCGTCGGCGCCGCCCGCGTACACCGCGTCCCGGCTCGCGGCCAGCGCGGCGGCGCGGCCCGGCCCCAGGCGCGCCACCGGCCGCGGCGCAAGCTCGGCGCCCGCCGAGCCGCCCGCGTCCGCCTCCACGCACAGCAGCTGCCCCCCCGCGCAGCCCACGAAGAGGCGGTCCCCGTCGCGCGCCCAGCAGTGCGACACGGGCCGCGCCGCGGCTCGCCTCTCCGCCTCGGGCACGAAGTCGCGAGTCGCGGGCCCCACCAGGCCGGCACGGGCCCAGGCCGGCAGCCGCGGCCCGAAGAGGCCACCGCCGCCGCCGCGTTCGCTCGGCGGATCGGAGTCGACGGGGCGAGAGCCGTCGTCGTCGTCGGCGGGGAGCCGCGCCCTCCGCGGGCTGAGCCGGTACACCGAGTCGCTGCGCTCCACGCTCCACACGCACACGTGGTCGTCACCGACCGTGCACAGCTGCTGCCATCCGCCCGGGCAGAATGACAGGGCCGTGACGGAGAGGAAGTGCGTCCCGTGGGGCCACCGCCGCTGCTCGGCCTGGTAGCGGCAGAGCAGCTTCTCCTGCTGCCAGTCCCACAGCGAGAGCGAGAGGTCGGGAGCCGCGGCCCACGCGGCCAGGTAGGGCCCCGCGTCGCTCAGCGCCAGCGCCGACACCTCGAGGCGAGCCGCGCCGCGCAGCCGCGCCCGGCGAACCCCGCCCGCCTGCGTGAGGACGTGGACGGTGGGGTCGGGCCGCGGCCTGTCGGCGAAGGCCAGCAGGCCCTGCGGCGCGCTCACGGCCAGGGCGGCCACGCCGGCCCCGGGGCACCGCAGGTGACGCTCGCGGCCCCCTGCCTCGGGCCCCGTGGGGTCGTCGTCTACGCCGCCGGCGCCGTGGTAGGGAGCGAATTTGATGAAGTCGCCGCTCGCGTAGCACAGCGTGGCGGCGTCCGCGAAGGCCACGGAGCCGTCGGCAGGGAAGCCCCGCGTCCATTTCACCTCAAGGAACCCCGCGCCCACCTCCTCCACCTCCTCCTCCATCTCCTCATCCATCGTCGCCATCTTCGTCGTGAGCGCCGCGTCTCTAGCAACGGCGGCGCGCGACCAGGGCAACGGTTACCGTGGTAACGGGGGGGGGCGGGGGGAGCGCAGCAGCGGCCTCTTCTGATTGGTCGAGGCGAGCGAGCGAGGGCGTGCGCGCGGTGTGGGGGAGCGGTGGTGCAGCGGTTAGCGTGGGCGCTGCGTTACGTAACCGGTGACCCAAGTTCGATTCCCGCTCACGGCCAGCAACACCCAGTGACGATTATCTGAACCGGTCCTGGGCCACTCCAAGGTCGACTCAGCCTCAAAATGACCACCTGGTACGGTGTGTAGTAAACATCGCCACTGGGGAGACAAAGGCGACCGTGGGCGTGGTGCTGGCCACCCACCCCCTCGTGTGCCGTGTCGGCCTTCACAGGCGCTCACTCGCTAACAGCACTTGCCCCTAACAGTCTGTTGCAGGCTACACGTGGGAGCTGTTCTACTGTCGCAGTTAGCCCAGCAGGTGGCGGCATTGTCATACAATAGAGCGACCCTCCAACTGCGCGGGCTCGGCGCGCCAGTTTAGTGACTTCGTGGGGCTTGACGCGTACTCATCATCACCATTCACTCATCGGCGCGCTGCAATGATGAACTTCCCTTGGGCATCTGCTGCTCTGTGTTAAGAGTCGTACCGTGTCGAGCAAATCACGGTTTTACCCCGTGGGGTTTTGAACGGCGAGATTTGAGTTTGCATCGTTCGACCGTCTGAACGAGGCTCGTCGCTGTCCGTGGTGCTAACATTGGAAAGGAGGAAAAAACCGCCACACATTTTTTTCGCCATATGGCATTGTGATGTATAACGAATTATTTTTAGTAGCTCAGCTGATTGGAGAGTATATAGAGTTTATTGATAACATTGATGTAGTTTATATTTTACTTTTTTATTAGTTCACTATACGGTATTCATTATATAGTGTAGTGTATAGGACCCGGTTACTTTAAGTTTATAGCTCAACTTATTGACGAATATATTGAGTACATTTATTATATTGATGTAGTTTATACTTAGTTTTTTCACATCGGTTTATTGTATGATAGTTGGGTAGTTGCAGTCCTAAAGCATCCATATACTAAATGCCTTTGCTGAGATGTAAACTTTTGACTTTGACATAGCTATTTCCGTGACCAGTCACATGCTAATCCCTCACATTAACATCATGCTAATCTCCCAGTTACATGCTAATTCCTGACTTCAATACCCTGCTGATCCAACACTTTATCACAGCGATTTCAATGCTAACTTCTCCTGTTTGATATGTAAACTTATTTGTCAAGGCGCTTTACCTCTCCCACCTAGCTTAAAAGACGCTGCGAATCTTAGCAGCGTTCATTGAAGCGCTCAGCTGATGGAGAGTTTATAGAGTTTATTGATAACATTGATGTAGTTAATATTTTAGTTTTTTTATTACTTTACTATATGGTATTCATTATATAGTGTAGTGTATACCCAGTTGCTTTATGTTTATAGCTCAACTTATTGACGAATATATTGAGTACATTTATTATATTGATGTAGTTTATACTTAGTTTTTTTCACATCGGTTTATTGTATGATAGTTGGGTAGTTGCAGTCCTTTAGCGTCCATATACTAAATGCCTCTGTTGAGATGTAAACTTTGACTTTGACATAGCTATTTCCGTAACCAGTCGCATGCTAATCCCTCACATTAACATCATGCTAATCTCCCAGTTACATGCTAATTCCTGACTTTAACACCCTGCTGATCCAACACTTTAACACCGCTATTTCAATGCTAAATTCTCCTGTTTGATATGTAAACTCCTTTGTCAAGGCGCTTTACCTCTCCCACCTAGCTTAAAAGACGCTGCGAATCTTAGCAGCGTTCATTGAAGCGCTGTCGTCCCGACAGTTCTGCTCCTTCACCTGAAGAAGGCTACTTGTGTTGTGGCCGAAACGTCGTGAGAATTTTATTTTTTATTATGTTTTTATTTTTATTATTTTATTTCCATTCTACGTGACTTTACCGAAAGAACCAAGAAGATGAATCCCTGCAGTCACGCAAGCCTTAAATCGAAATAATTGGAGGTTTTTGCCCCTTTTTTCTGGCAACAAAACTGAAACCTTTTTTTTTACGAGGAATCATGTGTGCATTAACCACACTACTTGTGGTCAAAATGCAAACAAACAAAAAAACACACTCTGATAATATATGATGCATTGTCCTTGAAACTGATTGGTCCACACCAGAGACGGCTTTCTTGTGAGCCTCGTCTCACTTGGTGCTAGACCAGAGGACACCAAAAGGCGTAGGACAATGCATCATATATTATCAGTGTGTGGTTTTCTTGTTTGCATTTTGACCACAAATATTGTGGTCAAAATGTAAACATGATTCCTTGTAAAAAGGTTTCAGTTTTGTTACCAGAAAAAAAGGGCAAAACCCCCTATTATTATTTGAGTTTTCAGGTCCACGCGGCGTACAGCCGTTTCAATAGGGGGCAAAAAAATAATGTTTTTGTCAATTAGTTTGTGTTTCCCATCCCTTGTGATAGGACGTTGTAGGATGAACGTTGAGATTTATAAGGGGCACGGGGTGACCAATAAGGTCTGAGTTGGTCTGTAATAAGGTAGGGCACTGATAAGGGGTTGACAGGTGTGTATAGTAGTGTAGTGTATAGTAGCGTATAGTGTAGTGTATAGTAGAGTATAGTGTAGTGTATAGTAGTGTATGGTGTAGTGTATAGTAGTGTATAGTCTATAATAGTATAGTAGTGTATAGTGTAGTGTATAGTAGTGTAGTGTATAGTAGTGTATAGTGTAGTGTATAGTAGAGTATAGTGTAGTGTATAGTAGTGTATAGTGTAGTGTATAGTAGTGTATAGTGTATAATAGTATAGTAGTGTATAGTGTAGTGTATAGTAGTGTAGTGTATAGTAGTGTAGTGTGTAGTGTATAGTAGTGTGTAGTGTATAGTGTCGTGTATAGTAGTGTATAGTGTAGTGTATAGTAGTGTATAGTGTAGTGTATAGTAGTGTATAGTGTAGTGTATAGGATGAACGTTGAGATTTATAAGGGGCACGGTGTGACCGATAAGGTCTGAATTGGTCTGTAATAAGGTAGGGCACTGATAAGGGGTTGACAGGTTTGTAAAGGTCACGCCAAATGCAGGAGTGACGCGCGCGTGCACGACTCCAGTACCGAGTGATCACATGGTGCCATGCAGGTTGTGTGTGGTAGGTGGTGGTGGTGGTTGTTGTGCCATGCAGGTTGTGGTAGGTAGTGGTGGTTGTGGTGCCATGCAGGTTGTGGTAGGTGGTGGTGGTTGTGGTGTCATGCAGGTTGTGTGTGGTAGGTGGTTGTGGTGCCATCCAGGTTGTGTGGTAGGTGGTGGTGGTTGTTGTGCCATGGAGGTTGTGTGTGGTAGGTGGTGGTGGTTGTTGTGCCATGCAGGTTATGTGTGGTAGGTGGTGGTGGTTGTTGTGCCATGCAGATTGTGGTAGGTGGTGGTGGTTGTGCAGGTTGTGTGGTAGGTGGCGGTGGTGCAGGAGATTGTGGGAGTTGGGTGGTGGCAGTAGTTGTGGCGGTATGTTGAACTTATTTTGCACCGTACGTAGCCAACCGTGCTAATCGGAGGTGCGGGGGAAAGACAACTAAACACAAATAAGCAGCAATTCTAAATGTACACGTGGGGTCCCACAATCTCGCTGGATCAACTCTGGGAACACTTTTTCTGTGTGTCCCTCCCCCTCCTGTGACCGTTCATTGGAACAACACAACTCCCACCGCGCACATAAAACAATCGGCGTCTTCGCTCACCAGAGCTTCCCTTGTTACCACCCTGAAAACATCAACAATCCCCATATACTTATTCTTAGCTCTTTCGGTAAAGTCACGTTGAAGGGAAGCAATAAAAGATATATAAAACAATAAAAATTCTCACGTTTCGACCATAACACAAACGGTCGTCATCAGGTGTGTCGGTTTGCATAAATTTATTTAGTTTTAAACGGTGTATTTATTTATTTATAAAAAACGTCAGCGCCACGCGCAGCGATTTGACAGTTTATTTAGAAGGACTAGTCCATCTATGTTTTGAAAAGAGGAGGGGGGAGACGAAAAATTAATGTATGCTGTCTGAAAGCCACTGTAAGCGTGAACAATCAATTAAGACCTGAAATGGTTTATCAAATCTTTCCAATGATTGCTAAGCCAGAATCCATCTTCTCGGTTGAAATTGTCTCCTTGCTTGTATATGTGGATAGCCTCATGAACGAATCTCTCATGGTAGCCAGATGGCTTACAAAGAACCTCTGTCTTGGAGAAGTCAATGTCATGTGAGCCTACTGAATTATAACAATGATCTGCCACGGCCGAGGTGTTGGTCCTACCGTGTTTAAGGTCTGCTTTGTGTTCACGAATGCGGTCCGAGACATGGCGTTTGGTTTCTCCAATGTAACTACTACCACAGAGGCAACTTAGTTTGTAGACACCAGGGTACTGTATGTCCGGAATCACATATTTTACAGACGGAACCAGATCACGGATTTTATGTATTGTATTTTTTTGTGTTATTTTATTTTATCAATTTATTATTTTATTCTCATTCTACGTGACTTTACCGAAAGAACCAAAGAAGAAGGTTTATGTATTGTGTTGAAACGGACCTGGCTCTTGTGTTTATTCAAGATTTTGGAGATCTTTTTTGTGATCCCCGCAATGTAGGGTAAAGAGATGGTTTTGAAAGGCTCCTCAAGAGGGTCCTTCTTCATGGTTTGAGTGATAGCTTTGCGGATTGTATAGTCGGAGTAACCATTAGCCTTAAGAGCTTGGTGTAGGTGCTTGAGTTCACTGCCTATGTGTTCCTGGTCGGATATGCATTGGGCTCTATGATAGAGTCTTGATGAGAGAATTCTTCTGTGATGGATGGTGGTGGGAATCCGGTTTCAGATAAGCATCCGTATGGGTAGCTTTCCTGTAGACAGAGTGGCTCATTGAACCATCAGGTCTCTCTCCTCCCGTCACCCATCCTACTGCTGCTGCTGCTACTCCCCTGCTCATCAGCTACGACCAGGCAGACCCAAATCCTTCCACGACCCTCATCACCACACTTACCCCCATCACTATCCCCATCACCACACCTACGCCCATCACCATCGCTACCCCTATCACTA